TCTCTGGTTGAGCCGAGCACTTTTTACTCATCTTCAAGTGGCAAGAACTCGCCGGCCAAACATTTCGGTGCACGAACCTCCTATGTTCAACATTCAATGGTCACCAGTAGCTCGATTCGTCCCGTCACGTGGGGTGCCGACTTGCTTGAACCCTGTGGACTTCTGCAACATGTGGATTCCAGGAAGTACCAACCGGACCACAGCTCCCCACCGGCGCCGATGGGAACGAGGCCGGAACCTACACCTCCGGCTGATACACAAAGACATGCCTAACACCGAGTGAGGGCCGTAAACATCTATTCCAGAGCCTCAAGGCTCTCACCGAAGAAAGACTGACATGCTAGCTGCGTGACCGGCTCCGGCGTCGATAGTCTCAGAAATGGAGCGCCATTATGCCAAGGTACTTGACTGAACATCACTCTACCAACTCCCGAGGCTTCATCTATGGAAACGGTATTGCCTCGACTGTGTGTGATTTAGCGGCGTATCCGGAGCCGATTCTGAAGATGTGGTTCCTTCGGAGGGAGACACGCATGGGTGAACCCCATCCCTATCAAGTGCCCCGGGTCGATCGTGATCTCGTTGTGAGGGGTACGTTCACCATAGCGTCTCTGGATTTTGCTCCAGAGGAGAAAGTCATTAACAGAAATGTTATTTGGGTCATGGTAGAACCGAAGTCGTTAAAATCAGTACAGGCTAGACTGAAAACTTCAAGTGATTATCTCTTCTGGTGAAGCATTGCTACAAGTTTCTTCGACATGTTGTCTTTCGGTGTGTTTTGTCTCGTGAAACTGTCTTCGTTATGCTCAATTGCTGACCGCCACCAGGAGCACTATTTGCTCTTGCAGTACTATGTGCTGTAGGAATCCCCATCGCTCGCTATCTCCTAGATCCCAAGGGACTCCGAAAATATCCTTCTGCCGGGGTCTCGGGCATCACATCGTTATGGTCAATGTGGCACAATGGCAGGATGAAGCGGTTCATGGCAATTCACAAAGCTCATGAACGCTTGGGCCCGATTGTCAGGGTAGAGCCGAATCACTGTATGCCTTGTCCTCCGACATGACTTATTTTCCTGGTAGACGCAGTGCTCACAAGAGATCTCACAGTGTCTTTCAACTCTCCCGAGGCTTTTTACGACATCTATTCTCACAGCGCCACGAACATCCTCAAAGACGTTTTCTATGATGCCATTGCTGGCCCCTACAGAAGCTCTGGAAACACGAGATCTCGGGAAGAACACACGAGAAAGCGCCGGACTATCGCGAGCAGCTTCTCGCCCAAGGGGGTCGCGGAATACGAAGAGTACGTCACCAAGGCGGTCCGAAGCCTCCTCAGCAGGCTGGACAAATTGCACGCACAGTGTGGCGACAAAGGCTTCAATGCCACGCCATGGATCCACATGTTTACTTTTGACGCCATCGGCGACGTCGTCTTCGGCGACTCCTTCAACTTCCTGGACAAGGGAAATGACACCTGTATTGCAGAAACGCCCGAAGGCCAACAATATGAGGTCGAAGCCATTTCATCCTTTCTCGGGGGAGTAAGGTTTGCGAACAACCTGGGCTATCTGGGAACGGACCTGGCCAAATGGCTGAAAAAGAATGTCTTGTATTGCTCCTATGGCGCAAAGATGGGGGCGAACTTCTCGAACATGAGCATCCACCGTATTCGACAACGACAAGCCGTGCCCGAGCAGGAAGCACCCCATGACATTTGGTCTCGGGTGATGGCTGCGAATAGCAAGCCTGGTGGCTATGTGATGCCGTTCGGTGAGCTTATCGCCGAATCGAATTCGTTGGTACGTTTCATTACATCAGTGGTGGCACTGTCCCAGATGCTTCGAGTCGACACTGATCATTCAATAGCTCAATGCAGGCAATGATACCATTGGCAGCGCGCTCACGAGCCTCATGTATCACCTGGCCCGCAACCAAGCTGCCCAGAAGAAGCTTCAAGAAGAGGTCGACCCCGTTTTCCCTGCCGGGGTCGAGGTCTGCCACAACGACGCTGTGAAGGACATCCAATACCTCCGAAACTGTATTGACGAGGCTCTTCGAGAGCGTCCCCCCGTCGGGATCGGTCTTCCACGCATCACCCCCCCGGAAGGCTGCGTGATCGCCGGACAGAAAATCCCTGGCAACACAACCGTTTCGGTGCCGACGTGGTCGGTGCATCACAACCCGCACCTATTCCCTGATCCGTTCGAATTCAAGCCCGAGCGCTGGAGTGACGAGAAGCAACTGCCTGCGCTGAGGAAATTCTGTCTTCCATTCAGCACTGGAGGGTGAGTCCGATCCTCAGGATTCGAGTCGAGCGAGATACTTGTAAGCCACAGAATGCTGACTATTTTGACCACAGCCGTGCCTGCGTTGGCCGTAATCTCGCCTATCTGGAACTCCAGATCGCGGTCGCGTCGATATTCCACCGGTTCCATGTCGACCTGGTGGACCCTGACGCCGAACTGGACACTCTCGAATGGTTCAACAGCAGTCCGGGAGAGCTGTGGGTGAAAGTGACTCCACGAGTGAAGGCGTAAATTTCGGGCACATGATTTCCTTTTTTTATGGCTTGATGAGTGTCACGCTTGGTTCGACCCATTTAGATTAGATACTAAGTAAGCGATATACAGAGATCAAGCAACCTTTCTCTATCTCTGAGCTTCCTTCCTCGTACAGTCTTCCTCGACGCTTTCCGGGAAGCTAACGAGTTCCAATAAAAGTACTTCCAAGTTGTTGTTCTCAATATAAAAGGGCCGTCTGTAAAGTAAAGTTTCCTATTTATCTTGTGTTAAGCCAAGGCGATTATCTTCCGTATACATTCCTCTCAAGCGGGAATTTACTCGCTGGTAAAGTCTCGACATATACTGACCTATGCCGCCGTAGCGACGAGCTGAGTTGTCAACCTCCACAAGTTACATCGCGGTCTTTGTGTCTGGGGTAGTGTCTCAATCGCCTACCTGGGCCAAAAGACAGAGAATATGGCCACTGTTGGTAGATGTCTAGGCACATGGGGACCTGAAGAGGCATAGGGCGACTAGCTAAGTTTCTTGACGGTCAGTAGCAACGAACTTGTAGAAAGAGTATCTAAAGACAGGGAAAAGATGAGGAACAAAGCGCGCAGGATAGAGTCGTCGTATGACGTAGCGGCGAAGAATTGCAACTTAATTCTATTTGATCGTGCTGTTGCGCGGACTTCACCCAGGCAGCTGACCCTCCTTATCATCACTGTTACTTAGGTGACTTCGTAGCAGAGCTTGACCTCAGGACAATCTCCGCCCAAATTACCAGGTATCACTTGAACACATTTCTATCAACTCTGTCTATCCATGTCAGCCCCATGTCAACCTTCACGCCCACCTCAAGAGCGTACCATTTTCACGCAGCAACGCCAGCCAAGGAATCCATCTTCGCCCTGAGCAGTGCGTTCGTCTCCTTACCCGCGTCCAAAAAGATGCGGATAGCCTCGTCGAGTTTGTCGGTGGCCGGCTGGTCCAAGAACAGGGCCAAACGGAACGCCTCCTCGTTGTCGAGGAAGACGGGCTTGAGGTTCTTCGCGTGTCCATTGGCCATGGCAGATACTGTTTGAAAGACGTTAGCATCGGATCCATAGTCTTGCCGTCGGCAAGCGTTTTGCATACCTTTGTCAGCGTCAAGGCTTTTGGTCATTGGCATCGTCTCGCTGCGAAGCTCCGCCAGAGTCCCCGCATTCAAAGTCATAAGCTCCAGCCCCGAAAGCTTGGAGACCTCGTCCATAGTACGCAGGCTCGCAGCCATGATCTCAGTCTTGATCCCGTTGGCCTTGTAGTGTTTGAAAATCTCGTCGACCATCTTGACCCCGGGTCCCTTCCAACCCGTGTAGTCCTTCTGCGGACGGTTCTTGTAGTACCAATCCGTGGTGCGCGCGACAAAGGGGGAGATCAACGTACACCCAGCTTCAGCGGCCAGTGTGGCCTGGTGCACGGAGAAAATGGCCGTCATGTTGCAGTGGATGCCGTACTCGCGCTCCAGGACCCGTGCGGCCTGGAGCCCTTCCCAGGTCGAGACGATCTTGATGAGCACCCGCTCCTTCGAGATCCCGAGACCTTCATACAGACCGATGATCTCGCGCGCCACGCGGATCGTGGCTTCCTTGTCGAAGGAATGGATCGCGTCGACCTCGGTGGACGTCCGGCCAGGGATTCGCTTGAGAATCTCTGCACCAAAGGTGACCAGCAACTGAAGCAGTGCAGCGGCTTCCTGTTCGGCGGGGTCCTGGGACTTTCCAAGACCGTACTTTGCCGCTTTTTCGAGGATCCAGTTGAACTTGGGCAGCTTCGTTGCTGTCATAATGTGCAGCGGATTGGTCGTCACATCTTGGGGGTTGTACTTGGGCAGGATGTCGAAGTCCGCGCTGTCAACCACGATGGTGGTATGCTGCCTGAGCTGCTCCAAACTGTCCAATGCCATGATTGATGGATCTATCTTGAGTGAAAGGATGAGACTCAGGCTAGGTCAATTGGCAAATGTCGATGTCGTCAACGGCGCAGTAAGGACGTCCGAAAGCTGAAATCCCCCTGGCCATATTTGGAGTAATTCGGCCATAGAACTAATACTGTTTACAGCAGATCGGGATTTTCCGATTCCTGAAGTCGACCCGTGCCACCTCCGAATCTACGACAGTACCAGAGGTCCATAGAGAACATACCGTGAACCGAACACCGCGAATACCAAGTGTCTACTGCAATGTTGCCGTGTATTTGTCGCCAATCGGCGCAGAGACGTCCCCTCGCGACCCACCCGGCGCCGGATCAACCTTGCTCCACTTTGTCATTTTGCTGCTACGTCATTGGAGAAAGTGTTCTGGATCCACTGCTCACATCGACCTCGGTACAGTCCCTCACAAAATAGATTTTGCCCGTCTGGACGGTCGAATCGTGGATTCTGTCTGTGTCTGTGCAGAAGAGTTTTCCATTGTCTGCTTGATTGACCTGACCCGATTTTGGCTATCTCCTCAGAAGAATGATCGCTCATGCAATACGTCCACCAGACCAACCACAACCAAGCACGAATAGCGATGGCAGGACATCCTCGTCGATCACCGGCCCCAGATACTGCCCCGGGCCCGCTTCGCACGCGACCTCCAAAAACATTCAAGGCATGCCGGACATGTCGGCGACAGAAGATGCGTTGCGAGGGTAAGGCTCCGTGTATGCGTTGTCAGGTATCCGGAACGCCCTGCATCTTTGATGTGATTGGACCCAAAAAGCCAACCCCGGACAAAAGCGCAGAGGCACAACAACAGCACAAGAGGTAACTCGCACGGTCTGTTCACCATTGATTTCTCCACCGAAAAATTGACATTCTTTGGGCAGGATTGAGGAACTGGAAGCCGAAATCCTGAGACTGCGGAGGCAGAATGCGTCCACTTCAGCAACCCATGATGTTCCGACGGAGTCACTTTCCAGTGAACAAGTACGAACGCCTACGGCCAGCCATGCCGCTATCGACGCGCCCGAAAATGGCAACACCGGCATGGGGAAGCCTCAAAATCCCTATGCACTGGCTCCGCACGATCTGGATGCCCCCGTGACTGCCATCCATGCCATGACTCCGGAAGCCCCTCGGCGTGTCGGCGGCCTGGACTGGGACGCGGGGCAAGCAACCCTGCTGCCGTCTATTACACAGCCTCACGATTTGGTCTCCGAAGGAGTGGTTGATGAATCGGTGGCCCGGGAATTGTTCAACAGGTGCGGTCCCACCGGAGATAAGCCTTGCTACCCTTGCTGATGACCATCCCAGCTTCATGACCGGCAGCAACACCTTCCTGCCCATGCTGGATCCCGTCCTGGACACCTTTGACTCCCTGCGTGTCCGCTCACCGTTCTGCTTTGCCGTTGTCCTGGCGACAGCAGCTCGTGTCAAGGAAGCATCTAACCCCACGGACCCTGTGAGACAGGCGACCCAGAACGAGGCTCGCGTCCTGGCTGCCGAAACTCTGTTCATTGGTGTGCCAGTCCTCGAGGATGTCCAGGCGATGACTCTCATCGCGGCCTTTTCAGAGAGAACATGGTTTGCAATTGGACATGCAATCCAAATGGCTCAGGTTTTGGAGCTCCAAAATGCTCTGCCGCAGCTCTTGCATAGTACCCGCTCTCGTTCCACCGACTCGCAGAAGACGGAGAGACTGCTTGCACGACAGGCAAGAATATGGCTAATGGTGTCGTTCATTGAATGGGAAATTGCTGCTGGCACGGCTCGTCGTCCGCGTCTCGAAGCCATTGATGTTGAGACGCTGAGAGCATTTGCGACACATCCAACTGCAAATGCATCGGAATCCCGAGTCGTCTCGCTTTTAGAGCTGGTTATCTTGAGAGGTTTGTTCTCGTTGCAACCCAAGGATGCTCAAAGGCTAATGATATCAGCACAAATGCAGAAAGACATCGAGGATTCCGAGAAATCATTACCCGCGGTCATGGCCAAGATCCGTTCGATATGTAATCGATTCGATTCCTGGTGTTCCTTCTGGGACGGCACCTTTGCAGGTATGTCTTATCACTACACTCTCCAGATCCACCCGAAATTTAATAACTGTACGCAGATGCTGGGTATCCCCAACCTTCTTTCCAGCGCACCAGCTTGTACATGTCCAGGGAATACGCAAAAACGTTTACATGCTGTGCTGCTCTGCGCCAGATCCAACCCCCTTCGTCTCCGCAGACCTCTGCGGCTTTTGGCGCGGCTAATCTGGACTCTGTTGCCTCAGAGCTACTATCCTACGTGATGAGTGTCATGTTCAATCAACTAACCTTTCTTGTACAAAACTCGGCCTACAAGTGGCACCTGAAATGGGCGCCTACGTATACTGCCTTGACCATCGCTTTCACGTGTATGTTCCCATTTGCTGATGTCGCATGAGGCAAAAGCTCTAAAACTAACCGGCAACAGGCGTCCTTGCACTCAAGATGTCGAAGCTCAGGCCCGAACTCATTGATCAGTCCCGCCTGGAGCCCTTGGCCAAAGAGGTCGCAAAGTTGTTGCAGACACATCCTCACCAAAACTTTCACCATGTGATCCGTCTGTTGATGGCCGTTCCGCAGACTATACATGCCGTGCCACCAAACAACCAAACGAGGGGCCCGGAAAATGTAACGGGAGAAGATATTCAGACGGCGTATAATGATGGAAATGTTCCTCAATTCTCTACCAGGCCTTCTCGCGGTGACCAAGTATCACAAGCCCTCGACAACCCCACGAGCTACAACGCAATCTATCCTGAGACAGGCGGTGACAACTTGCAGCTCGAGACGCACAACAGCCAAGACTCGAATTCGAACAGATATCGTGGCTGGATCGAGAACTGGAGTAATCTCGACTCAAGCTGGTTGTTGGACGGAACCTCGATTGGTTCTTTCGGCCTCCCGAACAATGGCAATGCGAGTGTATTTGACTTCGACCTGCCCATGGGATTCCAAGACTATCGATATGAGTGACAGCAATGACCCAAGAACGCTTTGACAGCGGAGAGGACTCGTTGTATTGAAATCTTCTCCCTAATGGTTGGACCACTCGTGGACCGGTGCCCACTCTTATATCTCCCGGTCCCGGAGTCGGATTCAACCAGTTTGAGACTCGGAACCGGGAACCGAAAGCCTCCACGTTCCCGTACGGGGGGTATATTCGGCTCCAATGAAGAACGAGTGGCCACTCGCAATGGCGTTCGACTTCTGAGACTTTGGACGTGCGAGTGGAATAAGTAGCCAGGCCTCCAAACGGTCTAACATATCTATCCAAGAAGCCCAGCTCGCCAGGCCACGATTGCAGCCTGGAGCAATCGAAGGTGTTGATGGACGATGACTTCTACGATTCCGCCGGTATGTATGACCATGACGGTTCAAGGCTAGGCAAGGGGCTTACGACCGCCTCGATTACAGTTGAAAGACAAAAGTCTTCTGATTGACCGTGCCTTCGTGGGCGGTCGTTGGGTGACCAGCCACTCAGGCAAGACATTCGAGGTAACAGGTACGAGAGAACGGTCTGTTGAAACTCGCCTGCCCGAGAGCTCTAACCCAGGTCCAGACCCGAGCACCGATGCCGTCGTCGGAACGTGTCCGGAATGCGATGTTCCCGACGTAGAGGCCGCCGTTGAGGCCGCCGCCAGCGCCTTCACGACTTTCAGAGCCACGACGGCCCGGCATCGGTCGGATCTGCTGCGGAAGTGGCACCAACTCATGCTGGACAACGCAGAGGACCTTGCCACCCTGATCACGCTGGAGAACGGGAAGCCGCTGGCTGACGCTCGAGGGGAGGTCAAGTACGCCTCGGATTTCCTCCTGTGGTTCGCCGAAGAATCACCCCGGATCTACGGCAGCACTATCCCCGCGAGTGTCGGTGGGAGGCGCATTCTGACAGTCAAGGAGCCTGTAGGCGTTTGCGGTCTCATCACGCCCTGGAATTTTCCCGCGGCGATGATCACGCGCAAGGCGGCGCCGGCCATAGCGGCAGGGTGTACAGTTGTTGTCAAGGCGCCTGGTGAGACGCCTCTGTCGGCTCTTGCTCTCGCCGAACTGGCCAGGCGGGCGGGCATCCCAGCGGGCGTCTTCAACGTCGTCACCACCTTGCAATACACCCCGGACGTCGGCAAGTCGCTGTGTACGCACCCGAAGGTGAAGAAGATCTCCTTCACCGGCTCGACGGCGGTCGGAAAGCTGCTGATGAAGCAATCTTCCGACACGCTGAAGAAGCTCTCGATGGAACTCGGCGGCAACTCGCCATTCATCGTGTTTGACGACGCGGATCTCGACGCGGCCGTCGAAGGCGCTCTCCTGAGCAAGTTCCGCTCCTCGGGCCAGACCTGTGTCTGCGCCAACCGGATCTACGTGCAGAAGGGCATCCTGCCGAAGTTCGCGGCCGAGTTCGTCGCGCGCGTGAAAGCATACAAGCTCGGAACGGGGTTCGACCCTGGCGCCACCCACGGGCCCCTCATCCACGGTCGCGCCGTAGACAAGGTGGACGGCCACGTGCGAGACGCGGAGGCCAAGGGCGCGCAGATTGCGCTGGGTGGACACAGGATCACGCAGGGCTTGGGCGAGAGGGGCCACTTCTACCCGCTCACCGTGCTGTTGAACGCGACGCCCGAGATGCGGATCGCCAGCGAGGAGACCTTCGGCCCTGTAGCGGCCCTGTTTCCTTTTGATACGGAAGGGGAGGTTATCGCGATGGCCAATGCGAGCGAAGTCGGCCTGGCGGGGTACTTCTTCAGCCAGGACATCCAGCGGTGCTGGCGTGTTGCCGAGGCCATGGAGGTCGGGATGGTGGGCGTCAACACTGGTAAGTTCCCCAAGCGAAATACTCGTTCTCGTTAGATGGGTGTCCCCCTCTTCCCTTGCAACCAAATTCGCTGGAGCCTACGAAACCCAAAAACCTCCTCTAACCTCGTGTCCACGACATTAGGCATCATAAGCGACCCCGCCTCTCCCTTTGGAGGGGTCAAACAGAGCGGGTTTGGGAGAGAAGGCAGCTCTCTCGGCATCGAAGAGTACATGACGGTCAAGAGCGTCACGCTGGGCGGGATCGATGGGCGGCTATGATGTGTTGACACCTTCATTTCTTCCCTGGGCCTCGCTGGTATGATTGGGCGCGCATATAGATGCTCGATATAGCCGGAGCCATCAGCTTGTATTTTGTCCGATGGTCTCGAGTTCCCAGGCTGTGGTTGGACCGGGGATGCCTGTTGCTCATCGCGAGTCCTTTCTCTTCTTCCCACTTCCCTCCGTCGGCATCTTCTTTCTATCCACCGTCCTGTATCTTCAAGGCTCTCTTTTGACTGCGGTCTGCCGGCGCCGGGAAGCCGTGGCTATAAGTTCTCCTCTTCCCTCGGGGCCGAAGGTCCTTCGAGTCACCTTCCATGTCCTTATTAGATGTATATCGCAGCCGCGCCCCCGGCTCCGAGCTCGAACTCCGACTCGAACTCCAGATCTAGATTCAGCTACGGGGTACAGATCCCTCACAGGGTTCTGGATATTGGGGGTTTAATTGGGCAATGATTCGCCGATCAGGAGACTTTCCGGGTACCTTTGATGGAGTTCTCTCCCTCTCTCCGCCTCTCTGATTACATTCTGGGCTGGGGCAGCCTTGGGGCAAGTGGGTGTCCGAGCACTCCTGAGCCATGGCTTTATTCCCTCTTTGGCGGGGATTCGTGGGCGTCGAGAATTCAAATGCGTCTAGATCTACACGGGTGTGAAAGAATGGTTTATGCTGATGTTGGGTTCAATCATGATACTTCCCACCCACTCATTCCTTGCTCTCCTTGTCATGTATGTATGTATATATGTATGTATGTTTGTATGTTTGTATGTTTGTATGTACACGCTATACAAATGTCCAGCCAATCAAGATGGTTCTGTACACATCTCATCTCCCTCTGCGTGCGCATTTCCCCGACGCCTCTATACCCCCGTGGCGGAAGGCAAAGGTCTAGAAGGCGGGTTTCTTCAAACACTCTAGGATTGCTTCTAGGTCTTCTGGCATCGGAGCTTTTCCTAAGACATTGGGGGAAACTGCATGGCTCTTTCCCCATTCATCACGAAGGACACATCCGAGATGGCAATCTCCGTTTCGGTCTTCTCAGGCTTGTCGTTGTCTACAAGCGACATGCTGCGTTGCTGGACCTCGGCGAAGCTGACCGTCGGCACGAATCCGGCAGACTGCCACGCGTGCGGCACTTTCTCGTAAAGTTCGTCGACTTGTTCCAGGGAGAGACCTGTGACACCGGAGACACGCGGCGCGATTATGTTAGAAACCTTTTCGTCCCACAAGATGCCATGGAATCAAAGTGAGGCATGTAAGGAGGGAGAGGGACATACCCTTGGTTTCGTAGATGCAGAACTGCACGAAAACAGCACACAAGACACACAGAGCGCCCCAGATGAAGAACACCTTGGATCCCAAGTTGGCGTTGCCCTTGCCCGGATTGACCATGTATGGGGTCGCATAAGCCAGAGCCCAGTTGAGCAACCAGTTGCTAGACGAAGTCATTCCCAAGGCTTTGGCACGGGTCTTGAGCGGGAAAATCTCGCCGGTGACGACCCATGCGCCGGGACCCCAGCTGTAGAAGACGAAAAATCAGAGTTAGCAAAAGAGTCCAGACCCTTTTCGAGGGAGATTGGAGAACGCAGGCCTCTCCCCCTTTCTCGTCAACATACCTCAGTTCGAAGAAGACAATGTAAAAACACACAAAGGCGATGACGACCGAGTTCGCCGTGGTGCTGTCGGGTAACGTGACGCCGATAGCGGCCACGATGAACTCGCATGCGGCCATGCCCAGGGCGCCCATTATCAGGAGCGGCCGGCGGCCCCATCTCTCGACTAAATAGAGACCCGGGAAGACACCGACGATGTTGCAGACGTCGCAGATGACGGTCACGAGGAAAGGGTTTGAGATGCCAGTGCGTTGGAAATAGGTTGTTCCGTAGTAGAAGATGAAATTGATCTGTTTTACCAATGACATTAGTGGATAAACATCAACAGTCGAGAACTTGATCTGGCTGGAAATGGATGAGGATGGTGCCGATGGAAAGACATGTGCTCATGTGGCAAGACGTACGCCTGTCAGTTGCTGCAGAGCCTGCAGACAAATCCCCGAGATGAGTCTCTTGCGGATCGGCTTGCGGAAACAGGTCAAATACGAGGCAGAGCCCAACGACATTTCATATTCGTGATTCCCTCTGATTTCGGCCAATTCGTCCACGATGGCTGGATGATTGATATCCAGCCGTCTCAGGCGCGATAGGCTCCGCGCTGCCTCGTCAAATTTACGCTCGCGCACCCGCTGGCGGGGTGTCTCAGGAAGAAGCATGGCACCAAAGAAGATGATGAGGGCGAAGATGAATTGGATGCCGATCGGGATGCGGTACGACCCCGTGTCGTCTCTATTCTTGGTGGCGTTGTCGACGATGCCGGCCGTGAACATGCCAACAGTGATGAAGAGTTGGTATGATCCAATGACGGCGCCCCGGAGCCACTTGGGCGACGTCTCGGCTTGGTAAAGCGGGATGGTTGCACTGAGCAGGCCGACTCCCAGACCTGGTTGATGTGTGGGTGAGCAGAGGCAACGATGTGTCTGGGGATCCGGGCCCTGTTACCTGCAAAGAATCGTCCCGCGAGGAAAAGCGGAATCGAGGTGGCTGCCGTCTGAATGACATTACCAAACATGAAAACACAGCTGTCAGCCATCAAAGCCTTGCGGCGGCCGATATAATCCGCAATGGGAGAGCTCAGGAGTGCACCGGCAAATGTCCCCGCCGACAGAATCGACACGATCAGGGACTGCTGGCCGGCGGTCACGTTGAGCTCCCCAGTCTCATCTCGATAACCCGTGGAGAAATGAGTTTTCCAATAACTGGTGAAAGTCCTGTTAGAAAACCACGGCAACACCCGGTCCACGACGCGAAAGAAGGTGGCGCACTCACTCCATAGCAAGAATGCCACTGATATAGCCGATATCATAACCAAACAGAACGCCACCAAAGGCGACGAACAGGCCGACGAAGAGGGCGACGGCGGTAGAGCCCGCAGCATCTGCCGGCTTCTTGAAGAAGATGCTCATATTGAAAGAGATGGGAGGGGTTCTCGTGAAGAGGACTATGCGTGTGTTGCGCTTCTCCTGATGAGAGATAGGGTCAGAATTCTTTTGATCAAAGGGACGACTAGGGCCATTCCTGGGGAATTGCTTTTATTGGGAATGTGGCATTTTATATCACGGATTGCTCAGATGGAGGTTTATACGCGGAAAATCGGCATGTGCCGCTGGGAAATGGTGGCACCGGCGCCGGGCAGTTTGGCAGTTTGGCCCAACCGAGAGCAGGGTTTTTCTCCATGGGGTCCCCATCCCGCACTCGACCTTGCTCTATGGGGTCGTGGATAGTTGTGTCCACTGAGCCAGGGGAGCGAACATGGACGTAAACATGGGATCTGAAGAGCACGCATGACCTCATCATCTCCACTCGATATCCCGTGCGATGCTGAAGTTTCGGCTCGAGCGGCTGGCGACGAGGGGTTGATAAGGGAAAGCCTCTTCGTCGGTGCCGGTCACGTGAAATTTGCATGAGGCGAAAGATCCCCGAGCCGGTGGTTTTCAGCGTTGTTTGTTGGTATGGTATTGTTCTGTGGGTACAGTGCAAGGGGCGTTAACCTGGTGGCTTCGAGAAGTCGGTGGTAACCCGGAAAGAAGACTGATGACCAGCGATTCCAGGTCGGTCCCCTGGCTTCCCCAGAACAAGCCGGGCACGAGGGTAGTCGGTGGTCTGGCTGCAAAGCGTGACAAGTGATGCTGCACGAGTGCATAGCGGTCTCGGTGTGGGCTGAATAGTGTGCTATTCGCCAACAGAGCAGCAGGAGCCGAGAAAAGAAGATTGTCAAGACGTAGCAGCAGCGCCTCCGGCTGCACAGCCATCTATTCCGAGTCCCATTTCCAGACCGGCTGCCAAAGCACGCGCTGTTCATAGCATGGCCTCTCACTCCTTCCACACCGTAGTAAGCCTACCTTGATTACCCGAGAGCCAAACTTGATCTGCGGAATTCCGACCAGCCGTCCTCAGTAGCTGATCTGCGTATCCTCCTATATTTCGGCAGGGCTAGGTCCGTAGGTCGTGACAGCAACTGTCGCCGCCCTCCAACAACAATCATGCCCATACCATTTCCAGATTTTGACTCGTTGCCAAAGGTTGAGGGACAGCCTCAAGGCAATGCCTGGGGACTGTGGGGAAAAGACGATGAACTGGGCAGTAAGTCAGACCGATGTCTCTCCGTTGAATCGCGCCTCACAAGAGGACAGCCCTGAACTACCTCACACCCGAGGTCGTCAGGCAGGCGGTGCAGGAGGTCAAGGCCGGCATCTCAGTCCAACTGGACCTCCGTTTAGACCACTTTGGGGAACGCATAGTTGGCCGCGAGCCGTTTGGGCACCAGATCATCGACTTCAGAGAGCGGCTGAAGGGCACACCCGATGAAGTAACCGGCCATGATGATGTGGTCACGTTCAACACGCAAAGTAGTTCTCAATGGGATGGTCTGAGACATATCGCTGTCCAGCATTGTGGCTTGTATTACAATGGGATGGAGCACCGAGTCATTGACGAAAACCTCGAAGACGGGCGCCTGGGAATTCACCGTGAGTATGAGTCTTGATCGAGATTTTGGGGTATCGACGGTTAATCGATGGATTCGAGCAGGATGGGCCGAAAGGGGGGGAATCGTGGGTCGAGGCGTGCTCCTCGATTACCACGCGTGGCGCAAGCAGACAGGCAAGCCTGCCGTTGCTGCCAATTCAACCTTCTCCATTTCAACCGATGAACTAGATCAAGTTGCACAGTACCAGAATGTGCAGTTCTGTGATGGGGACATCCTCATCGTCCGATCCGGCTTCACGGCCTGGCACAAGCATGCAGGCAAAGAAGAGCGACAGGCGTCGATGCAGCGGTCTGCCTTCATTGGGGTCGAAGCGTCCATGAGATCGGTCAAGTGGCTGTGGAATCACCACTTTGCGGCAGTTGCCGGGGACACCATCGCCTTCGAGAGCCAACCCATCACCTTCGGCGTCGAGGGCAAGGTGAATCTTCATGAATGGCTGCTGGGCCATTGGGGCACACCCATCGGCGAACTCTGGGATCTGGAAAGACTGTCAGAGGTATGTTTGCAGAGGAGGCAGTGGTCGTTTCTGCTCACCAGCGCGCCTCTGAACGTGTTTGGTGGCGTTGGTTCGACTCCCAACGTAGTGGCTATCCTCTGATGCGTAGGTCAGAACAAATTGTCCGGAAGCCGCAGACTGGAAATGCGTTATTGCCTCGTCACACAGGTAGTCTGGCAAGCCTCAAATCGGAAGCCAGGACTCGCGATATGTTCACAAGTCAAGAATGGCATGGCAACTCGGCCAAGAGTCTGATAGCTGCCAGCAGCGGCTGAAGACCACACAGTGCATGTGTCAGCGAATTCCCCCAGCTTGGTCCAGTATATATCTTCCATTGTCTTCCCATGCACGCTTAGTATTCTCCGGCCTCCGTAGCTTCCTTAACGCTGTCTCACTGACATGAATCGTCGCTTGCACCAGTGAGATATGCTCTCATATATCGGATCCGGGTTCTCCGTCAGATCCGCTTTGTGCTTTTCCTGCTGCTTGAGTTTATCTTGGCCATTTTCCAATTTCCCCGTGGACAGCTGCACCAGTCTCCTCGAACAGACCAACTAACTTCTGCTCTCGTAGTGCTTCAGCCGATATGGAATCTCCTGGTGATTTGAAGTTGAGGATGATGGAACTGCTTGGTTGGGTCTGGGCGATGACAGAAGCACGACCGCCTAGGAGATTTGTGGCATGCCATGTCCAATGAGGAGAATTTGCTACACCTGTAGAGAAGATAGAGGAATAGAGAAGGGAAAGTACTAGGACTTGGGAGGAATGACACCGTCACGACGAGGTCACGAGGGTGAGTGAGGGTTGAGTGACGGGTGTGTACAAGGTGAGTAGACGGCTAGAGGAGTGTGGGAGGGAGTTTTAAAAGCGCTTCTAGTGAGGACCTATAAAAGCAGCGAGGGCTCGGGTGAGCCGCACTTGAGCAGCGAGCAGCGAGCAGCTTTATCCCTGACACCATCTCGATGAGTGACCATCCACGTTTTGAAAGGTTTGTATATACGATAACTAAATCTAGTGATCACCTTTCACACGCCGTCCGTTATTCTATTGGCGATACTTATGACAGGAAAAGTATACAAGCATCGTGGCAGCGAGGTCGCGGAGTTGTCGGTCCCGTCGACTACGGATTGCCAGTTTGGACTTCCTCCGTTGCATTCCTCTGCATTGCGGATAGCCTCTGCAACATCAATCAACGATTCGAGAACGGCAGGATTCTCGGGCTTGGGGCTATCGAAGCCTCCTCTGCGAAACTCGGCACATTGGGTTCCAAGTATAAAGGGAATACCTTTCATTGCTTTCCGACAAACACCACCCACGTCAGCCGGGTCATCTTCATAGGGAGTAGGGTCCAGCACGACGTTCCAATCCATGCCGGTAATGGTGGAGCTCACAATCCAGTTCTTCAGGTTCGTCTCCATGACTGCAGCAAGCTCCTCGCGAGAGGCAACGGCGTCCAAGAAAGCTCCGCTTTGAGCCAGGCCAAATGCGAAGTTGTCTTGGGCTTCACTTCCGGGCTGGCCTGACGCCGAGTTTGGTCCCGTCCCGAAGACGATGTCGATCGACTCCTGCATGCGCTTCTGCGAACTGTCCACAATCTCTTGGACTTGTCGTTGTAGCTGATCCTTGGTTCGCTCTGCGAGGTCCTGGATTGCCTCGTTCGCAGCAATCGTGCGAACAACGTCCAACGGCCCGCTCAAGGCCTTGTCGTCTCCAGCCAGAGAGTATATGCGATCCAGGTTTTTGAAAAGCGTGACCCCGAGTGTGAAGGCCCTTCCGAAGGGTAGGATCCCAAGAACGAATCCTGCAATTGCCTCGAACACGGCTTCCAGGATGTTGCCTTGCTCCTCGGAGAGCCCGTCAACGACATCATTGATGAAGTTGGACTTCAGAATGGCAGATCCAGCGTCTTCAATGGCGAAGAAGTTATTCGACACTGCTTGGTGGAACCGAATGAAGTTCTCCACCACGAATCCCGCCTGAGGCGACACGTATTTGCCGCACACCTCGTTGCCGACATTGGGAATGTCTTTGAATGCGCAGTCGGTTCCCACTGTTGGATTCACCCCAATTGGGTGTTTGCACAAGTCAGAACCGATGACTGAGCAATCAAAGAGGAAAGACTCGCCGGGCAGGAGGTTCTGTTTGACGAAATATCCCGGGAAGCCGATATCGGTAGACGTCCCGGCGCCAAATGTTTGGACAAAGCTGGATAAAAAGTCATCGATCTTGAACGACGACCAGCTGGCTGTTGACAGGTCTGTCGTTCCGCATGCTTTCACCGGTTGGTCGGAAGGGTTGCATACCTCCTGGCGCGTCAGGAGTAAACCCCCAGTGTGGTTTTTCGCGGAAGCAAGTGCGAGGAAAAGAAAGCCGAGCATGGACGAAAGAAACATGGTTGATAATCCAAGTGAGGATGATGGAAACTGTGTGTGAGTCAATCTGGCTTGAATGCTGTAGAGAATAAGGACTTGAGTGTCGGGCTGTCTACGGCGCACACCTACTTATGCAATCTCCAGAGATCAAAGATGAAGTATCAGCACGCGTCTCAGACTGACCGCTCGCATTAGTCGCCGCATTCCCAAGTTCAGAACAAGAGCGGGCTGCCTCCTCGGGCGTCTGGACTTGGCTTCATAATCGCGCAGGGCAAGATGGACTTGTCGCGAGAAAAAATAGTACAGTTCCCAAAGCAGAAGTGCACTTGGTGGTCTAACCGACAAGGCTGATTAGCAAATGCAACTAAGGGGCTTCGGCCCTCAGCCTCACAGCCTTGGCCCGGCTGTCGATTGGCCCAGCGCTGCGCAACGAGATTGAACAGGGAAAAGGGCGTCGCTCGGCGTCTGGGGCATCTCACGGCCACTTGTTAGCGAGCCACAGCCGGAGGAGCATCGCAATAGAAAACAAAAAAGTCTGATGGGAATAGCCACAAACCCCTGGCCTTGGCAGTCAGTATCTAGGTAAGTATATCAAGCTGATGCTGTTAACGTTCAGCAGAAGGCGCTCCAGGTCGACTGCTACTATCCCTAACTCACCTTGAAACAACTTGACATAGCAACTGAACAGTATTTCAATGGAACCGCTCCGACACCTCAATACTCACGGCCAGTCCCCTCACGCTGGTGTCGGTGCCAGTCACGAACTTGAACGCTCTGCAAAGAAAAGAGCACTGGCTCGGCCGAATCTCCTTCGCGTGGTGATCAGGCTTATCACCCTCACGGTCGGAGCGTCCATCGTGGGCGTCCTGGCTCACGCAGCGGTAGTCTGGTACACGACGCGGAACGACATCCTCATGCAGCCGCACGGCATCCGCATGCGAGGGTGGCCGGCGCAGATGAATCTGATTCCCACGTGGATCATGCTCTCGGTGGCGGTGATTGCGATGGTCGTACAGATAATTGCACTTTTAACGTTGCTTCGAGGGGTGAGTCAGCCATCCATCCTGCTCCTTCTTCTTCTTCCATTGATCATGTTTGCGTTCCACCCAGGGCTACCGTCTCCGAGAATCTACCTGGCACACCTGGGGTTTGTTCCTCACTTCCCTCGTGGGTATCGCGATATGGGTCACCGCCGCGGTGTACTTCAAGCTTCAGGACAACAAGGGGGAGAGGAACTGGACCCTTTGGTCCTGGTCATGCTCGCACAAGTATCTCGTGAATGGGAAGATGTCGTTCCAGGCCATGTGCGTCGAACTGGTACGTCGGCCCGTTAAGACATGGTTCCGCAGCGATCTTTGTTGCTGATGTTTCTCCAGAATTACTGCTTTAACATCGCCGTGGTGGTTGCAGCCCTGGAGGTGCTGACTTTGAGCCTGTTCGGACTTCAATTGCGAAAGGCCAAGAGACAAGGTGGATATACCAGTATCACGGGGGGGGGAACGATGATGGCGACGATTCTTGTCAACTTCGCCCAGTCTGACCGCCGCACTGTCCGGATGCATTTCTGGTGATTTGGATACCCGATTCCTTCGCTGTGTCTGATGGTGGGCATTTGCGCGCGGTCGGATCTCTCCAGTGTACATTAATGCTTTGTGATTGTGTCTGTTTTCTGGAATGCTTAAGGTTAGAAGCTCTTCACCGTCTATCTGGGTATACTTCTATTGCCAACGATTGCCGTCCACGTTCGTGAAATGTGCCTATTCAGGCCCGCCATGGGATAGCCTAGCAAGGGTAACTCTTTTTTCGTTGGAGTTTGACAAGTACATTCCAACGGTGGCCGCAAGCTGATTAGAACAGATGTATATTGGCCGGTTCACGGAACGTGACATGGGCCTCAAGTTGATACTGGCTCTCAAACTTGGACTCCCGGGGGTCGAATTCGGTATATCTGTATTTTAGGACCTGCAGGAGTGGCCTTATGAGAATGTCGTAGAAATCCACGACTTAGACAGAACAGATGTGAGATAGGCGGCTCAAATCTGTGAGTAGTGTTCGGAAGCCTTCCTTCTGCTCTTCGCTATAGTCCAGGACGGAGACTCCAACGTCTATTTGATCCATCGGACTGCGGCCCGGACAAAAAAATCGCATATTTTTCGTACAGCAGCCGTAGAAGCTTCCTCGGGCTCGACGGACAACTCAGGGGTAGATTGCATGTCTTCTTGGACGGCCAGAATTACTCGAAACGATCCTTCATTGAGCCCATCTGCAGAACCTTTCTGCAAGGTCTCAATGCCGCACATTTATGCGGCCCTTTGTGGGTGTTTCATTGGTTATCAGGTTGATTCTCTCAGCTCCCGCCATGAGGTTGAGATACTGAGCTGACTCTGCTGAAAGATCAGGATCAACGCTAAGCAATGAGGAGACTCTCAGCTAAGCTGAAGATAACCTCTGGTGGGGAACATGTTGGTGGGCTGCAACGCCTAGGGCTCTAGCCACCAGTAACGGGCTCGAGGGCTACTTAAATGCTCCTTCAGAAAGGCCTTGATCGACCTTCAACGCCCACCCTCTGTGCCTCTGCAAGGCCGGGACCCAATGTTCAGGCTTTGTGCTCGCAGCTTCTAGCAAAGTCGTCCATTGTTGTGCTGATTAAAATTATTGCATGCATTGCCACCATTTGTGCGGTGCTATGTGGGTGTCACACATGGCTGATATGTCTGACATTACATGTATGGGCTGACCTACTACCATAAATCGAAGACGGCAGGGTGTACTCGGTATACAAACGTACATGATGGATGTGTTCCGTCTCCCCGCAGCCTCGGCCATTACTGCCTCTGACGATTTTCGCTTGGTGCTTGGTGCCTTTCAACCTCTCCAATGCTATCCGTGTCCATTGGTCCGAGCTTTGGGTAGGGGTTGGTCAACATGGATATATCTTTCGTTCAACGCAAGCTCCATTGGCTGAGAAGGAGAAGTAAAAATAACCTCAACGGGCAAGGGCTAGCTGGTCGACTTTTGGGATAGGAACAGCTGACTGTGAGAGACGGGCTGCAAGGCTGGTTGCCTTGAGAAGGAGACATCTGACAATCCCGCCTGTGACTGGCTGCCTCCCCATCTGACCGAGCTTCTTCACTCTCCGAGAGTCAAAGATGGTCTTCTTGTCCCTGTAAGTGATGACCCACCATAAGCGCAGGGGCAAATCACCCAAGGCTGGCACGCCATCCTCAAATGCCCAGGGCAATCAAGTGGTCTATATCTGCAACTCCAAAAATCTCCGCCTCCCTTTGAAAATTGGGGGCGCATGAGGGGGACAAAACCTTTGCTCCACGACTCCGGAGAACAGTTTCCGGAAATAAATACCTAGGTAGACGTCTCAAACGTGGTCTGATAGAATGATTGGTTCTCTGGCTGTATCAGAGAGGCCCGAGGCAGTCCTGGACAACCTTCTGAGACCCTCCAAGGAGCCTGCTGACCCTTGACTCCATTATGATAACCGATAAACCCCATGGCATCAGCCTGAGGGGCCGAGGTCTCCGCATCTGTTCGGTCTGATGTTCGTGCTACTATCGCAGGAGTTCGACCATCGATCAATGCATCTCCGCACCCCTCCACTGTAGATATACTTATCTCTTGTTTCATTTCAAACATCTCTTCCATCGTCTAATGAAGGTTCGCATTTCAGGAGAGCGATAACCTAATATCGCAGGCGAGATTTGTGCTCGGGTAATTGTTGTTCTTTTCTTGGTTCCAGGCAGGCCATCCCCAATCTACCAGCCATGCCGATAAAGCGAGATATTGGCCACACGACATCCCCCGTCAACGGGTCAGATGAGCCGTCCGAGGCAGGAGTCGTACAGAATGGAGACCACGTCAACGGCAGCGATGAGGTACTGGATATGATTATCGTGGGTGCTGGATTCGCGGGGATCTATTTGCTTTATCAACTGAGGAAACGGGGCTTCAAAGCCAAAATTGTCGAGGTATTTCCTTCCCTCACCCGCGTGATGTATCACCAAACATCTCGATATACTGACATGGGGACTCGCAAGGCTGGATCCGACCTTGGCGGGATCTGGTATTGGAACCGATACCCTGGCGCCCGCGTGGACAGTCAGTATCCGGTCTACGCGCTTTCCATACCCGAAGTGTACCGCGACTGGACCTGGTCGTCGCACTACCCCGACCACGCGGAGCTGCGCGAATACTTCCAGCATGTAGAGGACTGCCTCCACGTGAAGAAGGACTGCGTCTTCAACACCAAAGTCACCGAGGCGGCGTGGGACGATGAGACGTGCCTGTGGACGATCCGGTGCGAGACTGGCAAAACGTTCCAGACCAAGTACTGGACTGCGTGTACCGGATTCGCGGCCAAGCGGTACTTCCCGGACTGGGAAGGCCTGGAGGACTTCAAGGGCGTGATCCATCATTCCAGCTTTTGGCCCAAGGAAGGGGTCGACGTCAAGGGGAAGCGGGTGGCTGTGATCGGGACTGGCGCCACTGGCGTGCAAATCACTCAAGAGGTTCGTTTTGTTCGTCGCTTACCCATGCCTCTAACCAAGCTCAAACCCCGGCGCCTTAAGACGCCGTTAAAAAACCTCCCTGTGGAGGGACGTTGACCAGGAGGCTGACATATATATCTTTTACGTTCGTTATCAGTGGGCCAGAGAAATCGGAGAAGATGGACACCTAGAAATGTTCCAGCGGACGCCGAACCTAGCGTGCCCCATGAACCAAGTGTACATGACCAAGGAAGAACAAGCCAAGCTGGTCGAGGGGCTGGCCGAGAGATTCGCCGAGCGCAACAACTACTACAACGGGTTTCTCTACCAGTGGCGCGACAACCTGACTTTCGACCACACCAAGGAGGAGAGACAAGAGTTCTACGAAATGCTGTGGAGGATGGTGAGACAACACAAATCTCCCGCCCACTCCCACCTAAATTCCCCAGAGGCCCCTCCTATGGCTAGAATGCAGAGGCGGATGCTGATTTGATTCTTGTTCAACTCACGTCTAGGGAGGCTTCAGATTCCTCATGAACAACTACTACGACATGACACGCAACAACAAGGCCAACCAGGAAGCATACGAATTCTGGCGAGATCACGTACGACAACGGGTTCACGACCCAAGAAAGCAAGAGCTTCTGGCGCCCTGGGAACGGCCGCATCTCTTCGGTGGGAAACGGCTCTCCCTCGAGCAGGACTTTTACGATCATTTCAACAAGGTAAGAAACCATCCACGCGCATGAAGCCCTCCTATTTGGTCCTCCCTTAGGTCGGGAGTCACCTAACAGAGAGACCATGGTGCTGACTTCTATTTCCCACGCTGGCTAGCCCAACGTCGATGTGGTCGATGTTCGAGACAACCCCATCAAACGATTCGTCGCCGACGGTATCGTCCAGGAAGACGGGACGTACCACAAACTCGACGTCATTGCGCTGGCGACAGGCTTTGACTCCATCACCGGTGGTTTGAAGGACATGAAAATCACCGGCGTCAACGGCGAGGTCCTGACCGAGAAATGGGCGCAAGGCACCTGGACGTACCTGGGCATCTCGACCGCGCACTTTCCGAATTTCTTCTTGTGAGTGTCCCAATCACGTCCTAACACCCCGTTCCAATATAAAACGCTTCATCAGCACGGATCAACACCCAGATCCCCTCCTCCTCCCCCCCTGGGGGAAGACCCCAGAATGCACAAATGACTGACCGGTCTTTCCTTTCTCAGTACGTACGGGCCGCAAGCGCCGACGGCCTTCTCGAACGGGCCCTCGTGCATCGAGATCCAAGGCGACTGGATCGCCTCGGTCCTGGAGGACATGCAAGAGCGAGGGCTGAAGAAGATCGACGCGGACCGCGCGGCCGAAGAAGACTGGCGGAAATTGGTGTTTGAACTGATCAACGACACGCCCCGCGGCAAGGTCGACTCCTGGTACAACGGCGCCAACATCCCGGGAAAGCCGCGCGAGCACCTGAACTACGCGGGAGGGATCCCCCGATACAAGAAGACGCTCGAGCAGATTAGAAAAGACGGATACAGCGGATTTGTCCTGGCGTAAACCATGTCGCTCAAGGCTAGGTTGTCTCGGCTCCCTTTCTTTTGCCATTGGGCGAGAAGAAGATTGCTTGCTGTGGTAAAGAGATTTGCTCCAGTAGCTGCATTCCGTAGATGTCAATGTAAGAGCACAGTTTGATTCATTCGGACCTTTCACACCCCTGGTACTTGGGGCCGGAAAAGGGGACAACGGTCCGCAACTGACGCCCAATTGCTTTTCCCAATACATTTCAAGATACAGGGATTTCGACATCGGAATCTCGACATGAGGACTTTCCATTTCCGTCTTTGCACCTGAGCCGTTGCTGCTTCAGCCTGAGCCGTCCTGAGCAAGCCCTACACGTGACTGACCGTGATGTCATTCAGCCTGAGCAACAGTCAAAGCGGGCCTCCATCTGGGCCAGGGGTCTTGTTTCCGGCACCCGCCTATAGTTGCCACTTTACTGTTCCCTTTTCCCTATACGGAGTACTAATGTTCTTGTCGCTAGCATCCTCGCGGAGACGGATCGAGGCTAGCGACTGAGGTTAGTGGATCAAGTATAAACTGTCTTAGGCTTATATGCCGCTTTTATAACGACTTACCCTCCCTCTCACCTTTGCGCTTACCCTTCACTAATCTCGTATAGGCTCTGCAAAAAGTGTAGTAGATATTTTGATCTAATGCGACTTTGAACACTTACGCCGCGTAAGGACGGAATACGGCGGGCTACTCCCGCACACGGCGATATACCAACGCTGGTCAATGGAATGTGGAATGTAAGAGCCCACTAGCGCCAGTCCCCCATAAAATCGCAAACAAACAAAGACACCAACCCATCTGTCTGCGTTAGACGCTCCTGCTTTCCCACCCACAGTTAACTTCCTCTCTCCTCTCTTTCTATGTCTCCCCCTCTGCGAGCGAGTCGTCCTCCTCCCGCTAGCAAGAATCGGCTGCAAGCTGCAACCGGCTCTGGCTGTCGGAGGAGTAGACGATTGCAAAACAAGCCTCCACGTTCCTACGCCCAAACAACCCACCGAAACCGCACTAAACAATCGCACTCTGAACCAACGCACTCTGTGGAATCGGAACTGGAATCTCCAAAACTCCCGCCCTCTATCCATAGCCTGACGAAGGAGAACCTCCGAATACTCAACGAGCAAGAGATGGCCAAGAGAAAAAGGATCGGCGAAGAGAGCATGACAACCACAAAGCGAACCCAAACTCAAAGCAAGCAGGCGCCTAGCACTAATGGCGGCTATCGCATCCACCGTCTCAATGTCGTTAATATCTTCTTTGATGATGATATTCCAGACCACTTCCAAGCTGCGATCGACAACATTGTGAAAGCAAAAGTTCCGTCCGAGGAGCGCCGAGCTGTGATTCACAACACCGCTGAACGGTTCTACAATTGTTGTCGGGAGATTAGTGACAATAAAAGTATGGAAGTCAGTTTTGTTGGTCTTTGTCGTGATGCGCTTCGAGATATGTTGAGACCGAATATCTCCCTTCAACCTGAAGCCGATTGGCGATATGAATTCAAGCCAGGTATATCAAAGGGCAACCCGATTTTCCGAGATGACCAAGGGGCTCCTGCAATCAAAACACCTTGTCCGGATATCACAATTGGTATTGGCCGAAAAGCGTTCTTGGACTCTCTCTCCTCACCAGCTTTCACCCAAACTCAGGCCCAGGAATTTCTTCGAAGACTTCAGACAGAATACGACTCCCTAGACCAGAACGAAGAAAAGCTACTCCTAACGGTTATGGAAACTGGTCGCGTCTTTTTTCCATTCGCGACTCTTGAGGCAAAGGCTTACCTAACCGGAAAGCAAATCTCCGAAGCACAAAATCAGGCCGCCGTTTCGGGAGCGAGTGCCCTAAATTTTCAGCTTCATCTTGCGGAGATGGCGAAGAGCGCAGCCTCGGAGTTTGACGATAGTGAATATCAATATCCTCTCTTCTTTTCCATTTGCACCGAAGGACCCTACCACGAGCTGTGGGCTCACTACACCTGCGTCGAGGAAGGTCGGCGTATCTTCAACATGAAGCTGGTCAAGATCTGCAACGCAATGCTGAAAGAGACCATCGAAGACTTCTTCATTGCGGTGGAGAATGTGTTGCGCTGGGGTGCCGACACGTTTCTGAAATCGGTGGCAGACCGGATGCGATTGGTGGCAATCAAGACATTGACCGAAGTCGACGGAACGAACTGAGACGCCTGCACTTCGCTCCGTTGCAGAAATGGGATTTGAGAGAAAGAGGAAGAGGACCAGGACCAGGACCAGGACCGGGATCGGGATCGGGATCAGGAGGACGATGAAAGTGAGGACGATGACGACCGCAAGGACGAGGAAGAGGACCAGAAGGACGAGATGGATTGATAGTCGGATATGGCCGGGGATTCAAGAAGAGGCGACGCAACTGGGGAAGAGGGAATGGGTAAGAAGAGATGGATTGACAAAGGCCGAAGATTAACGCTGGGGGATCAAGAACATTGAGATTGGTTCACAGAACATGGTCGGATATGGTTGGAACTTGATAGACTAGATACCCCCGTATTGATGCCCCAATATGTTTGTAAGGCTCTACATTCAGTATCTAACGTTGTCAATGTCAAACGAATGTCAAATGCTGGGCAAAGGCAGTTTTTTAACCGAGTGGTGTCTTCTACTTGTCGTCAGCAGAGTGACCTAGCTCAGCCGGCCCTGAGCCGACGTTGAGCCGGACGCGAGCCGGCCTGAGCAATGTGACTCAATGGAGGAACATGGTGAATTCTACTCGGTCCTGGGGACCGTCAGACTATATACCCTTGAGTAATTTACACAGGCCTACTAGCGCCGTCCGATGGCCTTCGGCCGAAGGCCATCGGGGTACCTTCCCTGGCCGTCATTACATAGCCTTGGCAGGGCCGTCAGTCACAGCAAAAGCGGCGCGGGGTCACGTGGAACAGGAGGGAGGGAGGCGTCGAGATTCCGGTGGTGAAATATTTTTTCTGTCCTCCCTGAAGATTGTGACTCCACTTGCCATTTTTAGGACCGTAAACCTACTTGACACTCAGTATTCCAATCAAGCCCAACTGCAATGGTAATTGTATCATGTTACAAGTTCCGGAACTCGACGGGCACCATTCGGACTGTCAAGGCGACAACTCCGGAAGCACTCGAGACCCATGATGGGGTGGCGTCTCTAAAAGCCAATGCCTCATCAATGACTCGGTGGTGCGTTTTGTCGGCCACCCGTTTGCGTTTTCGGCTTGATGAAGCAGATCTAGGATCGCGTGTTGCTCATCCGGATCGGTGAACCAGCCGCCGCCTGCGAGAGACAGGGGCATCTCTGATTAGCCAGGTGAAACTCAAGAATGGGCACGAAAACGTCTAGGAGACACTTACACATTTGCATGATGGGGCACATGAAGAACCTGGTGGTGACGAAGTGGCCGGACTGGGCGATCCCGCAAAGTGCTCTGGTGTGGAAGAGAACAGTTTCCTAAGAGGACGATAGAAAAATTAGATACTGTCAAAATGGCCCGGTCCTAACACTCTACGATCGGAGACAATCTTGATGGGCTCAGAGACTTAACCCCAATGGAGAAGCAAACTCACCCTCATTGTTCGATGAGCCCGAGCGTACTCGAGTCCCACACCTGGAGGTGGAACATAAGGACTGTACAAGCACAACAAAAGCTTTGCGAGGTGGTAGTATTGCATCCCTGTGGCTGTGAATGGCGGGGTCAGCTCTGGGAAGGTAGCATCGCCCGGAAAATTGCAACCACGTACCATGCCACGGAGTGTAGAACAAGATTTCAGGCCAATGCCTTCCTTCGGCGACCGCGGGCTGCCCCGCGAAAATCGGTCTGAACGACGCTGGTTTCTGTGCATCCCACATGTCGACCTGGTCAGTCAGATCCTGCCACATGTCGACGGATTTTGCCGTCCCGGAGAAGCAGTAGGATATGACCATGACCGTGGAGAAGACGATCCGGTTCGCCCACACGGAATCGGACGTCTCGGACAAGGAGAAGAAGAAGTCTTGTTTGGTAAAGTCGATTCGAGGGGGTTGATGGGTGAAAAGGGCCATGTACGCGTCCTGGCGGACGAATTGCCAGAAGGCGGCTTCAGCCAGTCCGCCCGTCATGGCACAACTTCGAGAATTGAAGAGTGCGGCGACGCCGAGTAGATGGTGGCCACGGTCCTGTCCGATGATGTGAACTATATCAACCCGGAAATGTGTCAATATGGATCGATTCATGACAGATAATCTCGAGAGCTTTTCAGCCGGGCACAGATGGACTTGCCGTTCATCTCCTCGAACTTGCGCAAGATAACTGCGGCGGAAAGCACGTCCTCATCGATGGCGGTATCTTTGTCGTTCATAAGAGAGATCAGCTTTCCTATACACCGTGTGTGGTAGACTTCGGAGAGGACGGGGTCGACGTCCACCCGCTGCGTGGTTTCTGTCGGGTGGAGTCGACCGATATTCAAGGCAGAGAGGGCAAAGATGGCATCTAGGAGGACATCACTCTCCAGCGCTCGTTCGGGCACATGAATTTGAAAATGTCGCCGCGGATCTGTTACGTCGAACTACAGGCCAGAGGCATCAGAAAACGCATAGTAGAGGAGGGCTTGCGAAAGGTAGATAGGGGCAGGCCTGAAACCAAAAACTCACCCAGGGGGCCAAATTCTCCACATAGTGCCGGAAGAGCAAGGCTTCCACGCGGTCCTTCAAGCGGGGGGTCTCGATGGCTACAGCTCTTGTAGAAGACGTGGCTTCGGACAGGATGTCCAGCTCAGGAGAGCCCGATGTGGACAAGGCGGGGAGAAACGGCCTTGGGTCGTCTGCCGGCTGCATCAATCCAATGGCAGGATTGAACGTGCTGGCACTGATCAAGGCCGTGAGCGAAGTCAGGCTCGGAGAGACTCTGGACAAGTCGACATCCGCTACGATGCTCGACTGAGGCGGAGACGACGTCCCATGTCTCTCGCTATCGAACTCTTCGTCCACCCAACAAGCACTCTCATCTTGAATCTGCTCGTGGATCTGGGCAGAGATCTCAGTCACCTCCTCGTCCGCCGTTTGTATTTCGGGAGAAGTTACATCAACATTCTCGGCCACAAAAGTCACTATCAACCTCATTAGCTAGACAGGTCTGTCGTGGAGACATTGGTGCTGACATTTCCTTGGGACCCGTAGCCAACGCTGCGTATCGGAGTGGACTGCATCACCTGCTATAGATCGGCGGTCCCTCCTCCATTGCGAGAACAGAGAGGCTTCTAGACATTCTCGATTGGATTCTTCGCACCGTCGACAGACAGGAGACTGTTCATCACCTAGAAATCAACTTTGAGCCACCGGTTTCGGTCAATGAAAAAAGCCAATTTCTGCTTGACTCACATTTGATGTGCCTCCTTCTGCACGTGTCGCTAACACGACGAGTGAGCATGCATGACTTCAAACGCCTAGAAAAGGGGGTGGAACACTCACCATGCTTTCCGGGATCTATTCTTTCCCATCGATAGAGAGTTGTTGTCTGGATACTGGATTAGGATCAAGTCCGCGAGCACTTGTTATCCTGCCATACTAGCATTGCGCAGAGATGAGGAGCAATGTCTAGCAACAAAATCGGATGCTTGCCCACGGGAAATTATTACGTCGTTCGGCTTTCTGGGGGATAGGTGTTCTCTACCACGCACCTCGGAAAGAAATCCAGTTTCCGTTTTCGAATTGAGGATGAGCCAATATTGGGTTCGCGGAGAGAGCTGCGACCCCGGAGGCGGGTAGGTAATGGGGTCAGGGGGGGATGGATGGGTTAGCGAGCCTTCCCGTACCCACCACCTACTTCCCACTGGCCCAAGGGCCAGGGCGAATGGATCTGCTCCAGACCCTCGCCCAATCTCGTCGAAACAGGAGAATCTTCCGAGTCACCACGTTCGGTGGCTAGTTCTTTCCCCCCAGAGCCGAGATTGCCGAAGCCAGGCAGGAGACAGGGCTTGGAGGAGCCAGCAATAGAGGTGAATGGGGGGGTGCCCGAGACACGTCGAGCAAGATTCGTACTCTGCGCCTGAGCGAACGAACCAACCTAGTATCATCACGATAGCAAGCCTTCATTGCTGCAAGGAAGCAACTTTGTTCTATACATCTTCTTGCGTATGGGTGTAAATAATTGTCTGCTCTAGGTGGTGCAAGCACGGTAATAACCGAGTATACTCCGTGCACTGGAATTCATTATGATGACCTACGACAGTCCTCACTGCCCATACCTCAGGCGGTAGAGACCTCTAACCGCCCCATGGGTAAGCAGAAGATGTCTCATGCAGTAGAATAGATCCTTGCCTCCTTTCCCCTCCAGTCCCGTTTCGAACCAAAAGCCACAGCTGTTTCTCCTTCTCTACAAGACATACCTGACCGCCGGACTCTTGTCCCCTAATTCTGCCAGCTGTTGATTGGTGTACATCTCCAGCGACATCTTTGCCCTCTTCTTGTTGGCGAGGGAGCAGCTGATGTAGTAAGCGATCACCAACACCAGGCCCATGCTGACGAATGCGAGTTCAATGGTATGTCCCGTTCGATACGTGGGTGCGTCCGATGCCACGTAGAAATTGGACGCTGCAGCACCGGCGAGAGTACCCAGTCCGATTTGCAAAGCCATGGCCACGGATCGCTTGTGCACTGGTGCTAGGTTATTGGAGAACCACGCAAGAAGCCCCGGTATGACTGTGCGCACTGGTCAGTAGTATGAAAAGGAGAAAAGGAGGGATGTGTGCAGGGGGTTCAAGCATGAACGGCGGTGCGCCATTTTGGCAGAATATAGAGACTGGTACACTGGTTGTACTCACCACTGTAGAGACCACACGCCGCGATCATGATCCCAGCGTAGGTGAGTCCAGGAGTGAAGTGCCTAGGAGCAGCACACATAATATACCCAGTAAGCATTGCGACGTAGCAACCGAACACAAACGGCGCTCGTTTCCTCAGCCGGTCCGAGAAATATCCCACCAGAAGACAGGTGATGCAAGCGGCGGCATAGATGGGAATGGTGAGCAGCTGCGCCTCCGTTGACTTGTAGCCCATTGACTTGACAATGGTTGGCAGGAACAAAGAGACCCCGTAAAGAGGACAACACTGTCGTCAACTAGAGTCAGCGCAAGGCCTGGAAATCGAGACACCCAAGGGAGGAAAGAACCCACTGCCGCCCAGTAGAGTAAGACCATCATATACGTCTGCAGAAAGTAGTCAGTGGATTGGGTCATGTGTGCCAATATCCGACTCGGACTTACCTGCCAGTCTGTGAACGCCATTGCAACATATTTCCACCGAAAAGACGTCTCAAGTCCGACGGCCTCCCCTTCGTGGCCTTGGCCACCAAGGTCGTGCCTCAATCGATGGACGAGATAGACTCTTTCCCTCTGTGTCAGGAACTTGGCCGTCTCGGGGAAGTCGTGGATGAACCAGAAAGCGGCCACAGCCACGATGACCGTCAAGATGCCCTCGAGGATGAAAATCCATCTCCAGCCGGCCTGACCTGCCACGCCATCCATCTGGAGGATCGCATAGGCGAGCAAGCCTGAGAACCCGCCAGCAAGGCTCGCTCCGGCGAAAAACAGGCCCATTCGAAATTGCACTTCATGGCGTGTGTACCTAAATATCCCTGGCTCAGCAAAATTCCAAGATCTTTTATATCGCTAGTCCCTTGCGTCGAAGGCTTACCACATCGTGAGGTAATATGCCACTCCTGGAACTGTTTGTTTTTGAGCGTCAGCGGTTTGACCCCGTGGAATGGTGCCGAGAAACATTGCTTACAGAGTCCAGACTCGGTCATCCCCAGGAAAAATCGGGTGGCAAGGAGTCCTTCGTAGTTTTGCACAGTGCCCATCAGAGTCATGACAGTGCCTGCACAGAGAAATCGTCACTAGTGGTCAAGAGAGAGAGAGAGAGGGATAAACGTGACTCGTCAATTAGAGCCTACTTACCCCAAGCAATCATGATCGAAGGAAGCCAGATGGAAGGCCGGAATTTCATCAGCAGCAGGTTCGATGGTGCCTCGAACAGGCAGTATGGAAAGAAAAAGATGGTTAAGGCTCTGCCGTCAACGAGAGAATTTGCTTGTTAGCTTCTTTGTTTGTAACAGGGGAGTCAGTTCACCGACATGTTGTATTGATTGCCGACTAAGCCAAGGTCGTCTTCCAAGCCCCCAAGTCGCGCGTTGCCTATGTTGCCGCGGTCCAGGAAAGAGAGCAGGTATAGTAATGTCACCATCGGGACCAGTCGGAGGTCCATCTTGCGGAGTAATTTCTTCCTCTCGGCCTCTGTAAGGTCGGGAGTTTGGCGGTTGTCTTCGATCATAATGGTGTGTGCCATTTCCAACTCTGCGTTGTGAATTGATTTGCCCTCTTGCAGGGCTCGCTCCTCTGAAGGCACCATTGTGGGAAGAACAAGGGCAGATTTTGGAGTATATTGACGCAGTTGGCTTCGGTAGAATAGTGTTCTGGAGTAGACGCAAGTGGTTCTAACACTGCTTTCTTTATAGTTGTCAATTAACTACAGCTTCTAGACCTAGAAGGCTGTGGAGTGATCAGGAAGCTATGGTATGCGAGAAGCCAACCAGGGGGCCTGAGGAAAAATCTACCTCTTGGAGAATGCGGGTGGTCGACGCCGAGTCCGAGCTACAAAACCGTAACCCCTATTGCTTTTGGGAAAATCTTCCGTGAAAGAGGAAGCCTGGCTAGCCCAAGGTGCTTCCATCCCGCGTTTCACTCACGCCACCTGGGGTATGGGGAAGAGAAGCAGATGACAAAAAGTCCACCACTCTGTAAGTCAATGCCCAAACCCCTAGAAGATGTGGATGCGACTCAATTTCTGATGGATGTTCCAGCCGAGATCACTACGGCGGCTGGATACAGGACTAGAGGCAGGCCAACAAGAATACCTCCAGACGGTGCGCATGCAGACGGTCTGAGTCTCTCGCTGGGCTCAGCCAGGTCCGTAATGCTTAGGGCCCTTTACAGTCGCCGGTTGTAGTGGGATCTCGGTCCCTTGGGTGGCCGCATAGCTTTCGTGGGTTGCACGAACCCGGATTTCTAGAGGCACTTTGTACTTCTAACGATCCTAGAGAATAGATGTTTGTTCTAGATACCAAGAAGAAGAGATATATCTGCGGCTCAGTCCTCTGGGATTGCTGGTGTCGTGGGGATAGGACTCTGTTTCAACGTTATGTCTGCCCATTTCTCCCAGGCGCGCAGACACTTCGCGTGGCAGGCGTCCGGCTCAACTTCCTTCAGCGCTTTCCCCAGCCTCTCATGAAGTAAGGCCGGCAAAGGCGTTGAGAAACCCATCTGCTCTGCGAGGTTCTTGTTGATCCCAAGGTCTTTGACCAGGAGTGCGAGTTGGAATCCCGACTGATACCTCCTTGTGAGCCCTTCGTCTCTCATGGTGTTTTCCGATGCGAAGACACGGCCCGTTCCTACATTAAGTACATCCAACATGGTGGCAGGGTCCAGGCCGAACTTGGTACCGACGACGAACGAATCAGCCAACGCGCAGATAGACGAGGCCATGATGTAGTTGTTCATCGTTTTCATTGCGTGGCCCGAGCCAATTCCACCCATGACGAAGCGGTACTTCGCCACAGCATCGAGTACCGGCATTACCCTGGTCACGACCTCGTTATTCTTGGCCCCAATCATGATGGTGATCTTTCCGACGTCGGTGTCGTGGAGCTTTCGCTGGGTGATGGGCGAGTCGATGAAATCCAACCCGAAGACTTCAAGATCTTTCGCCAGTTCGATCGAGTTGAATGGGTCTGCCGAAGACATGTCGACCACGACGCAACCTAAAGAAGTAAGCATATCAGCCGCTGCGACCTCCTTCAAAATAGATCTCTAATTCTCCGGGAAGGAGGCGTTCATGTGTGGCTTAAAGCGAACAAGATACACGTACCCTTCTTCAAGGACGGAGCGATCCCTGTCCTCCCCAACAAGACGTCTCTGACAATATTACCATTCGGGAGCATCGTGATCAGCACGTCGACATCTCGGAATCCCTCACCACTACCCGGCGGGGCCGCCTCACAGTGAAACTGGTCCGCAAACTCCTTCGCACGTTCGAAATTCGCGTCGCTAACGACCAGAGGGAAGCCTCTTCGGGGCAAATTCGTCGCAATTGGCCATCCAGCATGACCCAAACCAATGTATCCGACTTTGAGGTCCTGATGGAAGCCGTTTGATACCCCGTTGGAGGTCCCATTAACTGCAGTGGAGGCCATGGTCCAAGAAGTATATCGTCTTCCACAAAGTCAACTAAACTGGTCTCGAAAATTCGGTGATAAACGGGTGGTTCCTTGGTTCGTATTCGTCTTTCAGAAAAAGAGATTCTAGGCGAGGCAGAAGTTATATAGGATCTGGCGGCACGATTATTGAGGCGAAGAAGATCACCAAGGACTCGATTGCTGCATTTAGAGACTACATTCAAGCCAAGAGGTGCCATGATTGAGGCAGAAATGCTCAGATCACGGAGCGAATAAGAGCGCGGAAACATTACTGCAAGAAGCAGATCCTCGATTTGTGCCTATTATTCTCGGTGGGCCATGGTCAAGTTTCTACACAAAGTATTTCCGCCCCCGGAGTGGCCACCGAACAATGGCGTCTGCATCAAAGGCCCTTAAGCCGAATGTCAGGTGGGGTAAATGCTTAGACAAAGTAATCAGATGGTTGTTCTTCAGCTTTTTGCTCCGAAGGTGGTTGTAGCCGGGAAGAATGGCGACTTCTGCTTCCCATGATGGTGATTGTCTCAGATTCTTCCTTGTGTAGACGGTTCGCCGGGGGACGTTCAGTCATTCATGACAGCTTCCCCCGTTCGTCCTTTATTTTGGCCTGAACCAGAGCCTAGAATCGAAAAATACCTCGATGTTGGTCAAGAAAGAGCTACTCCAGTTTATTGTGACTGCGTTACACACGAAAGCACAAGTATACAATCTTCGGAAGGCATTGAATGGCGAGGAACAGACTGTCCTATCTGTGACCTTCTATCGAGCAACTCTCTATCCACCTTTTACACCCAGTTCGTGATCGATAGGATAATATTGCAATAGATTTTTTGTCACTCTTTGTAGTGATATAGAACTTAGTGCCGAGCCCAGTACGGCACGAAGTTTTGAGAAACCTCTGGGCCTAATGGCGTTTCATGAATCCGATACCCGCCTCTTTGAAGCAGTCCGCTGTTTTCCCTTTGATCACAGACGCCAGCTTATCGTCTAAATGCTTACGCACTTCCGACTGAAGATGCGCTTCCAAGCTAGCCCGGGTCTCGAATCTCTCGAAGATCACTATTTGATCAGGCGATTTGCGACTTTTGTATGCAAAAAATGATTGTGTCCCGGGCTCATCTGAATCCGCTCATATCCGTCCTGGTTAGCCGACGACTCTCACACATTGACTATCAAGGTGAAATATTTGAAGGAGCGTACTTTGTTCAACATATAGTGCGACCGGCTTCAAAAGATCCAGCACTGCGTCCTTCTGAGAAGGTGTAGTCGTGACTCGCTCGACCCGCACGACGCCGGCCTTGGTAGGCTCGCTGCGTTCGGTGAATCCAAGCGCGGGTTCGAGGAACTCAAGCTTCAACTTGTTCTCCTTGGACGAAGATTTGCCGACCGTGTCGACGAGGTGCAAGAAAGGCTTGCTGGTATTGTGGCCTTCCAGGTGATGTTTTTCCGTCGCGTACCTGTTGGTGGGACAATGTCAAATCTTAGATGTCCTCTGGGCGATGAGACAGCAGATAGTAATCGACAGCACCTACTCTTCAAGACCATAGACCGTGCCGTCGTTGGAATCCTCCGAAATATACCAGTAGTAGACACTTGCCCATGGCTCGTCGGAGACGACGTGCTTGTCGACGCCGCGAATAGCATCCAGGACCTATACCAAGATAAATCGCATCAATCAGTATCATTCATGATTCATGTTTGTAATGGGAAGCATAAAGTGATCGAGAACGAACCGCTTGCTGTCCAGCGCCAGCGTCTGAATAGATGTCTGCGATGAATGCGTGGGCTGGAGCCATTTTTTTTGGGTTCTCAGTGACTGGTGGCAGGTATTGATTCAACGAGGGAGAAAGTCGACCGGACTGAGAAAGTCGCAGGTATGCGGGTACGTCTTCTCTTTTATGCACTTTGGCGAAGTTTTTGCTTTAGGACCAATTGTGTGAGAGACCAACTCAGAATGAACCGACTCAGCAATTGGGACTGACTTATTTGGCACAGGGATTGGCCTCCTTATTGCAACGCATTGCGATGACTCGAGTAGTGATGCCATAACACTGCGTAACAACCCTCGCTCCATTATCAGACTTACCCAGGTTGTTACGCTCGTAGCGATGTTTTCCATGGCAAAAGATCCGATAATCGTGGAATGCTTCCTCGGCCGCAAGGCGGCTGATGCCTCATTAGGAAATACCAAATTAGGCAAATTTTCCGCAACCCGTTCTTGGAACGAGGCTGGGGTAAGATCGATATGAGACTAGTTAGAAGGAATGAATCGACCTTTTCCCACGCACTTTCCCCGCCTTCCTGGAGTCCTTGTGGGGGATATGGAGCTTTTTATCGGGGGTTGCTCACGACCTGGGACTATATGGCTCAGGCACAAGATCCACCTTCTAGGCATTCCTGGGGAGTCGGAGACGGGAAAAATTGCCTTTCTTGTAAGCGCAATTGAAAGCACTCAGGTGACTCTAGCGTGGATACACCATGCGTCAGCAGAAGGAAAATCCTATGCGGCTATATGGCAGAAGAAGATCACATCGATTGCGTATGGGTCGCACTCGAGACAACAGCAATGGACGATATTGCCAGCTGCGAACAGCTTGGGCCCGTGGGAGACCACTATTCTACTCTTTGGCTCACCAAATGAATCCTTGGTCTCAGCCTGAGCTCGGTTAACGTGTTCCTGATCGGACACGTCTGCTTTGTCCCCAGCATCTTTCAATCATCGCACCTATCTCCCTACCAGACCCAGGCAGACTTTGTGAAGACCCCTGTCAATTCTTCGATAATGAGACGCCTTGTAAGAATAGCGAGGCAGAAGGCTTTTCTCCAGGGTATTATAGCCTTCCTAAGGGCGGTCCGACGTGCTGATCGTAAGCGACAAGCGCGTCCAAGAAAACCCCTCCATCTGCTCGAACCTTTGGAATATGAGTTATTCCAGAGCAAACAAAGGAGACTCTCTCCCCAGGATTAAGATTTGGAACCCTGGAGCAAAAATTCCATCACCACCTCTTCCATCAGTGCTGCGTCGTCGTCCTTATCCGTCATGCGCAAGTATTCCTTTATCTCTTCAGCTGGCCAGTCCAGTCCCACAATCAGGCGGATACACGCGCCATTCACTTCGCGATCGAACTCGGGATGCGCCTGCAGTGTCAGCACCCGATTGGGCACGTACATTCCCTGCATGCCACAGAGGGCCGTGGAACCCACTTCGACGCACTCGGGAGGCAATTGCGCGCTCTGAGTGACGACCACCGTATCCTGGTGCGAGAGTTGGAGCTGGATTTGCGGCGACGACGCTCGGGCGGCAGATTTGAGTTGGCGGGGGAAACAGCTGGCGAACTTGGGATTGATCGTGATTTCATAGACGCCGAGTTCCCATCCTCGTGGGTTCTTGATGACGTGGAGCCCACCCGTGTGCGCGAACAGAGATTGGTTGATGATCTGATGGCCAAAACAGGTACCGAAGATTTTCACTTTCGGATGTTGCTGGTATGTGTCTGCCAGGAGAGTAGCAGCGTCAGTCCCGATGCTGTTCTCAGGATTGGACGAGAATACAGAATATCTCGACGGCTCAAGGGGCGGGAAGAAAAGAGATCTCAATTGGGGGTATTGGGAATGACTCTTGATGTTAAGAGGAGAGATATCTGCAAGAAAGTCCTCGGCTTGGACAAACCTCCAGGCCCAATGAAAGACTCTCCTGCTGATATCGTCCTGGGACTTCTGTATCCCCGGGTAATGGAAGGGAAGAAGTCCAGTCACTGACCTTGCAAGAATCTCCCAAGTTTCTTCACCCATTCGATATCCTCATACGCTCCCGCCGAACTCCCCGTGACGACCAGTGCATCGAGACCTTCCAAAGCCTCCGCGTCCGGCAACTGGCCGGCCGTGGCATTGTAGGGCGTGGTTCTGACTTGAATCTGTTTCTTAATCCCAGGCCACTGTTCGTCGTGGTTATCCTCCGAGAGCCGCTTCGCTCCACGATCGAAAAAATTCTGAAAGATTTGATCAAAGGGACCACGCAAGCAGGAAACCGGCGGCGGCAGGACCTCGCAGATCAAGATCGCGAGGTGTAACGTGAGATTATCGGTGGAAGAGGGGAGGGAGTGCATGATACTTCTTCTTCTGGGATGTATGAGCAAACGGTAGTTGTTGCTGTTGTTACTGAACTGTGACGTTGCTTGAGTATCTTTGTAGGAGACCCGGACGGTTGGCAACGATAACTGTTGGCTGTGATCGGTTCGATGCTCTGTCTCTAATGATCTTTTTTGTCCAATTCCAATACAAGAGACCTGGCATCTTCCCATCACTCATTTATATATATATTTCTGCTGGGCAACAAACAAATCCAGCACGCCCTTGATAAGAACATATCCACCCTGCGGCCCTTGAGATGGGGGTCGGTGCCTGTTCACCAATCATCGTTGAAGAACTCCCCTTCCTAAATGGGATTGCTTGGCTCCTTTGGCTCAGCTTGCTGACTCAAAGCAGAGTCAGGGCCCAACGATATCGAGATTGCCGAGATAGTGCCAAACATCGACGGATAGGCCACGTGCGCTGCGCTGATCGGGCAGGGTCATCAAGATGCGAGAAACAACGAATTGCACGCTCGCGAGACAATGACCAAGTGACGACAGGCGAAACCTTCTATATATCGTGCATCTAGAGCGGTGTTGACCTCTCCGAGAATGCAGAAGTCCGGCATTTGGTGGGGCTTGAGCGGGGGATAAAGACTGCCCCTCCAACGCACAAGGCTGTTTCTAAGGGGAGCAAAAGCCATGTCTGTGAGCGCCCCTGGCAGGAGGGTACCGGGGAAGAAAGTCCCCTGCTCGGCGGCAACTCTAGAAGAGGTTTGTCCTGCATCTGGACGCACAGCTGATTCTGAAGGTTATCCTACGACTTTAGTCTGGCCAAGTTTGAAAGTCGGCTGCAAATAGTATAGTCAATGCCTAGCCTATCCGCCTTCCTGTCTATCTGTCCCTCTCGATCTATGATAAGTCATTGTCAATATATGAGGGTACATTTCTCAACACTCTTTCCATCACGCCATGACCCTATGAGCCGGAGTGCCTGGGTTTAAAGAAAGATAACACTGTCGAGGGTGACCGACGCGAAACACCTTTGGGGGATCGACCGGCAGCCTTCTCGTCGTTCACCTTGGCTTTCCCCCTAATCCCCCTCCAAACTCTCCCGATCATGTTGTTCTTCACCTTTGGAACACGACCAAGCCAATACAGGAACAAAGCACCAAATACATTGAAAACAATGTAGACCCAGAGGAGCCCGAGATTTCTCCAGCGATCCTGCGGATTGATATACAGCGACGCCAAAAACGTGTTGGTTTTGCCGATCGGACAATAATTACAACTCCAGTTACCGCCAGCCGAGCTGGTACCGTTGAGGAGGTAGCCACCGGCGACATTCATATATGGTTCCATGTATTGCGCGCATGTTTCGCCGGGAGGAGGGTTGAATCTAAGGTATTCGTTCTCCGCGCAGCGGACGTCGGCGTCCATGACGGCGGTTGAGAGCATTGCCGCAACCAGGTAGGTGAAAGGCGACACCCTGTACATGAATATCCAGAAGCCAGGCAGGGCTTTCGGTGTGGCGAGGACACTAGAAGAACGAACGGTTTAGTAACTAAATCGCACGGGAGGCAAAGAAAGAAGGGGAAAAAAGGCGCCAGAGACTTACCCACAAAACGTCAGACACAGAGAAAACATGAGATTTGCGATGTGACCTCCAGTTTCGGCCGTCTCTATGCTGGCAATAACCATGTGCGCAAAGGTCGAAGTAAACATCATGAATGCAAGGACAAGCAGCCACATTAATGCACCGCGTTCCTCTACGGCGTTCGTAGGCTGGGCGTTCCGATAAAGACCGATGGGATAGTACCAGCAGAAGAACAACAGAACTGCCCCGGCAAAGTTCCAAGGAATCTCAGCAACGATGTTCGAGAGCATAAATGCCTTCCAAGAGTAGGTCTTAGCTGGCCTCTCACGGACTTCATATAGAGATCGCTGCGTAACGAAAAGGGGCATGATCTGCTGGACCAGTTGGCCGAAGATGGTCAGCAGCATGAACAGACCGAACATTTGATTTTGAAGACCTTGCCGGGTGTTTTTCGCGTCAAAGAAGGAAAATCCGATAAAGAGTGCGCTCGCAGCGCACAGAACGAGTTTCGAATAAATGTAGCTGGGTGTCCGCCAGTATTGTTGGAAAACACGTTTCTGGACTTCGTAGTACTGGAGCCAGAATGGAGCCGCGTATGAGCGGTAGGAGTCTTGGTCGTCTTTTTCTGCCGAGAGTTGATCCATCATCTGGGGCCGTTTGGCTTCCAGGTCGTCGAGTTCAGCGTGCACAGCCTGGAATTCAGGAGACGACTTCCACACCTGTGGCCAATCGATATCGCAGCGATACGACGGATCACGACCTCCGCCTGTGATGTTCAACAGCCATTCAGCGGGGTTAGCTCCATTCGGGCATGGGAGTGCGCCATTTCTCTCGAAATATGCGATGACAGTCTTGCAAGATTCTCCTATAGGCCCAAAGTAGGTCGTTCTCCCGCGATCGGCAAGTAGCAGTAGGCGATCGAAGCGCTGGAAAAGCATTGCGGAGGGTTGGTGGATAGTACAGAGTATTGCTTGTCCGTTGTCCCTTAATTTCTCTAGTAAACTGAGAATAGCCCACGAGGTTTGCGAGTCCAGCCCAGAAGTCGGTTCGTCAAGGAAGAAGAGTAGTTGGGGTCTCGCGGCCAATTCGACGCCAATAGTGAGTCGTTTTCGTTGCTCGACATTAAGTCCTTCTCCTAGAACACCAACTATAGCGTCCGCGAACGGCTCCATGTCCAGAAGCCTGATAATTTCTTCCACATAAGCGATCTTGTCCTTTCGAGGTATATGAGCTGGTTGACGTAATAGCGCGCTGAAAGTAAGGGATTCCCGAACAGTCGCTGTCGCTAGATGGAGATCCTGCTGCTGAACGTAACCAATCTTTCGTTGGAACGAGTTATCCCTTAGTCTGCCATCGACCATAATCTCGCCAGTAATAACACCAGTGGCGTTTCTGACACGAGTAGCAAGGACGTCGAGAAGAGTAGTTTTCCCCGCGCCACTGACACCGACCATGGCGGTAAGTGTACCTGGTTTGACCCAACCATCGATATGATCGAGAATCCGTCTCCCTTTTCCTTTAATTTTGATGTCATAACTGACATCTCTCCAATGGAAGATCCTTTTCTGGCGTTGAATAACGGCAGTCGCGTTCTGTAAGTCATGTTGGTCCGAATTGTACATTGGGGTTTCCGTAACAGCTGCCTCAGTGTCGACCATAGTACCATGACTCGCTCTCATACCATCAGTAGGTATGATTTTCATCAGATCCTTGGGCATTTTTCCTCGACGGAAGACGAGAACTTCACCCTTGGACTTCTTTTCTTGACCGTATTCGGCGGCCACCAGATATGTGCCGCAGAGAAAGGCCATGAAGACCCACAAAATGCCAAAATTCCGCCATCTGTGTGAGGCTTTGTAATTATAGGCAGATTCAATGTATGTTTCACCGCGGACGAAGTCTTGACCGGCAACTGCTCCAACTGCAGAGCAGACGCCGTGAGTCAATGATCCGTATGGAGGGACAATGGTGACGCAGGGGAACGTCCTGCCCGAAAACTCATTGACCATCAAAGCCTCAAAGCCATATGCCACTGGATCGAGATAATTCATCCAGCGAGCCCAACCTAGCATATAGGTTGTGGGAATCGAAAATCCGGTATAAATGATAATCGCAAGGATAATGACGGCAGCCGGTGTAAGGGCTTGCTGAAGAGTACGGGACACTGACGCAATTGTACGAAACATCATACTCATTGTCATAGTCAGCATGAAGGATATCAAAAGGAAGTAGAAAAAAGCCGTAGGCGTCCGCCGCAGATTTGTCAGAAAATATAAGGTGAGGTTGAACAGAATGGCGTTGACAACTTTGTACGGTATATCCATCATCATGGAGGCAAACGCCTCAGCAGATGGATGGTAAAGAGCGTACCGCGCGTGTTTCTCGACGATAGGACGTTGGGCATAAAGTGTGAGAATTTCCAGTGCCGAGCTGAAGGCACTCATTAGGACGGCGAAAAAAATAAGAGCACCGCGGGAGAAGAAGGAGGAGGTATCGTCAGGTAGGTTATAAAAGACCGATGCGGTCACTAGCGACATGGTGAAATTGGCAAAAAGGGCGGTAAGAGTGACCGTCGGATCCGTTACCAGGCGCCTATACGCGCGCCAAAGGCACAGTTGAACTTGTTCCATGTAGGAGAGCGTGTATGGGGAACTCAGGTGTTGCCTTTTAGCTTGTTGTAGTCTCCGAGACTCCTCGAATTTGTGCAGATCTTCGCCACCTATTGGGTGTTGCTTCTCAAAGAGCTCGATGTCATTGACGAGAGCTCTATACTCGGGACTCTTCTTCCAGGCGACAGCAAATTCTTGTGCCGTTCGAGGGACCCTATGCTCAAAGCCCTTCTGTGGAACCCGCTCTCTTGAGTTGGTCATCGAGGTGAGGAAGTCCGCATCAGTTTGACGGGCAGGTTTCTCGAATCCGAGGCTGGTGAAGTATTGCTTTCCCGCCTTAGCTGGGCCAAAATATATTTCTTGTCCGTCGTATAAGACGAGAGCCTTGTCAAAGAGGTCAAATGCCGCCTGTGATGCCTGGTAAATCGAGACGACCGCCGTTATCCTAGCAATTTCCGCCGACGATCTCAAAGACTTACAGAACTCAATTGCGTTAGCGCTGTCCAGACCACGGGTCGAATTATCCCAGCATTGGAGAGGAGCACCGTTGAGAGCCGCCTCTGCAATTGTGACTCGCTTACGCTCGCCACCAGAGACTCCTCGAACGTAATCGTTTCCGACCCTGGTGTCAACTGTGTGACGGATTCCAAAGGTGGCCATAACAACGTCGCGGAGGCGTTGGGCATAGACTTCTTTGCTGACACCAGCAGGAAGAAACTTAGGGGCCCGAGCTCGGGCAGCAAAGTAGAGTGTATCGCCAACACTTAACTGTGGGAAATGCACATCCTGCTCCGCAGTGTAAATGGCTTCGCCACGAAAGTTTTTGTGCATTTGATGCCAGCTGATACCCTGGTAGTTGATATGGAAATCATTGCTGGTGTGATATCCGTGCGTTTCACCAGCGAGAGTTTTGAGAAACGTAGAGCAGCCGGATCCTGGCGGGCCCAGGACAACGAGGAGCTCACCGGGTAGGACAACACCATCCAGGTTTTGCAGGATCTGGATCCTTCTTTGATGTCGACGGCCCGTGATGTAGTCCCGCAGCAAGCCCAAGGAATGAAGGATCATATTTCCAACACTTTGCTGATAATCGGTTTCGGTGCCAAAGCCGTATGCACTTAGATTTCTGAAGCAGAACCCAGCTGATCTGCCTTCCCAGTGCCTTTCATCGTTGCTTCGTATTTCAAACAGTGCTCTGGACCAGGCAGTAGGCTGGAAATTATCGGAAGAAGGATCTAGATATGAGTCTTTCTCTGGATTGAACAAGCTCTGTTCATTCAGAATATGTGCCGATCCATGTGTGTACTGACGTGCCAGGTCTCTGACTTGTTCTGCTCTATTGTCGGACGCCCTTTGCTGGTCGTTAGCAGTTTCATCGGTCAGCCTGCCGCTGACTTGGTTTCTGCCGAGCCAACCTGAAGGCAGGGACGAAGGAGTTTTCGAGCCGTCTTCGTCAACAGTTTGCTGTGATTGTTCCCCTAACCCGCGCCGGCGACGGGTAGGAAGAGTTTGTTCATCCTCGACCTCATCCCGTCGCTGGAATCCTGAGGGTGTGCCTGGTCCTTCTGCATTCAAGGTGCGGTCGTAATTGGTAACGAAGTTCCCCACGAAGGCCATGTTGATGATTGTCCGATGGAGGTGAAAAGAAGCACATTGCGTCCATCATTGTGGAAGAAGAATGTCGGACTTGAAAATATCACACCACAGGCACCCAATTTACGGATAGAATTCTGGAGGTGCATACTTGGTAGAAAGACAGCTACTTGTAGGTATTGACAGCTTGCGTGAGGTTATGCACGTTGTGCATTTGGGATATTCCGGATGGACTTGTGGGTTGATGGTGGTCATATCGGAGAATGACAACCATTTTGGAGCGGCTTGGGCGGGAACCGGGCAGTTTGTGGCGCCACGGGGCCGTCATTAGAATGTACAGCCATCCAAACACTGTTGTGAACACACATGAATAAACTAAGTGGCGGGGCGGTCGCGCCAAAGATCCGGTGTGATACCCAAGCATGGCACCACCCCAGTTGTCGGTTGTTAGGCTCCGGTTGTTGTGCCCCGGTAGTTCGGAATCAATGAATATGTCTCTGTCACGCCACCGACTTACGAGCCTTGCTTGCAGCAGCAGCAGTACACTTCCCCAGAACTTGCGAGAAGGGCATAGAGAATAGAGGGTTCCAACTTCGTTGGCGTGTGCCTTGTAGGCTTTCCTTGGCAGCAGCGAGCTCTGGGGCATTCCTTCAATGATTCTTCAAGGTTGTCTACTTGTAGTCCCTAGTCCCAGGATCGGTGCGGGGGACTAGGAATAGTCAGACTGACTAGTTGGCAACGCTGAGGAATCTGGACGTGCATTCAGCACTGAGTGCGGACAGACCACCGTCACGCCTTGTTGAAACCATGGCGCTCCTCGATAGACACTTTTACACCATCATCACTCTTCGCCGTAATGAGGCTCCTGGCGCGGATGCTGGGACCCCACAGCATCAGAGCTGCAATTGGAATGAACGCCCCCGCAGTGAAGAATGCCATCATGCCGTAGGCCCAATTGATGCCTATCGCATCGGACCACGGAAAAATGAAGAACGTCACGGCGATGCCAAACACCAGGCGATACAGGTTGACCACCACCGCGACTTCGTTGGGATGGTCCGTGAAGCATTCGACGAGGTAGGAAAGGACCACCGAAACACCCGATATGGACGCGATGGCGGTCAGAAACACCGCGAACGCCAGGACCATGAAGTGTAGATGGTAGTATAGCGTCGCACCCACCAACCCTAGCGACGCCGGATACAGGAACAGGCTCGGGAACCACAGGGCGTGAAGGCGGTACTCAGGCTTCCAAGTGCCACCGCGATGGGCACATATCTTCAACGCCAGCCGGTCGTTAACAAAGTGGCAATAGATCTGGGAGGCAAAGACCCCGATCCACGAGGTGAATGAGACTGTCCCACCGTCGCCGTTAGATCGGTTGTATTCATGTGTATGCAGTTGTGGGATTCGGTGTATACGTACAGTAAGCATTTTGATACGGAGTGAATCCATAGCCCCCTTCCTTGACCGGTGTCTGCAAGTAGACGGATGTGTCGGTGGCAATGACCACAGCCCAGCTGAACATGGCGATCAGAAAGAGTCCAATCAGCACGCCCACGGGTGAGATGCCAATGAGCACGGGTAAGACACTGGTGAACGCCAGTTCTCGACCTGTTTGCGGGGGCGTTATTCTCTGTGTGCATCCGTAGATCGCGAGCTTGCGCTGAAGGTAGTTCGTCGGGAGAAGCGGCTGCTGCGGATTATCGCTCCTCGGATAGGCCGTCTCATCTAGCCACAGAACGCAGCATATGGTGAGGAATACTTCAAACCCGACATTGTACCAATATTGTACGGTCCAGCTGGCTTTCTGGACGATGAAGCCGGATAAGGTACTCGTAGCAATGATGCCAAGGAGGTTCATCGACGTATAGACCGAGAAGCATTTCCCCCTGTCGTGCAGGAAAAATGTCTCTATGATGACGTTCGATCCCACTACACAGTGCCATACAGGCAGCGTCAGCGAGGCATTGTTTTGGGCATTTTTCAACCTAGAACGAGGCTTCGAACTCACCGGTGGTTGGCGCAGCACAGGCGATGGTTGCCAACAGTCTGGATACAACAAAAGCGTCATACTGGGTGGATTTGGTCATACATGCAGACCATATGTTCATGCATATGGTCAGACACAGACTGATCACAATGCATCGACTGGTCCCAAAACGCTTCGCCAAAGGATTCCAAATGAAAGGCCCGACGGCCAGTCCGGCGATCGCGGAAGATGCCTAAAGTTGTCAGATATTAAAGATCAGTTTGGGGAAAAGCAGCTTCTGATGAGAGACGTACGCTGTAAGAGAGCTGGATTGCCGTCTTGTGGTAGATCTCTCCTTGCACGAAGAAGCCAGAGTTGTTGGCCACGGCCTGGAGAGACGTGGAAAAGGACACCAGTGAGACCAGGGCCAAGGTCACCACCTTTTTGGACCTTGGCCAGTTCTACCATGTTCCCGGTCAGAAGATCGCCTTCGTTTCCGACGCGCGAGGTATTTTCTTTCTCACCAAAGGATCTTGAGGATCGTCGGTGGGCTGGGGTACCAGCACCAACCCCTTCTTGTTTGTCTTGAGCAGATGCGGCTTGGGCAGGGGACTGCTGTCTCCTTCATTGTGAGAAACCTCGGCTTCTATCTTGTTCATTGCTAACTGTACAGCAAGTAAGGCTGAATAGAAACGGTGGGTATGGAAAAGTGGTTTCGATTTTATAGTGACTGAGACCAGCCTGTGAAAGAAGACGGTACTTCATATACCCCGGACAGCGTTTCCAGGTAGGCAGTCATCTGGGGAAGTATATCACAATCCGGGGTTGGATTGACGGGGAATCCGCTGGTCCAACTCTGTCTGGCTTTCTCCTCGTTTGGCACGGACATTCGCTTATTGCTTGCGAAAGGCCGAACATGATGCCGTGGGCTATGTGAGCCGAGCTCGGTCTCTGAAGGTATTGGTGAGAAGGACCGAGTCCCGGGTTGTCCATCCAGACGTAACATGAAGGGATCACGCGCGAGAGCCTTGCCAAGTTGACCGTAAGCATTGGCACTGGGGAGCTGTGGGCCTCCTCCAACATGTCTAACTGATTCGGGGCAGTAAGGCTCGCTAAATTCACCTTGGGACGAAATATCGGCGGTATTGGTAACGAAATCTCAGTATCCAGGCAGAACAGGTTTATCGAGGTCTGTCTTGTATCCAGTGCCCGTGAATGGTAACCTCTATTGGATCGCGACGGCCCCTACGTGCTCGGCATTTCTGTGAAGTGCTTGGAAGCGAGTGTAAGCATCAGAGGGGTTGGGCTCATACGGACATTGGCTCCGTAACGGGGTTTCGGGGTTTCGCTAAGGAGCCATCAGACAGTGTCCCCTGAGTTTTCTTGACCCCGGAAAGGATAATGTACACGCTACCAACACTGGCCAGCCGAGGGAGAAGAAAGGTGCTGAGGCAGTGATGAGAAGTGACTCCATTTCCGCTTGACGCTGGACTCCTGGGAAACATCTCCAAGCAGAGCACGCTGTCTTGGGATTTCTCAATATTGTCCTACAGAGGGTACTGCATCTATTCAGCCAAAATATGGACGCAGGCCGAGACTCGCAAATACAAAGTTGGTTACGATACATGATGGTGTCTTCAAATGTCTCGACATTGGTTAGTAGGGTGACAATACAGCACTTACTTCGCTGCCACCCGCGTGGTAGCAGTGGCACTGAGATTCCTACACTGTGCTTACGAGGCGGCCGCGCTCGAGACCCGATCTTCCTGGCGAAGCCGATTCCACCCACCAAAGCGTCCAACAACAGCATCCTCCAAGCCTCATGCAGGCGTCTACACACCTCCACTTGCTCGTGGACACGCACGGACACGCTCTCTCCCAACCCTCTTCCACGTCCATCTCGTAAACGACTTGTGGTCGGCATAACGGGTGCCACGGGTGTGGTCTTTGCGGTGCGGATTCTCCAGATTCTCCGCGCGCTCGACGTCGAGACACACCTGGTGATGAGCAAATGGGCGCTGGCGACGATGAAATATGAGACGCCGCTGTCGGAATTGGAGTTGCGAGGTCTGGCGACATACAACTATACGGCCAAGGACTTGTCGGCGCCGATCTCGAGCGGCTCCTTCCAGCACGACGGCATGATCGTCGTGCCGTGCAGTATGAAGACGTTGGCGGCGATCCGCATCGGCTACTCGGACGACTTGATTTCGCGTGCGGCCGACGTCACTTTGAAAGAGAGCAGGAAGCTCCTGCTTGCCATCCGCGAGACACCCCTGAGCGATGTTCACCTCGAAAACATGTTGTTTCTCCGGCGGGCGGGTGCCATCATCTTCCCTCCGGTGCCCGCTTTCTATACGCGACCAAAGGATTTGGAAGACGTGATTGATCAGAGCGTGGGCCGAATGCTGGATGCGTTCCATATACGTACTGACAGCTTTGAACGGTGGACTGGATTCCGAAGGGATTGACGCTTGAAGACAAAAGCGTAGCGGTGCAGTAAAATAATGCGTTCTTGCTTGGATGTTGGATCGAGGTCACGGGATATTGACCGAAAAAAGCCTCCACGCTGGTGGAGAGTTCTACTCGTAGGGCAGAAAGACGGGCCTCTCTAGAATAGATCTTGTAAACCTTCAGAGGTCAATAACAGCCCCAGGTCCATAGGAAATTCCATATCCATGGCTTGGCTAATGAAGCACTTAGTGATACGTGGGACTGGACAGAATAGTAGGAATCTTCACTGACCTCCCTATCAGACCGTTCCAGTCAGGCGTCGAAACCAACGGTGGAAGACTGTCTGGCCACCTTTCATGGGGTGCCCCCGTCTCTTCTGGAGCTATTGCCAGTGGAGCTGATTCGTCCACGATAGAATCGGGGGTCAAGAGCGTCTTTTCCAGGATTCTCGCCTTTGCCTTCTCAAAGAGAAGACAAGCATATGTGGCGCCCCAGTAGGTGCTCCGCAGTTTTGACAGTGCCTCAACACATATCTCCAGCCGGGCGTGACTGAGGCGCTTAGATAAGGTGCTCTGTGCCGACATCCAATCCAGAAGATGGATTCCCATAGCTGATACAATGGTACTAGTACTCATTGGCTTCAAGTAGTGTACCATTTCTGATTCAAGAAGGTCTTCGACCACCGATGTCGCCCGGTCGGCAGCAGAGCGGCACTTCTGGCGTGCTGTCGTTTGCCACCAATCGTGGTCTTTTGCAGGCAGATTGCAGGGCACAGCCCGAATATACCGCCGATACAAGATGATAGTTGTAGCCCTATCTCTAATGTTAATTCAGCTCGAACCAGAAATACGCGGAGTCAGGATGGAATACTCATAAAATAGGTGCAAATGGTGCCGATAGAGCCGAAAATCCCAATCTGGCCGTTCTTCGATCGCATGCAGCTCTTGACCGCACCGTCGAAGTTCATCCTCACACTTTTGAAATGCGGCTCGATCAGGACGCAATTTGTTGGGGGAATAATGCACGGCTATGACCTTGCCGAGGACGACAGTTAACTTGACGAATTGTACCCAACATTCCGCGAGGAGAGGGTAGCCAGATGGAAAGTATGTGTCTTTTTGGGCACGAGGGATGTCTGCCCATTCGTGGGTAACGTCCTCGATAGTGGTCATAGGTACATCGCAGTCATCCAGGCGAATCCGCATTGGGCGACCTAGCGTAACGGACAACCAACGGTCTCGCAAGAAGCAACTCCACCAGAGCCGGCGGAATAAACGGCCGTATGCAGGAATCTTGCGGGAGTCTGGCACAACCAACTCCAAGGAACGATGGAAGCCCAAGCCTTGACACAAGCTGATCGCCACGCCCGCCCAATGCCACGGCCCTGCACGATCCGTGGCATCCGCATACCAGAAACTGAGAAGGATCGCGGATTGAATGAGCCTGATCTTGTCATCCTCGTATTCGGTGTCCCATAAGGCCTGCTCGAGGTTGGGGTCAGCAGGGATATCAAGGGATGGACGATGGACAGAGTGGAACCTTAGCTCGCTGATACATCGCTCTCTTCAGTGCCTTCCGTGACGAAAAGCCCGCAGTGTCCAAGGTCGATGGGTCAGCAAAGTTTGCTGCGGCAAAAAAGATGCTATACATCAAGAGGACGCCTGGTTTCTGTGGATCCTTCGACAGATACTGGTTCAAAAAGGACTTGGTGTCCAAGATCGGGGTGAGCGGCTGCACATGTTGGAAGTAGGAGCGAAGCAAATGATCGCAAATGTGGTCGGAAGGCAGGGCCAACGCCCCCTTGCGCTCCAGGTATTCTAGATCTTCGGGTTCCAGCACTCGGGTTGTGCTGTTGCGGGGAATGAAATAGATTTTGGGACATGACGAGAAGTTGGACAAGCAGAGCTCAAAGGTGAAATGACTGCCATTTTGTGCGTCACCTGCACATCAGCCGTAAGCAGTGTGATTGCAATGAGTTATGGAGTCTCGCACCAAAGTAGAATGGGATGGGGTCTTCTCCAGAAAGCCTCTGCGCATCCATCGCCGTATCCAGAGCAACAGTGCCATAGCCCCCATCGTGCTCAGTATCTCGGTTGCTGGATTCGTCCTCAAGATGGGTGTCGGTGGTTTGCCGCTGAGGTGGGTTGTTCTCGAAGCGGAATGAGTCGCTGGTACTTTCATGGAGAGGTATAAAATGCGCGGATTCCTTGCTCTGGGCGGGTTGGACAGTCGAGTGGCCAGGAATCTCCGTGTCGGAAGCAGTGTAAGCTGTTCGTGCGAGGCCTGTTGTTTTCCTACGCCTGAAGAACATCAGCCTTCACTGGCACGTTATTAGATATTGGGAGCGACACAAGTACTTCTTTCTCGGGACAACTTCGCAGCTGAGACCACTGCGTATACAGTTTCCACAAGGCAAACCCATGGTGGACGCGTTGCACTTGATTTTGCGGCGATGGCATCCTCGGCATGCCCTAATTGAATATTGCCCGTGGGGGCTCACCTCTGCCGATGCCATTCTGCTCTTCGATGTTCGCCTGCTGTTGTTATTGCCAGCAGGGGATTTTGGGAACGAGAATGCAATCAGTCTAAGCTATAAAAGAGCTGCGGAGAAGCGGGGCTGTTCGGACCAGCTGGCCCTCGGTCGAACAGGGCCAGCTCTGCCTAGATGCAACCTTTCGTAGCCATTAATTAGCCCATTGGTTCAGTGACACTTCCTGCCCTGCGCTTTAGGTGCGCTCGACTTTCTATACACGACGAAAGAAATTGGAGGACCCGGGTCTCACAAAGCTCTCGAATGTGCAATACCTGGTAAAACTATTCCATGTAACCAGTTCGTCACTGTCAACCTCAATCTGGAAGATATTGGGCTGGCATGACATTTACGGAAGAGGGAGTTCAGCTGATTCCCTCGGGACAAACTACTTCTCAACATGAAGTACTCTCATCCTATCCAGTGTTCAATAACCTTCTTTTGTAGATCCTCAGGGAAGTTATTGGCAAAGTCTGATAGACTTCTAGGATCCCACCCCGCCGGGCGAAGGCAGTTTAGCGCCTCAATTGTGCCCGAGAACCTCCATGTCGCATTCTCAGGGTCAGCGAGGAACTTCTGCAGCTGTTCGTTGATCTCGGGATAGAATGGGATCGCGGGATTGATCGGCTGGTCATCCAGCCTGATGCGGCCAGTGGCAGGATGACACCTTGTGTTCCACGCCCAGATCAAGTCCCGGTGGTTGGACAGCTCGATGTCATCATCGCAAACGAGAATGCGTGTGTATCGCTGCGTTCCATGGATCGACTTGGCCGTGACTGCAATCTTTCGCACAAAGTCGTCCGCAGATAAATCCACTCTCTGATACCAGTTTCGAGGGACTGACACCGTGAGGAGCTGTTGTGCCGCTTCTGGGGGTGCCCATGTCGACGTGACGGGCAGTTCGTGGTCTCGTAATGCCTCCAGTACCATCGCCGATGCCGAGACCCCCGTAATCGTGTGGTCCTCGTCAACTGGCTTCCCAGCAGACGTGACTGGTAAGAGCGGATTGTTGCGGTGCGTGATGGCGCTGACTTCATACACTGGCTTCTCCCGGATTCGGTCCGAAATGTAGCCATGGAATTCGCCCATCGGGCCCTCTGGAGCACGCCGGGTTAGCGAAACATGGCCTTCGACGACAATTTCTGCCTGCGCAGGCACTTCGAGGGCGACTGTCTTGCAGCGGACTAGTTTGAGTGGCTCATTGAAAAGACATCCCAGGTATCCGGCCTCGTCCACGCCATCGGAAAGGGGCATGCCACCCGCGAACAGAGACGCAGGCTCTGCTCCTTGCACCAACGCAAAAGGCATGGGTTTCCCGATCTTGCGCCACATTTCAAAGATCTTTCCGTTGTGCTGGTATGGAGCAATAACTCCCGTCAAGTGTTTTTTGTCCAGGATCATGGCACGGGCAATCGACCAGTTTGTCCATTTTCCGTCTGGACTGCGCACCACCCAAAACCCCAAGGTGTTGAAGAACCGGCCTCCGTCGCCAAAGTGGATCAACGGTGTGGGAAATTTGAGGAGATCAACATCTTCACCCAGCAGAATGTTTTCATGGACCGGACCTTCTTCGACAATGACCGGAGGAATGGCTGGCAGCTTGGTCGTCTTTGCCAGAATCTGGACAATTTCCGTGCCGGGCGTCGAGGGATCGAGTCCCAGCGTCATGGCGATTCGTGCCATCCGCGCCTTAGGCAGGGAGCTGTAGGACAGGGGCGCCCCGACCACGCGATATCCAGCGTGGCCGCGTATGTTGCTGAAAATTGGGACAGGGGCGAAGTTTTCATGGCTGCGTCGAATGACGGCCCCGATCTCGAGGTGGGTGTCGACCTCGCGCGTGATCTCTGCAACGTCGCCCAGATCTGCGAGAGCAGCCAAGAACTCTCGCAAGCTGGCATAGTGCTTCTTCTGAGGAAGATTAGGGGTAGGAAGGGAACCCATTTTCGAAGGTCGGGCAGCTACAACACTCCCCAATCCAGAGAGGAGCAGCCCTTGGCCAAAGTAGTAGATATGGGACGTATTAAGAAGTGGAGCCTCGTCTCAAAATGCCCTTCGATTGGCTGATCCGCCCTCTCGGCGCGGACTTTCGGTATTTCGGACTTATCTAGATCCACCGATTGGGCAATAAGCTGCGACTGACTCGTGACCGTATGCTACAAGTTGAATCGCAAAAAGAGGTTGCCGAGACGCCCAAGCTGCACGGCGACGTTCGCGCGTCACAGCTTTTGCCTTGGCACTAAGCTCAGTCCTTTGAGTTCCCCCTAACGCTACCTACTTTCCCACACAGTGCTGCATCTCGGCAACGACATGCTGACCGTGCGATATCTAAACCTGTTGGTTAAAGAGGCTTTAAACCTTGTCATAGGCAAAGTACTTGGGTGTGGATCGGTCAAGATGGATGCGCTATATTGCTTTCTCCGGGCCACCAAGTCGGCTTGAGCCCTACTTGCCGTTTCTCACTGCTAGAGGGTGCTGACAGAAGGTTGAGCAAATATTGGGATTGAAAGGCCAGAGCCGAACGACTCGGTGAAACTTGTCGGTAAGGAAACGTAATATGCAATAACTTCGAACGGCAATGGATCTATGCTTCGTTCGGCGGGTGTGAATCTGGATCCCAGGTCAAGCTCACCTAACAGCGCAACTAATATCACGGGATGGATGTTTGCTACGAGCACTGGCGTGAGCACGAGGACTCAGTGACAACCACTGACACTTCGAATTTTCCACTGTGTAATCAAATCGCGCAATCTGTGTGGCGATTATTAGTTGGAACTAGGTATGCAGACGTCAGGGCGTCCTGACGTGAGTATCCTTATCTACAATAGTAATAGTGCCGAATACTCCATCAACAATGGAGAGATATCCCGCCTTTTTGCTGGATAGGTTAGGGAATGGGAGGCACCATTCCTCACAGCAGACTTGGCTCAAGCTTGCGATGTCCCTGCTGTTGGCCATCACTCTACTCACTCCTTATAGCAACCCTAAACGTATACCAACCGCCTGAAGGAATTGCTCGATCCACAACCACAATTTTACGCAGCAGAAAAGGATTGACAGGAGCAGAATCACCAAGGAGAAAGGGCCAAACAGGGATTCGCCGGTCTCGCTTGAGGTCGGAGCCGCATCTTGTCTCGACATCTCTGTATTGTGACCGTGAACAACTGAACCGTCCGACACAATAACCTCGTCTTCATTTCCGGCATGGCAGCTAGATGATGCCGATATGCCGTCTTGCCGACCACGGTCCCTGACCTCAAATCTTTGGCGGAGATCAGACCTCGTCGGACCGCCACAGGGGAATTTTGCCTGTGGCGGAGCAGACAATATTATCGTCGAGCGTCGTTCATCCTGGCTCTCGTAATAGCTTCGGCCAAACAAGTCTTCCTTGCTCGTCCATTCTTCTTTCATGCCCACGGCTTGTTTTTCGGGTGACAGTAGGCATTGCTCATGAATAGAGATGGACACGAGCATCTTCACAGAGGGCTTGTCGAGAATGATTGGGTATTCATCCATTCGTTGTGTCATCTCGACTAAATGAGATTAGCGGCATGCGCAGCATGTGCAGAGGGATCTTACTTGAAACTCCTTCAGTAAAGTGCTGAAGCTCGAAGAAATGGATAAATGTCTGAAGTGAGCCTGTCTTTGGAAGCCGGATCCTGATAGAGACAGAATCATCTTTTCTCGCATTACTTAAATGAAGTTGTCAGCTGACACTTCAGCACAGGAAATGGGTACTCACAATGTAAACAGCCACCCTGGGCTACCGTGAGATTCGACAGGGTTTCCGCCTGTCGAAGAATGGTGCTCTACATCAATCCCGAGATCTGTTTTGCTCCGTTAATACATCTGTTTGAGGAGCTTCCAGGCTCGATCAGAGCAGCGTCTTACCTTCCACACTAGTTGCAACCTTACGTCGCAGAACGCCTTTGCTTTGCATTGGAAGCCGGCTGCTCAAGCCCTCGAAGTCGCGAATTTGTAATATCACTCGATTCACGGTGCGCAACGACTTCTGAAACTTGCGGAAATCTATCGTATCCGCCATGTGGTCGCAGATTCGAGACTCAAAATTCACATCATTTTCGTTGAGCCAAGGGCTGCACAACTTGATATCGTCCTGTATATCGTCCCATGTTGCACTAAGTTTTTTGATTAGATTGGCACGATCCTTCATCCTCAGCAATTGCCATGGGGCATTCTCGAGCTCTCCATGATAGGATGATCGGCGACCATCTGTCGAAGGAATAAGGTCAAGCGGCTGGCTCGGGATTAGCAAGGTATCACTTGATTCGACTAAGTCGTAGACACAGCCCTCGATTAGAGTAAACAGTTCAAGGCAGCGTGACCGAATTTCGAGCAATAAATTAGAAGGGCAGGTCTGCAGTATGCTCGCGTAAGGCAGATATCTGGCGGCCTCGAAAGGCCAGTCGAGGATATTGCGCGCGTAAGCCGATTGTGACCCTTGCAGGTCATAGAATTTGGTCGCTGCATCGAAAATTGCCTGCAAAGATGACTCGTATTCAGACCGGTGGTGCAGCTCCAACGTCTCCAAGAACGGCTCCCAAGCGCTGAGGAAAGAATTCAGCTTGGGCAGCAGAATTTTCGTGGTAACAATGGACATGCCTTGGAAGGACTCGATGTCCAACATTGGTCCACTCCCGACTGGTTCGCCATCGAGCAAGTATATGTGATCGACCGGGTCCTCTGGTGGTCGACGTGAAAATTTCAACAGCTGGTATCGGTTAGAATCTTGCCCACGATCCACCGCCCAGCACAGAGGGGGGCAGAACTGTAGATTCTCCATTTTTACCAGCCGCTGGATCTCGGCCAGTGCTTGTTGTCTGCCACGTTCATTTGACAAAGTGCAAAACGCCAAAAGATTCTCTCGTTCAGCGGCAGAGTATGCACTGCAAAGTGAATAGATCAAATCCCCCCATTCTTCAAGCAAACATCTACCATTGCGTTCAACTTCTCTTGCATCTATCAGTGATGTAAGTACGCTCCCTTTTAGCGGCGTCTCCCTTGCGGTGTTCATTCGTTGGACACAATCTTCAAGGTGGACTTGAAGAACGAAATCCTGACCAGGCTTTCGCAAGAGGTCGAATACACTCTTTACTTCTTCGAATGTTAGCCCATCGTCTTTTGTGAACTTATCAATTATTCCAAGTAGGAGGTGCTGAGCTTCAGAGAAATCAAGCTGATCGCGAAGGGTCATTGCGGTTGTGGGGTTCGAGTCAGAAAAGCTCCTCGATGACGGTAAAGGCGCATGTGTATCTGTTGAAGAGCCTCGTAATGTTGTTGAAACATGCGGTGGCGCATGCGGGCCGGGGGTCGTTGAACGATTGTAGTTGTCATGAAGCTTGTGATCCAGGTTTGACTCGACCGAGTCAGGAATGGCTGGGTTCACAACCTCATCGATCCACGCTCGGATGAAAGATTCGTTTAGTGCGGTTGATTTTCGTTCTACTCCAGCAGCTTCGAGTTCGGAAGTTATCTCTTCCCACGCCGCGCTGTTGTCTTTGGCAAGGTCCTTAGGTTGAACTTGACTGTAAGCCGGTCGTTGCCTTGTCCCCTCTTCGTATTCTTGTTTTATGATGTTCATTGTCTCAAGAATTTGAGCTTGCCCTGCCAGCAATTCAATATGTCGCTCGTTTGAATCGGTCTGCATCGCCAGCATTTGGATCTGTCGCTCAATTGAACCTGTCTGATTGGTCAGGATCGAACCTGTGCGAACGCTTGCTACGTGTTAGTGCAGGAAATAGTGCTCGACAGTAGCACCTACCTGCAAAGAGTGACATTAAATGCTAACAGTGACATGATGTTACCGTGAAGCTTTGCGCGAATTGCCCCCATATCACGGCTTGCCCAGCGAGCAATATCGAGAGGCCGCTTGTGCACAGACAAGAGGCTGGAATGCTTATCAAGTAACCCCTCCAATTCTTTTAGGGACTCTTTACAAGGCTGACAGATTTGTGAGAGCTCATACTGTTCTTCCGGAGATAATGTGCTCTGTTTCAAAAGCTTCTCAATCTGTTTGAGGACGAAGTGAAGGTTGCTAACTTCGTGAGAAATGTCTTTGAATTGCGCAGTCGAAGACCTGCATCGCTCGACAACCTGATCCAAGACAACAAATCAGCAGCGTGGCGAAATCCCGACGTGATTTCTCATGTCCAGATCTATCAAGGCCTGGAACTCACCTGCCATGTGAAAGTTGCAAGAGTTATGAAGTCTGAGACTCCAAATCCAAAGCTCATCCTGATTGTTAGAAGAACATGTAATCACAGAGGCAGGCAATATGGCTCGTAACAGATACTGTAATTTGTTTGTCTGCGTGTAAGTATGCCTGTTCCGAACTTATGGCTGCTCACGGCAGAACTGCCCGTAGTTTTAGAGGTTTCTTAAGAGAGAATCACGATGCCCCCGATTGTGATCGGCCACAGCCTGCTTAACGGGCAGTGGGCATATCCTTCGTTTTCGCCCGAGTCTGAAGCGGAATGCACACAAGCGCCTCACGGCCTATGGCTCGTGAAAGAACAACAAGCAACGCACATAATAGCAGGTCTCAATATGTCAGTCTTGAAGCAGAAGCGTTGATGCGAAGCAAGGTGAAAGGTTTCTGCGCGAAATCAGGCTGGATATCTTTCAGCTGCGCCAAGCTAAGGAAGTTGCTGCGGGGTTGCATAGTGCAATGCTCAATTGGTCCAGGCAGCCTTGTGCGGGGCACAGCCTCAGCCTCAGCCTCGTACTTGAGCCGGATATTACAACCAGCCTACGGCAAAGTGGCTATTGGGTTTTTCAGGACACGAAGGGTGCACTTCTCGAATATCGTGGCTCGTCATGTCTTTCGATACCTCTGGAGCTGGGATGTATTGTATGTACACTGACTAGTTTGATCTTAGCCTGGCTGAGATGCGAGTTTCTAGACGTTAATATTACAGAAGGGCGGATCCACGCTCAAATACTCCGTACCAAATCTCCGAGGAACTGTTCCCGCCAGTTGAAAAAGATGCTGGCGTGTGTCTCATCCTCCACCCGAAGAACTGCTCGCTCGCCGAGACGCTTTGCTATCGTCTCCCCGTGATTGAGTGGGACGTTGACATCCAGCTTCCCGTACCACAGCTGCACTGGCAGGTCCGGACGGATGTCCTCAATGCGGAAGCCGAAGGGCGAGCTCAGTATCTTACCGTCTTGTAACGCACCGTCGTACCCTTGAGCGAAGGATGCTCGAGACGCCTGCAGGAACCGCCGAGCATTGACTTCGTTTGCCATGACTTCAAAGTCTTTCTGGTCGGCCGCCGACCTTGGCTGTGAGAATTCTTTCATGTGCCGCTTAAAGCGTTCCTCGTCACTCAGGTCCAAGCGACCACATGTTTGCGACTGCCAGAACCATCGATTGAGGAAGGATGGGCAATATCGATACCCAAACGCGAACCCAATCCAGTTCAGCCAACGCGCACCTTTCATGCCAATCTCATACACGGGCCCGAGGCCACAAACGATCGAAACACACTTGAGCTTGTCTTTGGGTAACGCATAAGCGCAAGCGAGGGCATATGGACCCCCTCCTGACACTCCCTATATCGCAATCATCTTTAGTCCCGCTGTCCCAAGGACTCTGGAAAGAACTCGGGCTGCACGTACCAGGACACCATATTTCTCCAGCTTGAGATGATCTGCCAGCTGTTCCAGATCCTTTGGGCAATCAAGGAGTGTTCTGCCTGGCTGTGGCGAGCTCAATCCAATCCCAGGTCTGTCTGCGCAGATGATTCGGGCCCCTAATTTCAGGCCGACGTCGTGGAGATGGACGCCCTCGAGGCGGGATCCTGGGTGGCCATGCACAAAAAAGATTGCACGCCCCGTCGGAGAGCCGAACTGTGTGTATCCGAGTTTGCGTCCGTCCTGAAGGACAAGACTGTCCGAGTTGTCATTGTCCATCGTGATTCGCGACGCTGAATCCTCTTGTGTGTTTGGGGCTCGCTGCTGGCTGCCTTTTGTGCCGTTGAGCTATTAAATACTCGAGAAAGATACGCTCAAGTCTGGACGTACGGGCATGATATAGAGGAATATCAGATACGATGCCAGAAGCTTGTACAAGTACCCGCCAAATCCCCGCAGCCTAAGGAAAGCTGGGATGGGGGCCTTGCGCCTGACCGCCTGAAGCTCCGACTGAACCCGCGAATGAGTCATGCGGGAATAGGCGAATGCTTGAACCTAGCAAGACGAACGCCAATTATGCAGTTTGCTCTAGGTGGTTACCCAGCTGATAGGTTTTTTTTTAGGGATGGCATGTTGGTCAAGATGCGCTCCAATCCTATAACTCCCGGCACAGCGCTTTCGCATCATTTTCATTCCACTGGCTGGTCGGGTTTCGTCTCTATTCCTCTACAGGGTCGACACTTGTTTATACCGTGCCAGTGCACCAGAAAACTCGAATATAGAAATATATTCGGCGGACTTCTTTGTCGCTAATCAAACCTAGCTCATATTTTGATGCCTCCCGTGACGATTGTCTTCAGTGTAAGGTAATCGTCGAGACCGAATCTACTGCCCTCGCGACCAAACCCAGAATGTTTGACACCCCCAAATCTAATACAGTTAGTATGCCTAGAAATGGAAGAACAGCGATTCAACTCACGGTGCTGGAGCGTCTGAAATCACTCCAGTGTTGATAGCAACCATTCCTGTTTCCAATTTCTCCGACACACGGTGAGCCCTTGCTAGGTTTGTAGTCTTTAGGTAGGATGCCAGTCCCACGTCGCAATTGTTGGCTCTCTTGATGACTTCCTCTTCCGTCGAGAACTTCATCAGCGCTGCGAGAGGGCCAAATGTCTCTTCTCCGGCAACTTGCATGCTATCGTTAACATCGCCGAGAATAGTGAGCTCGTGAAAGTTCTTTCCCACGGAAGGAAGTCGATGGCCACCTAACAACACCTTCGCGTTCTTGCCCACAGCGTCTTCGATGTGAGCTCTGATCTTCTCTACGCCGTTTGTCAGAGGTCCATGAGTGATCGAGTCATCGGCCAGCGCATTCCCAACCCGAAATCTTTTAGCTTCCTCCACGAACCTCTGGCTGAACTTTTCGTAAATACCCTCCTGGACGAATATACGGTTGGCACATACGCAAGTCTGCCCTGTAACCTTGAATTTGGCGATCAGAACGCTAGTAACGGCCGTCTCTATCTCGGCATCATCGAAGACGATAAACGAGGCATTACCCCCCAGCTCAAGACTGAGCTTCTTCAGTGTCCCGGCCGATTGTGCAAATAGTAGTTTGCCAACTCTTGTAGAACCAGTGAACGAAATCTTCTTGACAATATCCGACTCGCAAAGCCCAAGGCCGAGTTGTGGTGTATTTCTGAGCGCGGTAATAACGTTGAATACGCCCTTGGGGATACCCGCATGTTCCCCAAGGACAGCAAGGGCGTTCGAGGAGAAAGGTGTTAGCCCGTCCGACTTGAGTACCACTGTGCATCCCGCCGCGAGGGCCGCGGCAACCTTACGTGCAGCCATCGCTTGAGGGAAGTTCCATGGTGTAATAAGGCCGCAGACCCCTATAGGTTGCCTGATAACTTGCGTCCTGGAGTCAGGAGCGCTGTGTGGAATAATGTCTCCGTAAATTCGAGCAGCCTCCTCCGAGAACCATTCAAAAAAGCTTGCTGAGAAGAGAACCTCGCCCACAGCATCGCCTTTGGCTTTGCCGTTCTCAGCGGTGATAATCTTGCCTAGATCCTCTTTATTCTCCACTAGGAGCTCAAAGAACCGGCGCAAAATCCTGCCGCGCTGGCGACCGGACTGTAACCTCCACGTCTCAAACGCTTTGGACGCGGCGTTGATGGCATCGCGTAGGTCGTCCAGATCTGACTCTGGAGCCGATCCGATAATTTCGTCGGTAGCCGGGTTCTTGACCTCAAACGTCCGTCCCGATTTGGATCGTACCCACTGGCCATCGATATATGCCCTTTCGACAAACAGGCTGGGGTCTTTCAAAGAAGAAGGGGAGAACGACATTTTCTGATATTTTGGCTGTGAAGGACTACTCTCTCCAACAGATGTTAATCCACCAGCAGTCCTATAACATATATTGTTCACAAAAATAATTTCGCCTTTCGTGGCAAGGCTCGACATGTTGTGCCAAGGTCCATAGTTGGCCCTATTGTCTGGTAGCGGCCTGGCGCGTACTACTTCTTTAAGAGGTAATTCGTACAAGACCCAGGCCATCATCGAAATTACAATTCCACTGGTTGCTGTATGTCGTAATTTTCAGTGTTGAAACGGAGATAAAGGAGGTAGTCGCGGCGCCGTGCCAATATTTGCCGGAGCAGTTGGCGGACTTTTAGTCTCCGATAGGAAAATTGGATGCGACATTCCCTGATTCTGATTACCTGCAGATAAGGAACGTCGAATCTCAGTTTCTCCGTCGACTCTGATACTATATCTTAGCCCACGGACAGTGATTGCTAGTCCGAAAGACAACGATGAACGAGTTGCCTTGCGTTGATAAGCACGAGTCAAGCAATCCATCGAAAGGCTACCGCGCTCTACATTTTGAGATGCAGTTCGTTCTCGCGTACGCATTAATTACCAAGGCGAAGTATATCCCTGGCTGTGAACGCGAACACATCGGGGAAAGACCGAGATTAATATCAGATCTATGCGCTATCTATTCCGCTGTTGGTAGCTGTATGCCTTCTGCCTAGAGGAATTGCACCGTTAAACCACAAGTGGAGGCATTGAGGAATAACTCCTGGCGTTTCTGATTAGTCTTCGTACTTGAACATCTCGGCCAAAGTATCATTAATGTATCCCCCCTGATGACCCAGGAATTCTCGAACGCCCTCAAGATCAAACTTCTGCCCGTTCTGACCGTGCCTCCGAATTTGAGCCAGCTGCCATTCAAGACGTGCGATCAGGGTCTGGAGTCTGTACTCGGCAAACTGAGGGTAGAGGTCATCCTGATAGCTTATGGGACGGACGGTGGTAAGGACAATTTCGTCCTTCACCAGTGGCGATCTGGGTCGCCATGGTGTGATCATGGAAATGCGCTCGCCGCCGGTGAACGCTTTGAGGGCTTGATGCTCGATATAACGGCCTTGAAGGACGACAGCACTGCCCTGTGCCGGGATGTCAGTAGAGAGCTGGACGGCACCAAGATTTCAATACACCCACCATGCTGGGTCCGCGGACTTTCATAGTTCTGCCGTCGCCTGTACGCAATACAGTCTCTCCACCGACCATGTCACTGCAGTCAGAGAGCATGGTCACACAGACAAAGGGATAGCTGTCACGGTGCCACGCGAAAGCCTCCATACTCTCACCGGGATGGTTTCTCATGCGCTCGAGCTCAGCTTGATCTGGCTTTCTGTTGTTGACAGAAATATTGCAGTGACCGATCTCGTAAGGCATGACAGGCACCAAGTCAATCCCGGCGATCTCTGAAACAGCCTTGGCGACCTCGGGGCTATACCAAGCTTTGAAGGTGAACGGAGCGAGACTGTGGCGCCAGGTCAGCCTGATACCTGGGCCTCCGCGAGACGAAAAAAGAGCTTGCCTTTCATCATAGCCCCTTATCATGTTGCTCGCAAAGCTCGAGGCAAATTGGCACTTCTCAAGCACTTTTTCGCTGAACATTTCCGCTCTAATTTGTGCTATGGCTTCGTCGGTGAAGAGACTGAATGGTTCCGATACCGCGGTATCCGAGATGCCAGCACCCTCGAGCCCGATGTCTGCCATGCTAATGATCTTCTTGGGGGGAACATAGTTCAAATGCCTGGCTGGATCAAACTCCTGCCTCACAATGTTGCGGGCGTTTACAATGACGGATTGCGGGATCTGCTGGGTAGGACGAGTCGGCCTTTTCGTCGTTGGACCCACGACTGGTGGAGGTCCAATGGTTTTCAAAGTGACGCTGGGAGACAGGATGTCTACGGTTGCCATTTCTGCTGGGACTTGAGAATTATTTGACTGTTCGATATGAGAACTCTTTTCCAACAATGAATATGACCCTTTGAATTTCTCACAGGGCACACTTCTCAGGGGAAGACCTTCGGTAGTAGATAACTAGCAGTGGAAGCTTCACCGCTTATCAGTTCAGAATCTACAGTCAGGTGAGCTACGATATTTCCGGTTAATTTTTCCCCTATGTTACCTATCAGACTTGACAGCCGCGTACACCGGCGAGATAATGCTTCGACTCAACGTGGAAATATCCTTCTGCGGGGTGGTACACCATGTGTGACCCTGTCGGTTGGCGCAACTATCGTCATCGAGACGTTTGATAATCCCATGTCAGGGTAAAAGCCACTAGGAATTGGTGGTCGAATGTGAATGAACATCGTTAAAGGAGTGGCTGCTTTTTGAAGCCAGTGGAACGTCTTTTGAGGTTCGTTACCGCATCCCGCACCTTTCCCACTGATGGCTTGTGGCCTGGCCTGGCCTTCCCTGGATGATTTTGTAACGATCCAATACTGGGCTTCGCACACGTTTTGATAAGTTGTCATGCTGCACTTCTCCGCTTCAAGGCATTGGGACATTGTATGATATAACAGCATGTCTTTTGTCCAATAGAACAATACAATATTTTTTCTAAGCCTCGATGATTTCAGTTTGGCAAGAGATGAACGGAGAGGTCAGAAACTCAACATGTTTCGTTCCCATATACCTGACACTGGAAATAGAAGTGGAGCACGGAAGCACCCAGAATTCGTAGTTCTGACAGACTTATGGATATCTCTATGTGATGACAAAGTAAATCAGTTTTCTCGAGATGTCGTGATGTGTGACTAGTAACTCGGGTACATGCTTGAGCGAAATACATAGTATTTCTCCATGCACCGGAATTTTGCTCGAGATGCCATATCTATCCAGAATCAATGCACGTCCCTTATCCGGCTACCTCACGTTCGAGATGGGTCTTCTTGCTGCCACTTTTGAGGGGTCTGGGGCATGAGACATGGAACGTGGGCGATATTCCCCACTCATCCCCGGGGAATATAAAGGGATTGTTGCAACCTGTTCCAGGCGATAGGATGGAGGCTCTATTGGCCTGCGCGCTTGGTGGAAGTTCGCGGCGGTGCTAAAAGAACCCCAATTAGGAATTTTACTAGTAGGTAAGTTGCTGGGAAATTTCCACATCAGGTATGGTGGTCTCGTGTATGCAGATTAATGTGGAGATTCTGCGATAAGGTCGCGCACAACACCAAGCCAGACCTTCTGATGCTTGCCCCTTCGCTGGGCGACGGTGAGCAGGAAGAATATAAGAAGACTGCTTTCAGATACCGTCCAGAAAGGAGCGCCTTCCCCCAACCCGATGCAATCAGCTGCTATCCACAGTGCCATTCAGTTCATTATGGCTCCCTCTTCGTCAACCAAGGTTGACATGTCTCTTTTGACACAAGACAAACATGAGAAAGACTTTGAAGACCAAGACCTCAAGACCATAATTACCACGGACGCTGGTGAAACTCGCCTCACCCACGCGGGTTCTGCGGGCTTACATCGCAGACTTGGTCCACGCAAAATCCAGCTTATCGCCATAGGGGGCTCTATCGGCACCGCCCTTTTTATCGCCATTGGAAGCGCCCTTTACAAGGGCGGACCTGCAAGTTTACTGCTAGCCTTTGGTATTGAATGTATCATGGTCGGTCTGCTGAACAACTGTATTGCCGAGATGACCACCTATATGCCAGTCAACGGTGGTTTCATCTCGCTAGCTGGAAAATGGGTGGACGATGCTTGGGGCTTCATGGCTGGCTGGAATTTTTTCATCTATATGGCATTGACTGTACCCTTCGAGATATCCGCACTGAATTTGCTGTTGGCCTACTGGAGGGATGATATCCCTGTTGTAGCGGTCTGCCTTACTTGCATTGCTCTCTACGCGTAAGCGTTTCGTTCCTATCACCCCTTCTCATCCCATGGCTTTAGTGGAAATTTCGCTGACACATCTTCCCAATACAGGATTATTAACTTGTTTGCGGTCGGTACCTACGGCGAGGCCGAGTTCTGGCTTTCTGGAGGCAAGGTTATCTTGATATTCATCCTGTTTTTCTTCACATTTATCACTATGGTTGGTGGCAACCCGAAACATGACGCCTATGGATTTCGCTACTGGAACGACCCCGGACCATTCGCTCAATTATATGAAAAAGGAGATCTCGGCCGTTTCGAAGGCTTTCTAGGAGCTCTCTGGACAGCAATTTTCACCTGCGTGGGACCGGAATATATCTCGATGGTATCCGCCGAAGCGAAACACCCGCGGATCTATATCAAAAGTGCATTCAAAACCGTCTACATGCGCTTTGGCATCTTTTTCATCGGAGGGGCCTTGTGCGTTGGGATAATTATCGCCTACAACGATCCTTCACTCGTCAGCGCCATCAACAGCGGAAAGTCGTCTTCGGCCGCATCTCCTTATATAATCGCCATGAAAAATCTGGGCATTACTGGCCTTCCGGATCTTTGTAGTGCGCTGATGGTCACCTCTGTCTTCTCCGCCGGCAACACCTACACCTATGCCTCCACGCGCGCACTGTACGGCTTGGCGGTCAACGGCCGAGCGCCCCGATTTCTCACCTATACGACCAGGAGCGGCGTGCCGATTTACTGCTTCATTGTGGTGCTAGCTTTCTCATTCCTCTCGCTCCTCCAACTTTCGGGGGGCTCGTACAAAGTTCTGAACTGGCTGATTGATCTGACCACGGCTAACATCCTCATTGACTACATAATCATCTCGGTCACCTATATCTGCTTCTACAGAGCCTGCAAGGCACAAGGCTTTGACCGAAACAAACTCCCTTATGTCGGACACCTTCAACCGTACTGCGGCTACATCACGTTTGTGTGGTTCGTTGTGATGCTGTTCTGCTTCGGCTACACAAGTTTCACACCCTGGTCAACCGCCAACTTTTTCTTGAACTATACCATGCTGATCTTCTGCCCGATTTGCTTCATCTTCTGGAAGCTCTACCGAAAAACCAGATGGCTGCGGCCGTCGGAGGTGGATCTGAAATGGGACGCTGATGAAATCACGGCATATGAAGCAGCTGAGGAGGAGCAACCTACCACCTTCTGGAGGGAAATGCTGCAGTTCGTCGACCCACGGAGACTTTATCAACGGAAGGGAAGGTCAAATGTCACGGTCTGAGGCTATTGTACTTTCATATGGATATCCACTCGAGAGACCCGCGGAAGGACCATGGAGATGTGAACACTTGTGTTGTTGAATCTGGTATCCATAGTCGACATGCAGAAATTACCATGACCCGGGTAGCTGCCATGTACATGAAACATGCATTACTCTATGAAGACACAAGTATGTCGTCGCGATATGCCAACCTAATTCGTCCGGAACAAAAGATCAGAAGCCCCCTGGCAGTTCGACCCTTTTTCCATCATTATTCCTGAAGGAAATTCAGATTCTGCTTGAATATCTTGCGGAGAGCGATCATATCTGTTACCACGCTGATCATGCGGAACCCTTTGTCTGCGTACTCTCTAGCTTGCTCACCGGTGTCACAGTAGATACCGCTGAGTTTACCAGCCTCTAGCGCTGTCGCATGAATAGACTCAATTGCATCGACAAGCTCGCGATCCATCTCTCCTGAAGCAGGAATTGGATGTCCAATATTGAGGCCGAGGTCAAAGGGCCCGATGAAAAGGACGTCGACGCCTGGCACCGCAGCAATCTCCTTGACATTTTGGAGCGCTGCTTTTGTCTCGATTTGCACGGCCGTGACCAAAGAGCTGTTGGCTTGCGCCAAATACTCGAGGCCAGTCAATTGTTTCACTCCGCGTCCGTGAGGGTGCTGTTCGACGAACTTTTCCACCGCAAGGAGCGGCTCAAACCCTCGCTTTCCCAGTGGCGGATACTTGGAATAGTTGATGACTCTTTCAGCTTCTTCAGGCGTTTCTAATACCGGGACAAGAATGCCGTGTGCCCCGGCATCCAGAGCGCGCTTGATCATCCATTGTTGACCTTCAACCACACGAACGATAGGCGATACTCCGCAAGCCGCTGCAGCCGCGACCATTTCGTGCATCGAGTCATCTGAGATGTTGCCGTGCTCCTGGTCTACCAGGATCCAATCGATATTCGTTGCTGATCGGCACATAGTCCGAGTGAGGTTTGTCCCAGGGAGCATTTGCCACACTCCATAGCTGGGATCACCTTTCGCGAGGGCTTTATGGATGCGGTTTGATTCTTGCATTGCTGAGTATGCAGAATGTAGAGCTATGCAGCTCGATGGAGGTGAGACTACTCGATATTTGGCAGGAAGGTGCAGCTCTGAAAATATCTAACCGAGAGGAAAAATAGTCGAGCCAACTCTGGAGTGCGAGGCGTGGATCTTTTGCCAGTCAATGTTTTGGATATGTTACTTGAGGACTTGAATGAGGACTCGAAAATACCGTCGCACAGCCTCAAGGCCGTGTGTAGGATCAAAGGCCATCCAATCGTTACCATCACCTTGCCTCCCATAACGCGCTAGAATATCGGAATGCAAAGGCGTGGCTACGCGAATAATTACTGTTTCGAGCCATTCCCAGCATTTGCCGAAGTCGTCAGTCCTTGGTAAAACCCGACTTTTTATGCGCCTTTAGAAACAAAATACGGAACGCCTCTACACAACAACCAAGTTGGAAATCATTAAGTCCCTGATAAGAAGAGAATTGATAGGAAAAATTGAGCCATATATGCCCTATTGGGTAAGATTTACCAACCGGACATATTGATTCATCACGTGGATCGACGCAGGGGAAATATAGATTGAATCTGTGGGGTCATACAGTCCCATGGGTCGATCTGGACGCTGCAGAGGTTCGTTCTTTCCTGAGTCAACTATGCAAATCCCAATGTGCTCGGGAAAAGGGCGTCTGCTAATATCCCTGGAATAAATTGAGCAGTAAGGGACTAGCCTTTTCTGGCTATAAACCAACACGATAGCAAGCCTGTAACCGTAGGCCGATTGTAGATGAGTCCCCTGGTCGCATGTGAGTGTGAGAAAAAGGATAAAGTCTTTCGATGAGATGGAAATCGACAGCTGCCGGGTCCTGTTCTGAAGCTTCGCCGATATATCACTATATCATCACTGAATTCTTCCACCACGAACGGAGTGCACAGAACGCCCTGCTTCCTACACCATAGCCTTGGTCGAACACAATTCAAATATTCACTCGACTATCATTGTGCAATTATGGGATCTACTGGGTCACTCAACTTCAACGACATCGCTGCAGCCCTGCGCACTGCACTCAAGAACAGCACGCCCATAGATCCGCCCACCAAGACCTGGCCGTCGTTGGACGCCGAAGCTGCTTGGCAAATCTCACAGATTAATGCTGAACATGCTGTCAAGAATGGCGATCGACTGGTAGGCTACAAGCTCGGGAACATTGCGAAGGTCATGCAGACGGCATTCGGCCTCGATCACCCTGACTATGGCTTCATGCTCGGCAGCACGTTGGCTTACGAGGGCACGTCGCTTTCATTAAAGCACTACATCAAGCCATATGTCGAGCTGGAGGTGGCATTCGTCCTGAAGGACAAGTTGCGCGGCCCGAATGCCACTGTCGCGGACGTGATGAGCGCGATCGATTATGCAGTCCCTGCAATCGAGATCATCGATTCCCGGGTGAAAGACTGGGCAATCGACCTCCCCGATACCCTGGCCGACAACGGTTCCACGGGCACGGTGATCCTCGGCGGAAATCCTCGCCATCTCAGTCAGCTCAACCTGGCCAACACACGGGGTACATTGTATTTCAACCATCGCGAGGTGATCTCGGGCAATACAAGGAACGTGCTGGGTAACCCAATCGCCGCCGTGGCCTGGCTCATCAATAGACTTGCAGCCTATGACATCGAATTCCTTCCCGGACAGATCATCCTTCCCGGAAGTTGCCTGGAAGCTATTCCAATGACCGAAATTGGTCACTGGACCGGCACGTTTGACGGCTTCGGCACCGTCGAGTTCGACGTCAATTGATATCAGCCTCAGAGGCCAGAGACTGTCCCCGGAGGCGTAGCAACAGATGCTTGCAGTGCAGTTTTGTGTCAATAAAAGTTTGGATCGAGGAATGAAATTGACTCCGGGCTGGGGAGCTTGCAACCTTATTGTGTATCGGAGGCCGTGGGCAAGTCTTGATGACGGGCAGCGACTCAGTGCAGGATAATAGGAACGTAGACTTCGCACCATAGTTATGCTTCGAAAGCTGCAAAATGGTTGTAGAATTTCAATTCCAAGAGTGATGGGTAACTAACCTTGAAATCCGTGCGTCTGTTTCAACTCTGGGAACGGAGTACAGAGAATCACGTCCTCTTAGGGGCTTCCTGCAAGCAAATGCTTAGAAGACCGAGTGCTCAATTCAATCTATTGCATTGCATGCCAGCGTTGGTATCAGCTGCTCCTTCAATCAGGTTCGGTGATTGTCAGCATAGTTGGCAATGCTATATTCCCTCCACTCTTCCTCGTTGTCCCTCGCTGAATGCGCGCATGTATTTTCTTCGTGTAGTCCCAGGTAAATGGCTCCGTAGTAAGGCTGTGCAGCTCGCGAACCTTCATTGCCAAAGTTGCGGTCGTTGTCGAACTGGGACAATTGCAGGAGTCAGCTGGCTGTCGGAAGATTGCGTAACAAGTTCGGTTCTTGGGGGAGGCGGCAGCAATGGCCTGTGCAACCAGTAAAGGCACTAGACTTCCCCCCCGCTATCTTTATCAGGGCCGGAACATCGCTGACATCTTCAACCTTCCTCAATCGAGCTCCCATCTCGCAATAACAATACTGTAGGACTCAATTATCCCATGAAATACAGGCATCGAGCCTGCGTCGAAACCCTCAGCACATCAGCGTCGCAGCCGCAGTTCTCGCTGGGCAATGAGCGACGGGCCAGTCAGATCGGAGACAGCAGTCAAGCGCGGTCAGCCCAAGAGTCGCAATGGTACGCCTCTTCCTCTCCCTGTATCTGCCTGCAATCCCGCACAAAGACTGACTGACTGCTGACATACTCCGTAGGTTGTATCACATGCAAGTCCAAGAGGAGAAAATGTGACGAGACGAAGCCGGGCTGTCTCCGATGTCGCTACTATAATATCACCTGCGGCGGATATGACCAGGGTATCAAATGGAGGCCGGTGAAGATGTCAAACCTCATGCGCAAACGAACACAGAGTATGTTGTTGGACACCAAAAAACACAACGGTGGAGATGACTGAGCTAGCTGAGGCAACCAACCGGCCGACGCTGAGACGGAAGACACCTCTCAAAGAACGCAGACGGTGCATTCGAGCGATAACAATGACGCCACCGCCGTCGATACGGATGTAAGCGTTCAGGACACAGCAGTGATTCTTCAAGATCTCAGGTCACAACGGGGATCGGAACCTTTCGCGTGGGACTCATCGTTCATATCATCGTCTTTAGACTTCGGGCACATTGGGGTACCACCGTTGGGCGATGGGACATCAAGCCACAATGATGTCTTTGCTGGCGACGTATTCGACGACCTTATCCTAGATGATTTCAATCAGGCACAGTTCGATGCGGACGCACTGGCGAACCTATCTTTTGGTCACTCGCCGAGATCTATCGACGCTGGATTCCTTCTTCCCGAAACTCCAAAGGCCTCCACCCCTAGTAAACATGGCACATATCAAGTTGATGCACTTTTTCTGCCTTTTGCTGCTTCGTCGACAGAGTATTCTGGGAGGGGTGAGCAGCGCAGCAATGATCATGATGAAACACTCAGATCAGCCGTTAATGTCAACGGCAGAGAATCGGAATCGCTCAGGCAAAGTACCCCAGTCTTCGATTCTCAGCCTCAGGGAAATCCTCCCGATCTTCGCCCTTCAGCGCCGAATTTTCGTGCGACGGCCTCGAATGCCTCTCCACAGCGACATGAAACACCGGATGACACTCCGGAAGCGATCGAGACCCTCTTCAACGTCCATACTTGCCGAATCCTCTCGATCCAGACCGATGTATCCAAGAGTCCGTGGCGAACACTTATCTGGCCACTTTCTCATGGCTGCCCTGTTCTCTATCATGCACTCGCGGCAATGGCCAGCTTTCATATTTCCCTACATGATTCCCGCTTTCGCTCTCAAGCCTGTCGGCATTTTCAGTGCAGCACCCAGCTGCTTGCCGCCTCTACTGATGACAACAATATGCCTCTGGAAACGGCAATTACGACGAGGCTAGCTCTAGGCTTTGCTCATGCCTGGGACCCTCAGATATCCTCCGGCGGCATTGAGCACATCGATGCTGCCCGGGCACTCCTTCGGCGAGCCGTCTCTCAAAGTCAGACCTCACAATTGAGTCCTGGTAAATCGAAAATCTTGAACGTCCTCGCACAAACATGGGTATACATCGATGTTATGGCTCGCATTTGTTGTTCTGGACATACAGGCTCTGTGGATGAGGAGCTGATATCTTCTTGCAGCATGCTAAGCCCGGTTCCCCCAGAAGAGAACGTCGACTCGCTCTTGGGTTGCTCAAGTACATTATTTCCGCTGCTCAGCCGCTTAGCTGATCTTGTCGGTCGCGCTCGAAGGGTCAATGACAAGTTGAATTCGCTGGACAATATTTCCAGAGCGACCGATCTGAAAGTGGCAATCGAACGCTGGACTCCTCCCATCGACGTCGAAGCTTCAGAGGATAAGTCGCGCATTGTAGACATGATCCAAACGGCCGAAGCCTACAGATGGGCAGCAATCCTCCTTCTGCGTCAAACCGTCCCCGAGGTGCCTTGGGCACATTCACAGCTCGAGCTAGCACAAAAGACACTGGTCTATCTTGCCACAATTCCTCGTGATTCTCCAACCACTGTTGTGCACGCCTTTCCTCTCATGGTGGCGGGGGTCGAAGCCATTCAGGAGGAAAACAGGGACTGGATCCGTCGACGGTGGAAGCAAATGTCAAAAGCCTTCAACATGGTCGTCGCTGAACGATGCCAGAAATTGATAGAAGAAGTGTGGCGAAGGAGGGACGACTTTGAAGAGCGCCATGGTGTCCGTTGTGTTGGCGGAACGCAACAGGCCTCTTCTTCCTCAAATGAACCTGTCCCATCCCAGGGAGACTTGGGCAACCCTATCTCCGGGACAGATCTTAAGAATCGAACTGAGGCAAGCCTCAGCCTTCGTTCGATATCGCCCAACTTTCCTGATTCCCTGGCATTCAAAAAGGGAATTGACCCTGTGACAAGAGCTGGCTACACCGAGTATACAGTGCGAGGTCGTTTGCATTTCCTGGAAATCATGAAGGAATGGCAATGGCAAGGTGAGCCGATGCCTCCCGTTGGCGCAAGCCATGAGCTTCATCTACAACATGCTAACACAAAACCTGAACAGTAATGCTTGCTTGATATTGACTGTACGCTTATCTCTCATCCTGGACCTTCTTTTAGCCCGGCTTGGACACCCCCTTTCCCATCGGCTTGGTTACGTGACTACTCCACAAGGAATTGCGGCTCATGCCAACCGCCAGACGCCGGGAAATAGGCCAGGGCCATGGGATGAGGAGGATTCATATCTTTGACAGGCGTGCTCAGTGGCCACTAAGGTTCAGCACACTTCATTGTCATGATATATATGAGAACCGATATGGTGTTGGAGACGCGGAAGGTAAGAGCTCGTAGTTGCTTTGTGCGGACCCGTCGTGGCTGTGATGAGCTTCTCGCCCTTACTCCAACAGGGGACCATGTGTGCACTGGTTTATATTTTATATGTCTTGTTCCTCGCGAGAGGATTGTAAACCCTCATGTCGAGTTGACGTGAATACAGTGAGATACCTCTTGTCTAAGGGTAATGTCATCCTCGTGACACCAATCCTGCTACAAACAGCAACTGGAATTTTCCTGAAGGATGCGACGCTGTCGAAGCAAGTGTTCCGGCGTCTACATCTTCTACCAGAAGGGATAGTAGACCTCGGAGGAGATTGACACCATTTCCCTTAATCAGAGCGACTCGTGGCAAGGAAATTCCTACAGAAGAAACCTTTTCGGGGCCCGACGATCGGCGAATATCCCCTCACGCCTTAAGCACTTCCACCATGCAAAATATTTCCTATTCGGGAAGCGTTGCTCGTGGGTGGGGAGAGGTTTCTCCGGGGTGATTCTGGGTTGAGAGGAGCTCCTAGAAAACGTTCGCATGACTGATGGTTTGTAACACATAAATGAAACTTCATTTGACCCTGGCTGTCAAAGAGAAAGCCTTGTTCCTGTGTGAAATCAACTCCAAACACGAGAAAATCTCGATCACCTTAGATCTAGCGCTTCTTGAATATACCAGAACCATTCATTCAGGCAGATATGACCACCACAACAATGACGGCCAGCGCTCCCCAAGCGCCGCCAAAGATATACCACTTGGTTTCAACCCTACAGACAACCCGCCCACGAGGTCAGTTGCCGCAGTCGTTGCTCGACGAGGCCAGGTCAGTCCGCAAGGAGCCTTTCGACCCCCAGAAACACGTCGCCTACGAACCTCCCGCGAAAATCCACTCCATGAAAGACATCGGCTTGGAGGGACAGGGCATTTCACCCAACGCCGTGACAGACCCTTTTCCGCTGTTCACGCAGGATGCCATCAAGCAGATGAGGGCCGAGATCTTCAGTGAAGACGTCCTCGAGAACTGCCAGTACTCCTCGCCCTTCGTCAGCAGGACAGTCAGGGGTATGGGCCCCGTGTAAGTCTGGACGATCTTCTCCTCTGCGACTGAACCTAGACATCGGCTAACCCTAGAGGCAGCCGGGCCCCTTTCACCTACGATGCCTGGCGTTCCAAAGAAGTCCTTGACAGAGTTTCCGAGGTCGCGGGCATTGAATTGGTCCCCGTCATGAACACAGAAATCAGTGCCGTCAATATCGCCGTCAACGAATCAGGCGCGACCGCCGACACAGCCTCCAACGAGCGGAAGGATGACGGATTGCCTGCGTTTGCATGGCACTACGACAGCTACCCCTTCGTCTGCGTCACCATGCTTTCGGACTGCACCGGCATGGTCGGAGGCGAGACTGCCTTGAAAACCGGGACTGGTGAAATCATGAAGGTCAGAGGGCCAGCCATGGTAAGTAGTTACGGGTTGTTTCTCTCTTTTGCTTACGTCGGGCCCGCTTTATTGATTTTGTCGCTTGTAGGGAACCGCAGTCGTCATGCAAGGCCGATACATCAACCATCAAGCATTGAAGGCCCTAGGAGGCCGCGAGCGCATTAGCATGATCACGTCTTTCAGACCGAAGTCGCCATTCGTCAGGGACGAGAGCGTCCTCACGGGAGTCCGCGGCATCAGCAACCTCGACGAGCTCTATTCGGAGTACACCCAGTATCGGTTGGAGATCCTCGAGGAGCGAGTCCGGGACAGGTTGAAGGCCGAAAGACGGCGGGTCGTCGAACGAAAGCCATTTGCAACCCGGCACGTGAAGCAGTTTCTGAGTGAACAGAAAGCGTTTTTGGAGTCCATGTTGAACGAGCTCGTCGAATAATTTTTGGCGGCAAAAGACAAACCCATTCTCAGGGGAGCATTCACTGGCTCTTAGGAGTGAAGAACTGTGCACCCCGCAAAGTTCGACCCTTCTCTGAAGCCTCTTCCTCTATTCTCCTTTTGCGTCACATTTTTCATACTCAAGATTACTTTCCTGTTCGAGGCAGACTCGAAATGAGCCTGTTTTCGATGTGAATTGGTCGGGACAATATATTGCTGCAACGCGATACATGAAAGTGGCCGTCTGGGTGCTGAATCCTCGATATTCCCGCTCTATTACCGAACACTGTTCGAGCCTATCCGTGTCCAAAGCCGTGTCGTCCCACAAACTGCAGCCAGTGCCTTTCCTGCCGTCCTCCGTATCTTTTTCTTGAAGTGAATTTTTTTTTTTGGATTTCTTTCCCAATGTCGAATCATCCTGATAATAAATACTTAGTGTGTGCATCTGCACTTTCTTCAACGCATGGAAATCCTCTTGCGCGAGGGGAGGTTGTCCACCGCCCATAAGTTCTACAGCAGGAGAATCTGGCCAAGGGTAGCGGAGCCATACAAGGCAAGACTGAGCTGTTCAGTGTTGCCCAGTGTCGACACAACGTTCAAGACGCCCTTGGGGAGACCTGCCCGCTCACTCAACACCGCGACGACATTCGAGGAGAAGGGGGCTCGCGCATCGGGCAGGACAACCGCTGTACTCCCGGCCGCAAGAGCGATAGCGACTTTCCGTGCACCGATCGCGAGCGACAATTCCCGCGGCACAACCACCGCACAGACGATAACAGTATCTTCCGCCTTTTCCAGGTTGTCACTTTGACCGATCACGTCCTCTCGGGTGATCTTCTCTGCCAAGCTGTCGAAAAAGGAGGCCGCAAAGGCCACCTCGGCTTCGGCCTCTGCGACAGGCTTGCCCGTCTCGGTGGCGACGATTTGACCAATGTCTGCTCTATTGCTCAACATCGAGAGGGATATTTTCTGGAGAAATCGAACTCGACTGCTGCTACCCAAGGCGCTCCATTCCGGCAAAGCGGTAGTGGCGGCTTGGATCGCGTCATCTAGATCGTCCGTGTTCATATCGGGGCATGTACCCATCACCGCGTCGGTGGTCTTATCTCGGACTTCAAATTTGGCCTGTGAACTTGACGATACCCATTGTCCATTGACATAAGCTTTCTGTGCAAAGAGCTCGCGGTCGGTCAGAGCGGTGGCGAATGCTGTGTCCATCAGGAAGAGATTGCTTCCCGAGCGTGAATGATTTAGCAAATGCACGAGATAAATCGACGAGAGTCGAATGTATCTGAATGTCATTAATATCCTGCGCCCACAGGTCCCAAAAAGGAAGGAATCGCTCTGCCCTAGGCTTGGAAATATGCAGATCGTTCTCCTCCACACATGCAGCAAAATTCCCGTATTCGACTTAGTGAGATCCAAGTGGGGGAATGTACTCCGAGTATCCACGCAAGTTATCATTGATATTAAGTTGGGCCGCTCCTTTGGTAGAGAGCTGTCAAACTGATACACAGGACATCCATTCATGTAGACAAAAGTTTTCCGGGAGCCGCACGAACAAGATCTTCCTCCCAGGCCCAGACTTTAGTTTGTGAATAAATCAGAGCAAGGCTGAGCCGAAGTCCGCAAGAACGCGCGTAGATGGAAGTTGCCCTGTTTCCTCTATGACGGTCACAAAATGAGTTGTTTGATACCCAGGAGCTGACAGGCACGAATCGCACAATCTATGTAAGCTCCCCTCTTGATGAGTGTTCGGTTGCCGAGAGACCGTGGGTTACTCCGGATCCCAGCTAGGACGAACATCCATTCACTGCGGTATAATAAGTACGCCCCGATGTCACTGCTGGGCGTGCTGTCCAGCTTTTCGTCTGCTGAATGGTTGCATGTCCTCATCATCATTGAACTTGTCAGTCCACTTAGCGTGAGCAGGGGTGATCGGCAGTTCCTTGTACCTTTCCACCCTATGTTCAGCTCCAGGTGGTGCTCTTGGTGCGTCAGCTGCCATTCAATGTTGTTGTTGGGAAAATCATTCATGCGTGCGGACAGAGGCCGCCTTTGAGTCAATTTGTCATTGTCGACATTTTGTGGGTTAGAAAGGATCAAGGAGAACTTTTGGTCCTTCTGTGTTTCCACTATCAATGTACCCGCAAAAAGAGCAAGGCATGCAAAGCCCCCGGGAGGGACCTGGACGGTTCGTAGAAAAAGTGGCAGGACAACTTGACCCCGGAACGATGATCCGACCCATAGGCCATCGTCGACGGGCCTGGACGCTTCATGGCCTACCAATTTGAGTACATGGTTGAGGAATTTCAAGACGAAGCCACGTGATTCAACTTGTCGATCTGCGGGTTGAAGAAGAGATCTGATGGCCCGTGCCAAATCAGAGAATTCGATGGTCCATGTACGAGATGGATTGTAAAGGACAAGACAGTCGATCCTATTAGGGTCGACTGTTCCTTCGGCGACCAACAATGACAAGGCATGAACGTCCGGCCACTACTTCGGACAAACGGTCCAGGAACTTTTCCAACGCGCTCTCTTCAGATAAAGACCGCGGACGCCGGAATGGTTGGCACGGAGGATCCTGCTCCAGAGACAACAACATGCTCTCCTCCCTCAGATCTTCAGAAGTTGTGTACGATCTGGCCCACGACCGAACGGTGGGCAGGTCTGTAAGTTGAATATCCTCCGGCAGGCGCTCGAATCGGGGTCGGGTGTAGGTCGATCCCAGGAACATGTTGATCAAGGAACCCACAACCTCATCGGCGGGAAAGGTTTAGGGTTAGGGTTAGCCTCGAGATCAGACATAGGGTGATTGTTGGCTGATGAACTCTGTGGAGTCCGGGATGATCGTCTGATGCCAAATGTCTTCTAGAACGGAGGAAAAAAGACGTGTTCAAGGAGCAGTCGGATGAAGTTGAGAGCACGTCTCTGAATACGAGCGATAATTCCATGCTAAAGCACAAAATGAGTTGTGAAGTGGTCACTCAAAGCAGGGCAGAGAGTGCTGGAAAATTCAGGCTGGAGATGGAGAGAGAGAGAGACAGAATGCTCATATGCAATCTGCTCCTCGTAAATATATATCTCCCTTAGCTCTGGCGGTGAATTGCACCAACTTGTTTGCTGAGTACGCAATCAAAAGTTAGCCCGCGGTCTGTTCGTTTCTCAAGTAGCAAACACTTCTCCTGGATGCCTGCATTGGGCTTGTCTTCGTGTAACCTGATCCAGTATTTACCCCCTCTCATTGGTTCTGATCTCTCTAGCACGCACGCGATGGATAGATGCCCTAGAATCTATCAGCAGGATTCCAGACTGGAGCCTATCCTCCTTCTTGCGAGGTCTGCCTTACTGGCTGAGTTCCATCCCTGCTGACGCGATCCTTGCCAGAGAAATCTGCGGGCCGGCAAGCGACCGAACGGACGATCGTGACATTGCTCTTGCGACGTTGTCCCATATTCTCCGAAATTCAAGAATGGAAGGTGACGATTGTCACTTTCTATTTCTGTGGTACATCAGACTGCCCTAATCATAAATCAGGGAAATTGCAAGTCTGAAGTTCGGGGTCTGGAGGAAGGATCTTTCACCTCCAGCCTGACTGTACAGGATCGACTGCGCGAAAGTGTGCCCCCTTGCCTGGCTGCATCCAGAAGCGGGGCAGACGAAGGACCGCCGCAGTGCTGAGCGGGGTAGAATTGGTGATGAAAAGGGCCAGCCGATCCGTGGCCACCAGAAGCTTGACGCGGACACTGGAAGGAGGAATTTGGGTATTGCAAAACCCTTTAACGGTTCTTTCTCACCAGCTTGATCATCATTTTATTTCATTTCATTCAGAAGCCTGCTATCTCTAGGAGAGGGACCACGTTGAGGAGCTGCCGAGTTGGCTCGAAGAAATACATCCCGCAGCAGTCGTTCCATGAAACAGAAGTATACCGCAGTCCCCCCATCCCCTCCTTCTCTTGATTGTCAACCTCTGGTGCACATCACAGAGTACGCAAGGGATCTAGAAGTTCTTCTCGAGGTTGTTGACCTCGGTGTCAATGGCGCCATCGATCGCGCCATCCATAGCGGACGGGACGCCCTCCTTGTTCAAGAAATTGTTGACCTCTGCACTGAATGTCAGCCTTGTTTTGTCCAGACTGCGCGGGGAAAGTATTGATGAACGGGCGAAGGCATACCTTGGTTGATATAAGAGTCGCCAGCGTTCTGCTCAAAGCTCTTCATCATCCCGCCGCTGCTTCCTCCCTGTTGGCTTTGTTGGCCCTGCTGCTGAGGCTGTTGGTTGTTCTGGTTCTGGTCATTTCCTTGGTTGCCTCCTTGGCTTTCAAGGAATTGCTCGCCCTCTTTCAGGATGCTGTCCATGTTTGGTGCTGTGTTGTTGAGTATTCCAGATGAATAGAAGTGATGGTGTAACAGGTGTGCTCGTGGTGCCTGGTCAAGATACACCAGGGCGTGTGAGCTGGAAGGTCTTTATAGTTTGAGGGGTCCTTCAGCTTCTGCGGCACTGCTAACACCTGTGCTCCATACCTGGCGTTATCTCTGTTTCAATCGGCCCTGATTTCCTCGCTCGGTGACGTGGCTCACCACGAACCACGACATCTAAGTGGTCCGTCTCATGCCCCTGCAGATCGCATCACACAAGCACCCCAAGCTTCGCTTCTTCGAGGCTTAGCACACCAAGCAGAACTTTTCATTCGCCAGCAAGGTGGGACCAGCATTGCTTTTTCACAGATAAGCGTCGGGTATTTGTCGCCTCGGCACTCGATTTGAGCATGTCTATGCGAGTCACACAGCGGTAGGCAACTTTTCCCTCTGGCGCAGCCGAAGAGCTGGAGTGAGACCCTTGTCCAGCTGAACTCCCGGAAGGGAATAACTTTCCACCACCCCAACCAACACCGCGGCTTTACTTAGTCGTTGAATCGATCCAGAGCCACGGACCTGCACATCGTGGGACAGCAAGGGAGACTGTGACACGGGGTCCGCCTCGTCGTCGATGTCCTGAACGCTCTCACCCGTCACACGATCTGGAAAAGCTAAGGAGACCAGTATATAACTCAAGGCTGGGACAGAGGCACACGGAGTCAAGACCTGAATGTAGCCTTGTTCTGCAGCAGACAGCTGGGAATTCCAATATACCCAGCGGCGAGTCTTGACCTCTCCAAAGTCCATTTCCGTTTCCAGAAGCCCGCTTAAGCCGCTGCTCACACTCCTTATCCTTTCTCATCACCGGTGCAACCGGGCTGCTGGAGTCAGCATAATCATATTCTGTTGGCGGTGTGGTGGCCTGCACTCCGAACGGTGCCCCAAGAACAACAGCTGGCATCATGTATGCTTTCATAGCTTGACTCCTGGTCGTCTGCGCATGTGTGGGTTACAACTGTGCGTCGCCGTGCGGACGAAAAACTGGTCTGGTGAGGCAGAATCATGTGTGCTTGGGCAAGCAGAGCAGAATAGCAATTCCTTTCAGCACAAATTGTGCGGGCCAGAGAGCCAATCATGCGGCGTTCTAAAGGCGGCACGACGGGGCGATGCGCGGGGTAGAAGCAAGCCCAACTATCTCTGAACTTTAACTTCCCTCGAAATAGCTCTTCACTTGCTGCTCCCATACCATCTTGTAGAGTGTGGATACTTTTATTTTTATCAACATGGGAGACACTCGAAAGACGAGGTTTCGAGGCTTCCTCGACGACTTTCGAAGTCGAAGCAAGTCACCAGCCACTTTTGGGCAAAAGGACAAGGCTGAGAGCCAGGCAAACAAGGGCAAGACTAAAGACACATCGATCCAGAAGCCGTTGAGTGTGGGAGAGCAGATGTGGCAGAAATTGTTTGCCGAGCTCGACCAGGAAGAGCGGGAGTTGCTGAAGAAATACAAAGTCGCGGAGTCCGGAGAGATCAAAGCCACCCTAGCAGAAATCAAGAATGCCGCGGAGATTCAGGAGAAGAAATGTACTGAAAAAAAGCCGTACGAGTTCTTCGGGAAGCAGGTCAATCTGAGAGACGCAGCAGAGAAGGTCGTTCGATGGGTGAAAAAATTTGAAGCCGTGGGCGATATTGCCTCGACGGCCGACCCCATCCACGCCGGCTTGCCTTGGGCGGGAATCAAATTCATCCTCCGAGTGACAACAAGTTCCTTCGAGGAGAGAGCGGCACTGATACTGGGCATGGAAACCTCGTGGGAGATGATCAACAGGCTCCAGGTGTATATGGATTTCCGCTTGCACATTCCACAGTCGATGGAGGAACACTTTGACGGCACACTGCTACCTCTGCAGACCAGTCTTGTGGCGTTTTTGCTGCGTGCGATCAAAAAACTTGGCCAAGGAGGCAGCGGGAAGAACCTCCTTAAAGCCATGTGGAGGAGTGAGGAAGTGAGAGACTTTGATAAGAAGTGCGAGTCACTAGTCAAGAAAGTGGAAGATGCTGCACAGGTTTGTCATCGTGAACTATCCCGGAAGGGGAGAGAAGACGTGGTGAAGCAATTGGAAAGGATACAAGGGAGTATAGATGACATTGCTCAGTTCAAACTTGGGCTGGATAAGATCCAGACAGTGGTTGAGGGTATTTGGAAAAGCATGGAACGTGGAAAAAGGGGAGAAATCCTAACTTGGATCTCGGAAGATTCGGCCGACGCCCGACATCAGAGGACGAGAAACCGAGTCAGAGACACTTGTGATTGGATTTTGGCAGAGGAGCCTTTCAAAGACTGGAAATTCGGTAAAAGCGAAACGTTGTTATGGCTTCGAGGAAGAAGCAAGTCATCATCGGTCTTTCCGTGACGGGTTTCAAGCTAATCATTGTGCTAGTTGGAGCCGGCAAAACCTTCCTCACATCCAGAGTCATCGACGATATACACTCTAGTATCCGAGATGACCAAGCTTTGGCCTACTTCTACTGCGACAAGTTCGACACGACCCTGACCGGCGACAGAATTCTCCGATGCTTCGTGAAACAATTAGCAACGCCGAAGGAAATCAAGATGTCATCCACGCCGAGATTGCCAGGATATACGAAGACAGGCAGAGCAGAGGTAATCTCAAATCCCCCTTGACCTACGAAGAGATTGTGGCTTTGTTTCCCCATTTGGTGGCGCCACTTTCTAAGGTCTTTCTGGTCCTCGACGGCTTCGATGAATGCGACTCATCGACGAGGGACGAGATTTCTGATGCTTTCGAAGCTCTCCGGGTGGATGGGAGGATATGGATCTTTGTCTCTGGCCGTCCTGATATGGGAACGTACCTTCCCTCTCCCAGAGCCGAAATTGCCATAGAACAGAGAAAGACCATGGTCGACATCGAAAAGTTCATCACGTCGCAAATCGAAATTTCACAAACTCGTTCACCGCCCAAAAGGGCAGGCCAGTTACTCAAAGAAGGCAGCGAACTGAGGAAGCTCGTTGAGAAAAGTATTCTGGACAAGAGCGATGGCATGTGAGTTCCTCGACTTTCATTGTCGTTCCACACAAGTCTCAACGAGTCGCTCACCATGTTCAGGTTCCAATGGGCTGCATTGCAGATGAATCAGATTTTGAATCTCAAAGCCATCCGTGACATTGAAGCTCAACTTAAAAAGTTTCCCAGAGGCCTTACTAGTGCGTATGATGCTATTTTCGAGAAGATCGAAAACCTGGATGGAGACCAGCCGAGAATCGCTGAACGAACGTTCCAATGGGTAAAAGTTGGAGAGGGATATTTCTTTGACTCCGAGGTCTCACTCGTGCTTGCAGGCGTCTCTCAAGATTATAATGACGACAGACTACAACCAGTCTCGATCGACACCGACTACGTACTTGATGCATGCCAGAATTTGATCGTATGCGAGGATGGCTACTTCAGGTGGTCACATATCTCGGTCCGAATACCTTAACGATCACAAACCCGATTTGGTCAATGCGGCCGAAACGACAGTGGGCTCCGTCATTTTCGTTGCACTCCTTGAACCGTGCTTTGAGTCCTCGAAAGGAGGAGAGCGCGGAGAAGACTCCACTATTGGGTTGAGGCAATATTCCAAACAATACTGGGAACTTTGGGCGAGTGTACTTGATAGGGCGGAGAGGAATAGTCGTCCACGAGAGCTCCTCAGAAAATTCCTTGGTCTGGATCTCTCTACGCCATCGCCTTCGCCATTCACAAGCTATTTTGACCATGCGCCAGAATCTTTTGAAGAAACCTTGAAGAACCATCCTCTATGGGCAGCGTGCTATTTCAAACTCGAGTCCTCCTTTGAAGACATTCTCGAAGCTATTCCAAGAGACTTTGATCTGGAAAATAGAAACGAATACGGAGAGACTCTCCTGGACCTGGCAGCTGAAAACACAAGCAAATCCATAGTGGAAGGTCTGTTGAAACTTGGCGCAAAGCCGACAGGAACGGCGATTAGACGACTCGCGCTCTGGGATCGACCAGATTTGTTGCAGCTGTTTGACGACCGCATTGACGATGTGGACATAATCTACACAGCCTTGGCAGATGAATATATGGGTTGCACGGAGAAATGTCTCTTACAATTGCTCAACCTTGGAAAGAAAAGCCTCCGCCAGGATTGGTATGATTATCACAGGATACGATTTAAGATAGTCAACGAGGATATGGTCGGGTTGCGCGCTTTACTTGAGGAGGGAATTAAGGCGGAAGCTGGAGAGAAAAGTGGCGTCAACTACCGCGATGAACATCCCTACAGGGCCTTCCATTTAAATCTTTTCGAATCTGTGCAGAGAGGCAATGTGTTGGCTATCCAATTGCTACTCAATCACGGCGCCGATGTGAACAAGCAAGAAATAAACGAGTATCCCCGCTTATCCAATGCGCTGGGATACGCAGTCTTTTACGGCGCATCTGAAGAGCTTGTGTCTCTCCTTTTGAGAAGAGGGGCCAATCCCAACGCCGAATTTGATAGTGGCATTCACGACGGGGGCGAGTCTATTCTGTCTCTGGCGGTCCGCGGGGGAAACCCAAGCCTCGTCAAACTACTGGTTGAAAGTGGAGCAAATATCAATGGAGAAGGCGAGACTCTGGGTTTACCTTTGCGAGAAGCTCTGTTTTCCGAAAAAGAAGATATCATGACTTATCTATTTGAGAAGGGTGCAGATGCAAGCAAGGTTTCTCGCGAATGGGTCATGGAGTACATTGAACAGTGCTGCAATGGACAAATCAGCGCGCGGTTTGCAAAAGATAAGTTACTTCTACTCCGTGAGAAAGGGGGTCCAGTTGAAGAAGCTGATCTTGAATGGTTCGAATAGTGACGAGAACAGATATAGGTATGAACTTGTCCTTCCAATGCCGGTCCTCGCGGATCAATCTCCCCATCCTTCGTACTAATTCCGTGCTTCACGCGCTGCATGTTCATGTCAGGTGCAGAAAGCACACGACTTTCTGATATCGCCGCGCCGACGGAAAGATTCTATCAAGGCCCCCTTTAGGGCCGGAGAATCGTTTCCGGGCCCTTGCGAAAACTTGGGACAGGTCCATGTCTCATGGACACCAGCCTCGGGAATCAATAGGACAGCTTGAATTGCGGCGGTCGTTCGCAAAAACGTTTCCACAGGAAAATTCTCGATTCACTCAACTAAGTAGGCAGTGTGTGCAGAACTAGATATAATGCCATCATTGGACCCTTGGTAGTGGCAGTCCTGTCTGAGGATGTATACTCGGATTAGCGACTAAAGATAGAAGATCTGACTTAGGAGGATCCTATGGCGATGGAGGCTTTCTTTTATACCTTGTCCTCCATGATGAGCTCGTGGAGATAATGTGACCGGTCATAGGTCATGTCGGCACTCAACTTCGACTCTTCGTTGATGAACGGCACGAATTGCACGACCCGAACTCCGAGCTTGGGAGCGACCTCGAGACATTCTCCTGACATTGGGTTGTCGCCCAGCAGAGACTCAAACGCCTCCAAAAGTCTCTCCATCGGCACGAGGACGCCCAGCTTCTCTGCCTTGTCGTACACGGCTGCGGTCGAGATGCCCGTCCTGATCTTGTTCGGGCACACGGCGTTGAGTGTGATCTTCTCCTCGGCGAGGATCTTCCCGTACGAGCGGACGAGGCCCACGACGGCACTAAAGTTCCTGTCAGCTTTTGATGACATCCATGGAAGCTGATGCCCGGGAGGGACGTACTGCTTTGCTGCGGTATATATAGGTATGGTCTGGTGAATATAGAACCCACAGACGGAGGCCACCGGCATGACTAGATGGGTTGGTTACCACAACGAGAGCGGAGAAAGGTGAGGATGACGGCGCTTACTCTTTCCCCTGAAGCCATACTTGTTGGGTTGCTGGCGGCGAAAATGCTGGACTGCCAGGGACACCGTGTAGATGACGCCGATGCAGTCCACTTCGAGCACGCTCAGGTCAGGCTTCTCATATCCTGTCGAGTTGGGCCTGTTGGGAAATGAACGGCGCTCTCCGATGCCGGCAATCGGGAGGACGTAGTTGATACGTTTGAACTCAGCCTCGGCGGCTTCCCATGCGTTTCGTTGAGAATCCCAGTCCGCAACGTCGATTTGTACCGTCCAGACAGCTTTTTCGCCTGTGTTCAGCTCTTCAGCCACGGCATTGGCGCCCTTCAGGTCTCTGTCTGCCACATATACTTTGATCCTATCATTGATATCAGAGAGACGTCGACAGACCTGGAGGGAAAGGGCTTGAATGAAAAGCGTCCCTACCCTTTCTCAACCAGCATCTTGGTCACTGCTCGTCCGATGCCACTTGCGCCACCTACTCCATATCAGCCCACCACCCGCCGAAGGAGATGTCGCTGCCTTCATGCCTGTTAGGAAAGCTGTTTGTCCTTTGTACGACATTTTGTCAGGTCTCGTAAAGCCTCAACAGGGTTTCAGTCTTGGTCAACTCTAAAGGATTTACTGTTTCCTCCTTATGGTCATCATGGATTCTCTCAACTAGCATCCTGAGAGGAACCAGCAGGAAGGCTAAGGCTCTCATAATATGCGAAGCTACAGGAAACGTTTGTTCAAGCGACTGACGATAGCCGGGTCGGTGCGGGGAGTCAGCCTGAAGAGGGGTCGTTTTGGTGGTTCAACCGAACAAGGCGCCATCTTTGCACGGCGGTTTTGGGGGTTGGGAGGAACTTGGTATGTTTGTGGACAATCGATATCCGAGAACGAGGCAAATTCTAAACAACCGGACTTCTCCAACGCGAGCGCGCAGATCTGATCTCCGGCTATGGCTCCGGTATATTGCCGGTAGCCGCAAGCTCCTAACAATACTGATGCTCGACTTTCCAGAGGCCAACAGGGTATGTATATCTGACTACTGTCGACTTTGCCAGGCCTGTACTCTGACAAGGCATAACAGCGCACCATGGCAGACTATTCGCAATACCAAGGACCGAATCCCGAGTGGGAGGAATTCGTTCGAGTGACTGAGATCCCTCCCGTAGGGCTGGCGCCGGGAGAGACTCCGGCAGATTTGAGAAGGTCAAGAAACGCTCTGCGGGAGACAGCATCCAAGATAGAGCTCGAGGCATCAGGTCGGTTTGCCCAGTATCTCCTATGGTCATAAGGCTGTCAATGGCTATGCGGCAGACCTCGTGGGACTGTCTCAAGCCTGTCACACGACGGGGGATTCATATGGTGGTGATTGTCGAAGGGGGACCAAACACCGTCTCCGGGGCCGCTCTGTGGTGTGCTAACGTCTATATTCTCTCGCAGGCCTCTTGGAGAAAGTGAGCTGGCAAGACGCCGCCATTCCAACGCGGGACAATTCCACCGTGCCAGCCCGCATATACCGACCCAAAGGGGTCGATCTGTCCACGACAGGGCCCCTGCCGGTCTATCTCTTCTTCCACGGCGGCGGCTACCTCTTTGGAAGCCTCGACACCGAGGACGCAAACTGCGCCCGCGTCGTCGCGATGTCCCCGACTCCCGTCATCGTCGTCCACGTCAATTACCGCCACACCCCGGACTTCCGGTACCCAACCCAGCACGACGACGCCTGGGACGCATTTCTGTGGCTCGGCGAGAATATCGCTTCCCTCGGCGGTGATCGCGGAAAGGTGATTGTGGGCGGGATCTCTGCAGGAGGCGGCCTCACAGCCGCTGTCGTGCTCCAAGCACAGGACCGCTCTGATTCGGCCGCCCACCTGCGAATCGTCGGCCAACTGCTCCTCATTCCGTGGATACTTCACCCCAAGGCATATCCGTTCCATCTGTTGGCGTCCAAAGAGCGGTCCAGCTTTCTGCAGAACGCGGACGCGCCCATCCTCCCGCACACCCAGATCGACATGTTCTTAGACGTCTTTGACGGCCCCGACACGGACCCGACGGACATCCTCCTTAACCCGCCGCTAGCTCCGGACGAGAAGATCAAAGGCATGCCCAAGTCTGTCGTTGTGGCGGCAGGGATGGACCCTTTACGAGATGAAGCTCTCCTGTACGCTGACAAGCTGAAGAAGAACGGGTAAGTGGCGTCTCGCTTTACTGCTTAACGCTCGAGTTGCCGTCGAGGTGTCACCGACACAGATTGCTAAAGGGCTCCATTTAGGGTCCCGACTCAAGTATACGTCTTTCCTGGCCTGCCGCATGGCTTCAGACGCTTCGACACCCTGAAGGCTAGCGCGCGATGGGATGAAGTGATTGTCGAGGGAATTCAGTGGTGCTTATCAGACAACGTGGAGAACTCAACCAAGGTCGAATTATGAGAAGCAAAATGGGCTCAAGGGTGAGAGAGCCATGCGTGGACATGGAATCAGCCATGATCCTCTGCAGATTCAAGCCACTAAGAAGCCGTTGGGAGATGTTACTAGGCTAGGAGGCAGCACGCGAGGCGTCGCCTGTAGATTTGATGCTGGGACTCATCGTATCAGACGATGATATAGAGTTGCCTACTTGCCCAGAGGCTGCACAGTCGGCAGTTGCGGTATACAGATAGACTCAGAGCAAAGTGCACAGAGAACAAGAAGAACAAGAAGACATTATCTTCCGGGTGGGGTTGTGGGATAGCCCATCGCACGACATATCTGCCGGTCCGACTTCGTCCCTAAATGATTTAGATCTATGAGCAAGCTAGTTGTCCTCACTCGGCTTCCTCCTTCAGTATCTTCTGGATCGTCACGAGCGCACTGTCCTTGTTGCTGACCAGGTTCGTCCTTGCCGGCCCGGGGTTGTTGAAGACGGGAATGCTGCGCCACAGGTCCTCGGTCTCGTCCATCACCTCCAGGAGGGTGCCCGCAGGATATCGCTCGTTGGGGTTCTCCGCCAGAGCGACCATAGCGTCGGCGATGACGCTGGGATCGAGCATCTTGTCCTTTGTCGGGTCGACCCAGCCAGCGACTCCGGGATCCTCCAAGAGAAGAGGGGTTGCAATGGCCCTGGAGAGGAGGTTCCCAAATCAGCATCTGCCGCAACACAGGGAATTTGAGGCGGTTGTGAGGAATTAGGGGTTTTGTCCAACCCTGGGATTCCTGATGGAAGCAGGAGGACAAGGCTCCTATACGTACCCCGGAGCGACTCCGACAACACGGATGCCGCAAAGCTTCTCCGCCGCACCCATTCCCATGACGAAACTGCCAATGGCGTGCTTCGATGCTTGGTACAGGGGCGTTACGATGCTGACGGTCTCCGCCGCAACGCTGGCAATGAGAACGACTGTCCCTGCCTTCTTCGCGCGCCGCATGTGCCGAATGGCCATTCTGGTCATCTTGATCGGGTGGACCAGGTTGATGTCGAACAACTTGTAGTGGGAAGGCGAATCGACGTCTCCCCAGAATCCAGAGGCTGGCTGTTGACCCCCACAAGATTAGCTGTTGATCTTCTGCCATCCTCGTACATCGCGAGCAACAGTTCCATGCAAGGACAAAGGATCAGGGTTGATGAAGATAGAGGACCAGAGAAGTCTGCTTCTCGTCTCCTTACATACAGGCTCATAGATTCCTGCCCCGGGACACACCAGGTCAGGCACCGTCCCAAACTCCCTCTTTGCGACATCGAAGGACTTTTCCAGCTGAGCCCAGTCCGTGACATCTGTCGGCTCAAAGACCACCTTCGGGCCACCCTTCTGTGCGGCGGAGTTGACAAATGCTTGTGCCTCGGGTCGAAGGCTGATATCGGCGATCAGGACATTGCACCCTTTCTCGAAAAGGGCCCGTGCAAAGGACAAGTTGATGCCTGAAGCGGGGAGCCGCATTGTCAGTGAAGGTGGCCCATCAACGGACCAAGTCCAGGGATGATGACCATGGGATGTCGCTCACCGGAGCCTGCGCCCGTTACAATGGCTGAGGCGCCCTGGAGGTTGAGTCCAGGCATGTCTGGTAAATAGCGGCCAAAGTCTGAGAGAGCACTGTAATTGTTGGAGCAAATTTACCTGCTACAAATACAACGTGAGGTATTCTTCCGTTGTTGGATAGCGCTCCAATTGATACAGCATTCGATATATTGGGCACCTGCTGAGGAGAGGGCATCCGAAGGTGGATCTGTCGGGCCTCGGTAAGCATTCAATATGCATACATTCACCCCACTTCCACCCCAGCGTAGACCATTTGAGTCTTCGATGGTGCGTGCGAGGCACGGGGACAGTTGGAGGTGCAGCGCCTTGGAGAGGGCAGTCGATGTCCTCCCGTATCTGGTCGCGCTTGAGAGCGCCAGGTCCATGTGGAGATGCAGTTGAAGATATTCGGGCTTCCCCGCGGGACTCTCGAGTCGAGAATCATGCGCACTGCATCACCCCTACATTATTGGCGGACACCGTTCACCGATCGACCGACAAGAGCCCGATAAGTACCAACAGACTTTGGGAGAAGTGGCTGTAGAGCCTCGTCTGAAAAGTGTGGCACTCAGTGACAAACCACCACCTGGAGATGGGAATGGATTGGTTGGGACGAAACGCGGCTGTCGAAGGGGCTGCACAAAAGTACCAAGATATACGGTGATATCGACTGTGACAGAGCATTGGCCTCTTCACGATGATCTGCGATCTGTTTGGTCGAGGGAACGATCAGTGTCCAACAGCCCGCTACACCCATCCAGGGATAGCCTGGTCGCCAGCTGCTACCTCTGCAGATTTCTCTGGAGGTGATATCACTGCTGGATGGGTTGAAACCAACCAACACTTGATGAAAGCACTGCGGACACCTACTCCAGGCAGTCGCTGTGGCTTGCGTCGTCGTCGTTGGCAATTGGACCTGGCATCGTTTCAGGCTGGAACACGTTGAGTCCGGAGAGCGGCTAACACCCCAGGCCAGGTCGTTCGCTTGAGGGGCATCGCCTCCCTTTCGCTACACAGATGCTGAAAAGACACCTTCCGCAGCCATTACCAACGACCAGTGTGGCGCGGCCGCCTCGCAGTTGAGATTGTCTTCCGTCGGGGAGCCTAGGTTGAACCAAGAAATGCACGGGCTTCCTATCTTGCTCACCGGTCATTCTTCAACACAGGACCCCTTCCGCTACGACGGTCTTCCCACTGAGGGCACCAATAGCCCAACATGGTTCTGCTGGGCTACCTTCGAAGCTTTCAGCCATTTCGGCTTGATGCCCTGGGTATCGTGACGCTCCTCGGTGCAGAACAGGTCAACAATCATGTGGGCAAGCTGGTCCGAAGCCGATGGCTGGAGTACATGCCGCTCCTCGGAGCCTATGTCATTGCAAGCGACGAGTTCACCGCCAAACAGGCAGGTTTCCAGCTTTTCAACTTCTCCCGCAACATCTATACGCCCAGTCTCGCCGGCTGGTTCAGTCGCTGGCTTAGCGAGCAGGACTTCGAGACCTCCGGGACTTGTGTCGAGTGGAGCATCAATGCGAAGCCCCATTCCTTCGTCCTTGACTTCTGGATGGCACTGCTCACTGGCACCATCGTCCAGGCTGGATTCATCGTGATTACCGTCCTCATGGGGGACTGGTGGGGCTTCGCGAACGCCATGTCAATGGTGATTTCAACCTTGGGAAGGGCATATCTGGTCAGCCGCAACACCACCTGGCTCGATAGAGCCGTCGTCGAGGAAACGAGGATGGCGCTCAAGGAACCCAGACCTCTGGCATCCTCCAAAACGCAGCCCAGCGTCAGCAACACGGTTTTCAACGAGGAGAGTCTCAGAGAGCTGCCAGAAGCCAAGGTGATTGTGCTCTTGCCCGACGCGAGAGCCGCCGTCCTCTTCATCCCGGAGTGTTTGGTGCGCGAGGTCTTCGTCTACAACCCGAAGCCACCGGGCACGAGGGACGAGACCAAGAGAGTCGGGACCTGGCCCGTCCGCAGGCGCGACGAGCACAGGAGGAAACAGTCGGGCCCGCGTGAATTGCTGGTCTACGAACTCGTGCGTTGGGTTTCCTGGCTCGCCTTCGGCGCCCATGTCATCACCATCGGCATGTCCGACCTGGTCAGCCAGCTCATCACGGTGGTGGTCATCGTGGTGCCCACCTTCCTGATCGTCCAGGGCTTCGGCTGCGACGACAGCCACATCGGGACCCGGCTGCGGGCGGAGATATCTGACATTCCGCCGGAGGAGGTGACGACCCGACGTGCCGACATGTATGCCTTTCTGAACCTCACCAAGGAAGAGGAGGCCTGCCTGGAGCAGTGGAACCTGGCGGCCAACCGGGCCAACAGCCACTTCTGGGACGACTATGAGAGGAAGAAGGAGGTTTTTGGTCGGGCGCCGGACCTACGCGGCCTGCGGAATTACGATGCTCGCGTCAAGGCCATCGAGATCGCGAAGGAGAAGTACCGGACGGAGCGTGAGGGCAAAGCACCTTCGCCACAAGTGCGTCCCGCGTCCAGCACAACATCTCGACATACGTCCCTGGACACAGCATAGACGGCCGCACTTCTCGCTCTTGCGCCGCTGACAGCACATTCCTGGCCAAACCCGGCGAGACTGCTTACCAACATGGGAGTCTGGCAGCAGTATCAAGGTTGTCCGATTCTTGTTGCTAGATCCTCGGCGTTTCACCCTGTTCTCAAACGGAGTCGACCTGGCAGGACGTTCTCCTTCTTCGGGAGAAGTAAGAATCAACTTACTCTGAGCTCACATCGAAGGTTGGGTTCATGATTGCATACCGTCAACACTCGACCGAAGATGTTCGGACAACCTGGCGTGCAACCCTGGGATTATACTCTCGAAGGATATGGATATGGTGCACAGGAGAGCCACTCTGCCACCCCTTTCCAACCTCACCAGAATCTGCACAACAAAACCAAACCGCGTGCACTGGGCCGAGGCGAATTCTTCCTCTCCCGGACCGGCGACCTGCGCTATCGGCTACGGCTTAGTGTGCGTACCTGCTGAAGCTGAACATCTACGTCAAAATTAACGGGGATACATTGCACATGATGAGAGCCGGGTCGTCTGCCGTGCGGGTTTTGTTAACAAGCTGATGAAAAGATCCCCTCTTATTTGTCCGGAACTCGGGAAAGGATAATATATCATGCTGAGACTGACTTGGACATTCACGGTTGTGCCCAGGTTGAAGGCAAACAAGGGTTGGACAAGTCAACCACTGAATTCCTCCGCATAACTGGCCACGTTCTGAAAACGAAACTATAGCAGGCATCAGGTTCTGACGGGAGGAATGCGAGAACTCCATTTGTTGAAAGAATCGTGTTAGTTTGAGAAGGCTGAGGAGTTTAAGAGGCTGGGATGGGCACTTGTGGAGACGCAGGGAGAGCCTGTTCATAATATAGTCCTGGCTGTTAGATCTAATGTCGATCACTGGAGCGTTGCTTGACCAAACGTCGACGCACTGTCGTTGGGCTGGCAGGTTCATATGGTTTTATATGTGGGAGTTGGGCGTTGCAAGGCTGAGGCACGGCGCCCACGCCTGCTGCAGACCGGAATCAGTACATAATGAGGAGTGAATGGACTTGATTTTTTCCGACTGGGAGGACTAGATGGACTTTCACGATTCCAATGCCTTCATGCTAGGGAATTCCGCTTTCTCCTGTAAAGCGCGCCATGGGTGGAAAGAGGATTGTGCCTCGGTACAAAGTTACCCCAAATTGACGTCGGCAGTGCGAGCCTTGGAGGACGCGGTGAGTAATAGTAAGCATCGTTGCGCATAACGTTACCTTAGCTTAACATTCAGACCTCCAAAACGTCAGCGGAAGGCCAGACTGTTCCTCTACATCATGAGGGGCTTCGTTCTCTAGACCAAGATATCCAGACGCAGGTATACACCAGGTTTTCACGCGACGCGGGTTCCTGCGGTGAGGGGCTGCAGATATGGCTCCGAGCAAAGAATCGGCGCCCAAGCAGCTCGATTTCGAAACACATCTCGCGGTGAAGCAGACCGCGCCGGTAAGAACTAGGTCCCGGACGCATGATTTACAAGACCCGGGAATGTCTAACACCACCCATCAGGATGTCTTCACAAACGTCCATGAGCCATGGGTGTTTCACATCACGAGTACATATCCGGGCCCGTTGATGATGGCCCAGGCCGCAGCGGCCGCGTGGAAGACAGTCCCCGATGGATTCATGCTGGACTCGCTGCAGACGCACTTCATGCTGGCACCCAGCCCGCAAAGGCCGCTGACGTACAAAGTGCAGCGGATAGGCAACGGCCGACGATTCGCGGTGCGGATCGTGAACATCGCCCAGGATGAAAAGATCTGCGTTACCATCACCACGAGTTTCGTCAACGATGCGCCCTGGTCGGGGCGAGCCATGACGCACGCGGTGCCGATGAGGGTTGATAGACGCAAGCGGGAGATCACTCTGGATGATTTCGAAATGGGCCGTACGAAGCGAGGACCGTTTATGAAGTTCGAGAGACTGCCGCATGTGCACCAAGGTTGGTCCCAGTGTCGGCCCGGCGCAAGGTAAACACTCTCACACTCCCCCTAGACCCGAAGAATCCGGCCACCACGATAGCCCCGATAGTTGCACAGATCGCTCCGGCCATCTCGTCGCCGAGAGGCACCGCTGCTCACGTTCTCGGTGTCGTCCACGTATCCGACTACCACGTCATGGACTGTCCGCTGTCCATCCACGGCGTCCCGCACGGGTCCTGGAGAATCGGAGACCAAACCAAGACACCGCTGCCATCCGCCATGAAAATCATGACCAGTCTCAACCATACGATCCACTTCCATACCCACGATGGCTTCCGGGCTGACGAGCTGATGTATATCGAGGTTACATCCCCGTGGGCGAAGGACGGGAGGGCGATGATCAACTCGAGGATTTTCAGCAAGCAGGGTCTGCTGATTGCGACTGTCATCCAGGAGGTAAGGACCTGACGACAAGCTTTGAAACGCGATTCTCTTCCACGGGCTGACCACCATGAACAGGCTTTCTATGTCTTCAAAGAGGACGCTGGTGCTAAACTCTGAGGAAGGACATTGCAACAAAGACCCAGGGTGGAGGAAGGGGATAGATGATATAACAAGTTCCGAAACATATTTCTGCAGATTTAGAAGCGTGTCAGTACTGCCCCCAGACAAGAGGTCTTATGAGAGGGAGATCTGATGTGTCCACTATGGTATTGAGTAAAGAGGGGACAGGTTAAGGAGAAAGGATCAAGTATGGTCCCCATAGGCAGAATATGAAGGACTCTAAGCATATGTTTCGCCGGAGCAATTCTTACTGTGGAGCATGTGAACTCTAACGCAATTTCAATATCGATATCAAAAAACCTTTCATGCATGTACCCTCGACCTTACATATCAAGTACTGGCCGCATTGTAATTCCCATGCCATATGTACGGCCTCCCAAGTCAGGCGGTCCGATATACCGACGCATTCAGGTTCTGGATTGAGCAAACTTTCTCACCATGCAATGACCAAACAGCAGTCGCAAATGAAGGCAACTCAATGCACTCACGGCCTCTAGCGTCGACTTGGAGAGATGTCCGACTCGCTCAACGTCATAGCCCTCATCTCGGGCGGCAAGGACTCCCTGTTCAGCATCCTGCACTGCCTCGAGAACGGGCACAAGGTCGTGGCGCTGGCCAACCTCTACCCGAAGGCGAGATCTGTGACCAATGGACAAGGAGACGCCGCTTCAGCCCGTCCTCTCGAAGACGACGAATCTGAAGGAGAGGATCTAAACAGCTTCATGTACCAGACTGTCGGACACTCCGTCATACCGCTCTACGCAGAGTGCCTCGGCATTCCGCTTTACCGGCGAGAAATCACGGGCTCAGCGGTGCAAACGGGTCGGTACTACGATACAAGCGAACTCGGCTCGTCGCCCGACGAGACTGAAGACTTGGTACCCCTGTTGAGGACAGCCATGCAGGCTCACCCAGAAGCGAATGCTCTATGCTCGGGCGCCATTCTCTCGACCTACCAGCGCACCAGAGTCGAGTCCGTAGCAGTCCGACTCGGTTTAACGCCGCTGGCCTACCTCTGGCAATATCCTGCCCTTCCTCCCCCTGCCGGACGAGGCGAGTCCCTGGCTGGATTGCTGGATGACATGGGAGCAGCGGGCTGTGACGCCAGGATCATCAAGATTGCGAGCGGTGGCATCAAAGAGAGCCTTCTGTGGGCTAACGTGGCGGACCCAAAAACCCAGCAGAGGCTCGTCAACGGTCTGCGGCCTTTCTTCCCCGACCACGAGTTTTGGCTCCGTGGAGCGGTTTTAGGAGAAGGGGGAGAATACGAGACGCTGGCTGTCAACGGGCCTCGAAGATTGTGGAGGAGGAGAATTGTGGTCTCACCAGATCACCAATCCACATTTACAGGGGAAGGTGGAGTGAGCTACCTTCGGCTGGCGAAGCCCACAACAGAAGAGAACGATGCAGGCCCTTCTGGGACACACGAAGAGTGTCTTCGAGTACCACAGGCATTTGATCCCCAATTTCAGGCCGTTCTGGCAGCTGTCGAAAGCCAAGAGACGGCGAACGTCGACAGAACCGCAGACAAGCTCGGCGAGGCGGGTACCAAATGGTCGCAGCCAGGCTTGTACTCTCTGCAACCCGCCAAGTGTCTGGCTTCCGGACATCTGTCCATATGTAACATTACTTGGTGCGACCCGAGCGTTGATGGAAGCCCGAGCAGCGCTGCCAGTCAAATGCAAGGCATATGCGATCAGTTGAAATCCTTGCTCGAGACAATGCCAAGCTCTCTCGACATACCGACAGGGCTCACGCCGTCCAATATCGTGTCCACAACTTTATTACTGAAGGACATGTCGAACTTTGGGGCAGTCAATCCGATCTATGCCTCGCTTTTCCGCTCGGGCGAGCCGAATCCTCCGGCACGCGTCACAATTGCATGTTCGCTACCAGAGAACACTGATGTAAGTTTGAGCGTGTTACTCGATCTCGGGCCCCGCGAGGAACGACGCGGCCTGCACGTGCAAAGTCGGAGCTACTGGGCGCCCGCGAATATTGGACCGTACAGTCAAGCCATTTGCGTCCCAGTGGACAAACAAGTGGAATCGCAAGTCAACGTCCATGACGCAGGATTGGTGGAGATGGTCCATATGGCGGGACAAATCCCTCTCATCCCACACACAATGAACCTTTCGCAGGCAGAGTTTCCCAAGCAGGCGGTGTTGAGCCTGCAGCATCTGTGGCGCGTTGGGCAAGAGCGGGGTGTGGACATATGGCCCTGGGGAATAGCCTTTTTGGAAAGCTGTACGGATAGCCCTGTTCGTGCAGAGCTCTCGGCCAGCGTATGGCAACAAGCTCACCTGGCAGGGACAAGACCGATACAGGTTGTTGCTGGCGAGGAAAGTGACGAGGCTGATGAGGGGGTGGATGCGTGGGACATGCAGTACAACCGCGCTGCGATGTACGAGGCATCACATGCACAGATGACCGTGGGCGAGCATCTTCATCTTCTCCCAAACCCAAGTGTACTGGTCAATGACGAGACCTCAACGACATTCACTCCGCCCTTCATCGCCGCAGAGGTTGTCTCTCTGCCTCGAAACGCGCCGGTCGAATGGTGGAGCATGGGACTCACGAATTTGCTCAAGGGCCCAACGTCAAAGCATAGAACGTTGGTGGCTCGGACAGAGCTGCCCTGGGGATCCATCACGAAGGTGACAATCCTTCCGCCATACGGGAGAGCAGGCACAAACATTCACTTGGTCACGGTGTTGGTCCGTCGAGGTGCAGGGTCTGGGTTCAGCGTCACGGACGTCGCAGGGATGGAGAGCAGTATACTAGACCTCATTCAGTCGGACGACGGTCACGAAATGTCATCGTTGGCTCCGGCAGAACTGGTGCATGGCACCGCGTTCATCGCGCTGCAAGGCCAGGACGAGTGGTCTCGGCTGAGTGGCCGAAATCTCTTCAAGGATTTGGCGGTCATACCTTGCCATTCGTTGTTTGGAAGCTCTGGGACGACTCCCGATGTCGGCCCTGCTGAAGGCCATGGGAGGAGGTCTGGAGGACCGGCCGTGGCCGTGTCCTCGCTGTTGCCAGACGTGGGCCTCGAAGGAACAGCGACATTCTGCCCACCCCTTGCCGCCGCAATGGTCTTGCGCATCGACCAGAATCCGAGGCGGTCGAGCTGAAATCGGATGTCCACTGTTTCAGCGTGCACGCCCCAATCGATTTCTCGACCACGGGATTCTAAAGATATCAGCTCTGCGGACGGTGTTGCGGCTGATTCCAACAGCGGCAGCAGGAGCGCCGGTCAAGACATGAACCCCTTGCGCAGACGCCTGGGAACAATGAGTCACAGCAGACCCGACAGAGCCAATCTTCCTCGTTGGTCTGGTCTGATCCTCAGCTCGCCGCGCAGAGACGAGAATACGCGCCGGGATCTCGCGAGACTGAGGCCCAGCCGCCAGCGAATCACGCCCGAGCGTCTATGTTCAGAGGTCAGCTGGAACTTTTTGATGCTGTGTCGAGCCGCCCGAGGGGTATAAGCGCCGAGGGAACAGCGAGGGTTGAAGAACACAACGGCGCGCCAAGCGAGAGACCCGACGAGGCTTTGTTGTTGGTTTTGAGGGATTCACCAGGTCGTGCTAGACTGCACAAGCACAAATGGTCGGTTGTCGCACACTTGTTCTTCTGAGCCCGCTGGCTATGCGCCCATCGAGCCGCCCACCCATTTGGCAGCCTCGAATCTATCCGCCCGACCAAGCGCTCGTGGCTTCAATGCAGCCCGGAAAATCAAGGCAGAATCAGCGGTCTTGGTGGAGGCATTGGGTCTGGGCACGGAGGGGATCACCTCCAGGGGACGCATTAACTGCACCACAGACCTAAGGGAGTTCTACTTGCAAGTCAGTCAATCAGTTAGAGAGAGAGAGAGAGAGCAAGTATGTCCATTGGAAGCGCCTCCGGGCTTGTACGCAAGCACCGGCGTCTAAGGAGGGCACCGGCTGAGAACCCCTCCGGTGCTCTTCCCTGGTTGTCATTTCCTCTCCAGATGGCGATGCCCAGTTTCACACATGCCACGATTCAGATTCATCACACCATCCATCCATCCATAGCAAGCCCACCCTCCTCCGTCCGGAGTCCAGCTGGAGTACCTCGTAGGTAGAAACACAGTCCCACCGCGCACGGGACAATTGTACCGTAGACAACGACATTAAAACAGCGACAACATCTCCTCCACCGCGCTGCATACCTTAGGCATGACCTGACCCCACGACAAAACCTACCTGTAGCTGCGACGGGGGAAACCCAAAAAGCACACGCGCGCGCGCGCGAGAGTGAGACAAGAAAGAGAGGGACTGACGAATCCTCAAGCCCGCGTTCCTGTGTGTGGTGTGGTGTGGGGAAAGGGAAAAGGTTTTTGGCTGGCTGGCTGGAAAAGGCCGAAGAAAAGAGAGACGGAAAACCCAGTGGAATGGGATGCGATTGATAGACATGCATGAGCGGAGAAGGGGTGGCGCAGAGGAATCTACCTACCTACATACCTGCATGAACCGCTGCAAACTGTACCTGGCTAGGTAGCTTGCCTGGGTACGGGGGTACCAGGGTGTACGGTGCACGGTGCACGGTGCATGTAAAGGTTCAGGGAAGAGGGGACCACGAAGTAAAGACTTGAGGTGTGAGGTTACTCGGTACATTCCCTGCCATCTCATCGACATCCGGCCTGCCCCTTTGGTGTTGTCTGCCGTCTGTTGTCTGTTGTCTGTTGTCTGTTGTCTGTTGTCTGTTGTCTGTTGTCTGTTGTCTGTTGTCTGTTGTCTGTTGTCTGTTGTCTGTTGTCT